TGCAGATATTTATGTTAACACAGTGTGTTTGGCAATGTATGAGTTATGTTTATGCAATCCCAATAAGCCCATCCCCTGATATTGGATGGTGTATTTTTTATTACGGTCCTTATCATTTTCTGCTATATATGATGGGTGTTTGGAAAGTTGTGTTTCAAATTATAATCAGATCTTGCTGAGAAACTGTGTACTGACTTCGGATATGTGACTAACAACAGGATGTATTATTGTGGATATTGGTTCCGTGTTTAAGTTTTCTTGCTGCTGTTGTGCAGGTGTGAAGTTGGGTGAGGCTTGTTCCATCGTACTCCGTGGTGCCACACAGCAGATCCTGGCTGAGGCAGAACGCTCCCTCCACGACGCCCTCTGTGTGTTGTCGCAGACTGTCAAGGAAACGCGCACAGTGTTTGGAGGAGGTAGGTACACGGAACTAAAGGAATGCTTGTAGTTTTGTCAAATGAGTGATTCTTTTATATATGACTATCAAGAAAACATTAGGGATTCGAAATGTGTCGCTCTTCTTACATGAGTAGTTCAGTATCTAGTGGGTATGAGTGTCGTGAATACCTTCAGGGTTCTGTACCTTACAGGGGAAACAGTTGCCCGAGGCATTAGAGTTCTATGGTTGTGGGTCGGATACCCTGTTTGCACTGTTGTGATCCTAGGTTTGTCAGCATCATACCCCTAGTCTTGGGGTTGATAAACACCTCGGGGCTTCACCATTTCTGGCTTTTCCCCCACAATAAGCTAACAAACCTTGATAAGACTGAAATACGGTTGTTAATGGCGTAAAACACAAGTTGTTCACTCACTTGACCTGACGGGGGAACAATGTTAAGCCTTGACTGTGACAGGTCATTGTGCTATGTAGGGGGTAACACACTACCTGTGCTAGACTGTGCTGCTCATGGAAGTCTTACACACTAGTCTCTAGCCTGAACCTTGACAGCCAATATGTTAAGGGTAAAGTCTAATGAAAATGATGCCTGGTTACGTTAGAGCAAGTCAGTGCAAACTGGAGTAAATGTATCTTCAGCTTGGTGTAAAACAGTTCTTGTGGGTATTGGTACATAGGGGTAGCCTAGTGGTTAAAGCATTTGCTTCATGTTGAAATCTTAGGTTCGATTCCCCACGTGGGTACAATGTGTTCAGTTCATTTCTGGTGTCCCCGCTGTGATATTGCTGGAATATTGTGTACTACAAGTGGCGTAAAACCATACTCCCACGCTCAAGTGCACGTACTCCTGGGATGTTGATGAAAAGATACAGTAACTGCTGAGATGGTGTGTTATGTTCCTTCTGTTTGTGTCACAGGCAGCTCTGAGATGCTGATGGCCGATGCTGTAACCAAGCTGGCAGCAAAGACCCCCGGCAAGGAGGCAGTGGCAATGGAAGCCTTCGCCAAGGCACTCAGGATGGTAAGGAGTAATAATACCGACAATGTATTGATTCCTGTTGGGGGTACAGATGGCCTAGTCGTCTTTATTCACTGTGCAGAGTTGCCTCCCTTAGGCGCGACAGAAACCAATGATCTTAGGCTCAAATCAAGGTTCGACCAGATTATGTTTTCTAAGTTTGTCTGCATCATACCTGTGCTTGTAGATTTCACCCAAATGGTAAACGTCAAAAACCTGCATCACTTCAGGCTTTCTTCCTATGTTATAGTGGCAAACTGTTACCATGGTTATGATTGAATACTGTTAAGGCCCAAATCACTCACTTGATTCCTGTTTCTTGTTGTGAAGGAAATGAGAGGGCAAGAATTGACTGGGATCTCAGCACACTGCATACAGCTGTAGATAATAGTTGCATAACAGTCGACCCATAAAGATCTGGGGTAGAATAGGTCTTCAGCAACCCGTGAGTGCCGTAAAAGGCGACTATGCTTGTCGTAAGAGGCAACTAACTGGATCGGGTGGTCAGGCTCGCTGACTTGGTTGATGCATGTCATCGTATCCCAATTGCATAGAGCGATGCTCCTGATGTCAATCACTGGATTGTCTGGTCCAGACCCATTATATAACAGACTGCCATCATATAGCTGGAATATTGCTGAGTGCTGCGTTAAACAACAAACAACATGCTCTGTGTTTTAGTTGATTGTAGGTCATCATAACCTATGGCATGGGTTTATCTGGTCCAGACTCTTATATTAATGATTGGAATATTGCTGACAGTGCTATTACACAACAAACAAGCTCCGTTCATATTCACTTTTAGGTGCAAACTGTGATGGGTTATATAAATTAGCATCGATTTTGAAGGTTTTCACTGTGAGTTGGGGGGTCGCCTTATAGGTGTGGTCGCTCTTTAGACGGCGATATGCGGTATTGGTTCATTCCTTACTATTTCATATCATTGATCAAGGACGCTTGATGAGTGTGCCTTATACTGATTATCACTGTGATCTTCTTCACTCATGTGTTACATGTGATGTGTTTACAGCTGCCGACAACCATAGCTGATAATGCAGGTTACGACAGTGCCGACCTTATAGCCAAACTGAGGGCCGTCCACACGGAAGGGAAGCACACATACGGCCTCAGTAAGTTAGTGCAGTCTGAAAACTGCTCAAATTTGTGTCTGGTGTTTGACAAAATATCTGGAAATCGATTGTTCCAGCAAATATCGGTAATTTAAAATTAAGAATTTGTGACAGCTAGAAAGTAAACCTGAACCAAAAAACCAACTTGTATTACTTTCTATAGTGGAGTGTCTGCTTTGTGTTGTCTCCCTTGAGTGTGTAATGGAAGTAGGGCATTACTCATTACTGCTTGATAATGAAGAATATCTGAAGTTTGCCTCCTTAAATTGAAGCAATCCAGTGAGAAGTGCCTGCATAGTGTGTAGCATTCTAGTATATGGGCCATGATGTAGGTGGGAAGGGGGCTTGTGTCAATCCAGTGAGTAGTGCCTGCATAGTGTGTAGCATTCCAGTATATGGGCCACGATGTAGGTGGGAAGGGGGCGTGTGTGAATCCAGTGAGTAGTGCCTGCATAGTGTGTAGCATTCTAGTATATGGGCAATGATGTAGGTGGGAAGGGGGCGTGTGTCAATCCAGTGAGTAGTGCCTGCATAGTGTGTAGCATTCTAGTATATGGGCCACGATGTAGGTGGGAAGGGGGCGTGTGTCAATCCAGTGAGTAGCGCCTGCATAGTGTGTAGCATTCTAGTATATGGGCCATGATGTAGGTGGGAAGGGGGCGTGTGTGAATCCAGTGAGTAGTGCCTGCATAGTGTGTAGCATTCTAGTATATGGGCCATGATGTAGGTGGGAAGGGGGCGTGTGTGAATCCAGTGAGTAGTGCCTGCATAGTGTGTAGCATTCTAGTATATGGGCCATGATGTAGGTGGGAAGGGGGCGTGTGTGAATCCAGTGAGTAGTGCCTGCATAGTGTGTAGCATTCTAGTATATGGGCCATGATGTAGGTGGGAAGGGGGCGTGTGTGAATCCAGTGAGTAGTGCCTGCATAGTGTGTAGCATTCTAGTATATGGGCAATGATGTAGGTGGGAAGGGGGCGTGTCAAAATTGTACATCATTATAGACTAATGGAAAGCTCAGAATATATCTGAAGGTTATGACTTAGAAATACTGCCTCAAATAGTCACAGCTGAGATGAAAACATTTATTATAAATATTTTCTTCAGATATGGACGAAGGTAAAATTGATGACATGGAGAAGAACGGAATTACAGAGTCGTTCCAGGTGAAGCGGCAGGTGTTGTTGAGTGCTGCCGAGGCTGCCGAGATGATTCTGCGAGTAGACAACATCATCAAGGCTGCTCCCAGGAGGCGGGACCCTGACGACCGATGCCATTAACCAACATGGACACTATCATATCAGTGACATTATTTCACTGTCTCTGTCTTGTCTCATTGTTATGAGCTTCATGATGAAAGGGCTAGGAGTTGATACTGAAGACCGGCCACAGAGTTGGAATGAACACTCCAGTGCTACACCATTGTGTCAAAATTGGAACATCGATTGGAGTAAACTACACTGTGATATGCCTGTTCACCAGAGATGGACACAACTACCAGAGCCCATATTGTATGGAAAGTGCTAATTGTCTGCTTTATCATGTGCTATATAAATTATGATCTGTCATCAGTTTTCATATTCTGTGTAATAAAAAAACCACCTACAACAAACCTACTTGTCTTTTTCTCTCTCAAATGTTTTTACCATTATTCAGTGTCTAAGGCTAGTTTGGACTGCCCAGTCATCTGCTGCAGTTTACTGAAAGTCATGCTTGGATCTGCTAATCATGAGTTCAAGTCCTAGATTTGTCCACCTCCTCCGTGGACTTGTGGCGGAATGTCTGCCAGGAGAGCAGAAGGTCAGGGATTCGATCCCTGGCCATGTCATACCAAAAGATGTTAAAAGACGGTAGTTGTTGTTACCCTGCCTGGCGCTTGGTCAGCTCGGAGTCTGTGTGGTGTGTTCCATGTTACACTGCGGCATGTTATTAAATCGGCATTAGTCTGGACTAGTACAAGCAGACACGAATGTAGTATAAGGGGAATAATCTTGGAATGCAACCTCAAACTCCATTTCACCTCATCTCATCTCCCATGTTGCTACCTGTCTACAAACACTTTATGGCAGGATACATGCAGTGAATACATTAATTGTTTATGTCATTGCACTAGGCCCTTGATCATTATCATGTCATTTACTACATGTTGAAAATACCTTCATTTGTTTTAAAGATAGCACATTAAGGTAAGGGAGTTTTGTTTTCGTTACAACGATGGAGGTTTTACTCATGTACACACAGCCTGGTTGTTTCATCAAGGTAACAGGATCGGGAGGTCAGGCTCGCTGACTTGGTTGATGCATGTCATCGATCCCAGTTGCGTGGATCGATGCTCATGATGTCAATGACTTGATTGTCTGGTCAAGACTCGATTATTTACAGACCACCATCATGTAGCTGGAATATTGCTGAGTGCGGCGTTAAACAACAAACAAACAAAACAAGGAACAGACACTGTACAGTTCATATATATTTAATACAAAAATAGGTCAACAAATAAATAATGTAAATGTTTTCTACAATACAAGGACGGCAATATGACATCTTAACACAATATTCATGATATCACAGGCAGTTGACGAATGAAGTTGGATGGAGGCACATCACATGCTTGTCTGGATATCAAGCCAGTCGAGATGCTCACAACACTGATACACAGACACTCCTGTCACTAAGTGACACGTTGAACAGTCAGCCTGTTTTCTATTGGTTCACTTCAGTAAGGCTAGAAAAGAAGATATGACTGTCTTCAAACAACGCTGCAACAGTAAAAAAACAAAAGGTCTCATTTCTGCTTTCTGACACATGTAGCACTTCATTTTTTAGTCATCAGCTAAATATACAATAAATTTATGAGAACAGCTATACTTACAATAAAGTAATATCTATGTATGGACTTCCCTTTCTGAAATAACAGTGCCCTTATATTCCGCTCTGTTGATATCAATACAGATGTAAGATAACTATAAGAGAATCTCTTGACAAGACAACCTTGGAGGCACAGCTCCTGAAAAGGGGCACCTGTTGGCAGTGCTGACTAAGGTGGAGTTCCACTTATCAATAGGTAGCTAGTGACACTGTGTGCTGCTTCAAGCTTTCATTATAGTGAGGTATGTAGTTATTATGGAAGTGGCAGTAGGTCACAAGTCTATATGCCAGGCACTTTGACAGAGATTCCAAACTGAGTAGATATTTGTTGCAACTTTTCTTCATATAGCACATTTTTCTGGACGGCTTGTTTATAGTTGTACTTCAGATCTTCAACCTCTTCAAAGAACTCCGGACCAAAGCTTTCAAGTTCTTTCTTCAACTGAAAATAACATTAAATATACAATAACAACGTAGATGAGGTGAGGTGAGGTGAGGTGAGGTGAGGTGAGGTGAGGTGAGGTGAAATGGGGTTTAATGTCGTGTCCAAGATTATTGCATTTATATTGCATTTTGCGTGTGTGTGTGTTGTGGTAGCCAACTGAGATACAATGCCGCAGTTTAACATGAATACCCCACTCAGACACAGTATACTGACTCGAGCTGACCAGTCCTTTTAGCTTGATAAAGCCGAGCACCAGACAGGGTAACAAGTAGCATCTTTTAACGTTTTTGGTATGACGCTCTGGGGATCGATCCCCTGACCTTCCGCACTCCGGGCAGACACTCTACCCCGACTCTGAGTTTTGAGTTCCCTCAGCATTGCTACTAGCTCTCAGCTGTGTTCTGGTGGGTTTAGTCTCGTCACACTATCAGTTACTGGTTTGAACCCAACAGTTTGAGAGTTGTAATGCTGAATGCAACAGGAACAAACTTACTCACAGCATAGCAGCATAATAGAAGCACTCGCTCTTTCAACATCCAGTCTCATAGCTGTGTAATACCAACACTCACCCTATCGACCTTCAGTCTATATAACAACCTCATACCAACACTCACTCATCTACCTCCAGTCTGTAGTACAACCTCATACCAACACTCACCCTATCGACCTTCAGTCTATATAACATCCTCATACCAACACTCACCCTATCGACCTCCAGTCTGTATAACAACCTCATACCAACACTCACCCTATCGACCTCCAGTCTGTATAACAACCTCATACCAACACTCACCCTATCAACCTCCAGTCTGTATAACAACCTCATACCAACACTCACCCTATCGACCTTCAGTCTCTATAACAACCTCATACCAACACTCACCCTATCAACCTCCAGTCTGTATAACAACCTCATACCAACACTCACCCTATCGACCTCCAGTCTGTATAAGAACCTCATACCAACACTCACCCTATCGACCTCCAGTCTATATAACATCCTCATACCAACACTCACCCTATCGACCTCCAGTCTATATAACAACCTCATACCAACACTCACCCTATCGACCTCCAGTCTATATAACAACCTCATACCAACACTCACCCTATCCACCTCCAGTCTATATAACAACCTCATACCAACACTCACCCTATCGACCTCCAGTCTATATAACATCCTCATACCAACACTCACCCTATCGACCTCCAGTCTATATAACAACCTCATACCAACACAAACCCTATCGACCTCCAGTCTATATAACAACCTCATACCAACACTCACCCTATCCACCTCCAGTCTATATAACATCCTCATACCAACACTCACCCTATCCACCTCCAGTCTATATAACAACCTCATACCAACACTCACCCTATCGACCTCCAGTCTATATAACAACCTCATACCAACACTCACCCTATCCACCTCCAGTCTGTATAACAACCTCATACCAACACTCACCCTATCGACCTCCAGTCTATATAACAACCTCATACCAACACTCACCCTATCGACCTCCAGTCTATATAACAACCTCATACCAACACTCACCCTATCCACCTCCAGTCTATATAACAACCTCATACCAACACTCACCCTATCGACCTCCAGTCTATATAACATCCTCATACCAACACTCACCCTATCGACCTCCAGGCGCAACTTGTCCCGTTCCAGCCTGACAGACTTGAGATCCATCGTCACTTCCACATTCTCCCGTAGAACACGATCGTAGTTACCAGCCTTCGTCAGGATGTCGTCATCAAGCTATCAAGAAAGGACACACAGTTTCACTAAGCTACAGTTGAGGCTCATTGAGCTCCACCTATCTAGAAAATATGGCTAACTTGGCAACCTGGGTTGGTCACAGCTGAGACCTTTATTCATAATAATTTGACTTGGAGAGATAGAAAATTGTTTAATTTTTCAATGAAAAGAACTAAATCAAATCCACAGGACTTCTCATCGTTAATTAGACCAGGGGCCACTTGCACAAAGCGAAATTAGCGCTACAATGATCGTAACTCCCATACTCTAATATAGACTTAGGATAGTTGTAGCACTAAGATCGCTTTGTGCAAGTGGGCCCAGGTGATTCAGTGGTCCAAGTGAAAGTGAATGAGGATTGTAGCAATATCACATCAGTAATGGGCTTCACACATTGTATCCGTGGGGGGAATCGAACCCAGGCCTTTAACGTGACGATTGACACATTAACCACAAGGCTGCCCCACTGCTGCCTGATTTAAGTAATGAAAGAGTTGCTATCGACAGACTTTACTGTACCCTGACTAACGTGGTTCTAGAGAACCAGAGTGGCCAGTACATCACACTGCTAGTACAAGGCAAGCATCTTATGGTACACTAGTCTGATGTGGCTGGGATGTTCGTCAGTGTTTACCTGTGTGGAGCTGCCGCCAGCAGGTCGTCTACGTCGCACCTCACTCAGCAGCTCTTTCTTCTGCTCCTCCAGTTGATCGATGGTCAACCTGATGGACATGAAACACTTGTAGTAGTTTTCTGCTCTCTGTCTAGGTATGATAGTCTAAATATCTGTACAAAGGATTACTGTCACTTTACCTCATTGCAAACCAAATTTTAAATCACATTCCCCTTTGACAAATATGGGCATACATTAAAGGGAAACCGAGACATGAAATCCCCCCAGATTTGATCAGAGTAGATCATTCCAAGTATCCATCCCTTCATAACACAAATATCTGTGTGACAAAGGTCATGCAGCGTAAGCCGATGGATATGGTTCAGTGTTCAACATCAGGGACCAGTTGGCATTCTCAGAGGCCCATCTTCAGCCCCAAGTCTAGTTCAACCTCTCAAATTGGAAATAGAAATTTCCGTAATTATGGCTTGTGCTTCATGCTCACAACATGACCATTAAAGAGGAATATAAGATATATATACACGTGAGAAATCACAAAGAACAATGGAGAACAAAGCGTGGTTTATTTCACGATAAAACATTGTTCTATCATGATGTCATTTCTGGAGATTCGAATATGTGCTTACAACTTGATGACGTCATATTTTGAACGTTAATTTTGAGAGGGGAGTGTCTAGTAAATTGTTCCCAAAAGATATAGCTGGGCTACACAGATAAACGCAATGGCCGAATGATCAGGTTTTAGGTGAAAAGGTACAGATAATCGACGTGAGGATTGTGAGAATATGCGGGAAATACCAAACTTAACCTACCTGTTTGTAAAATGGAATTGTCTGATTTTATTCATTTTTAAGATTTGGGAAAATGTTTTTAAAGCTTTTACACTTTATCAACATCCTTAAAGAGGCTGTACATGATGTTGATATCTCATACAAGAAGTAAACGACTCGTGGTCGTTGTTATTGTACGATAAACAACTCCTACTTATCAATTATTTCTTAACTGGAGTTGGAAACCTGCTTTTTTTACATCACTGAATACAATGCTAAAGTACCTCTACGTTTAAGTGCATAAGAACTTTTAACAATAGAAATTTTAAAACAATCCATGCTTTATTCACAATTTGCCTGCCAGGGAAACCTAATTTGGAATCCAGGATGAATCTCTGACAGTTTCCTTTCATAGATAAAAAACTAATCTTCCCACTAGCTGTGCCCATTGTCTCTGTGTGTACTGACCTGGCCTGCTGGTACTCCCTCATCAGGTTGGCATCACTAGTGTGAGCCTGGCTGCCGGCCGGGAATCTCTCCAGCACCATGATCTACAGAAGTAGGAGTGAGTGAGTGAGTGAGTGAGTGAGTGAGTGAGTTGGGTTAACGCCACTTTTAACAGTTTTCCAGTTATATCACGGCATGGGAGTAAAGCCCGAAGTGATGCAGGTCTTGGACATTTACCACTTTGGTGAAACCCACAAGCAAGGGTATGGTGCTGACAAACCTAGAAACATAATCGGGCTAACTGGGATTCGAACCAACAATCATAGGTTTCTGGCGTGCCCAAGGGACGCAACTCTGCACAGTGAATCGCCTGGGCCACCCGTGCCACCCGTGCCCCCTACAGAAGTAGGAACAACAGTCAACAACTACAGTCAGCATACAGATGTAATGTTTCTACTTACAAAACACACTGTGGCTGATGATTGGTCACAGCATGAGTTGTTTCTACAACAGTTAACTTGTTAGGACAAACGTCTTTTGATTACCATTACAGGATTACTTCAGATATAGGTTGGCTGTGACAATTCATAGTGTAAAACCAATGCGTTTCTGTCCTCATGAGACAGCAAGGCCATACTGTGAACTACACATTGTGCCTGGCAGTCCCATCCTGCTGTAGACGGTGGCTGACACTAACATGCCTGTGTGAGTGTGGCTCCTGTTCTGTAGCTCACCTTCTTCTGCAGGTCGTCCTGGCGCCTGATCAGCTCCTGCTCCCTCTCGGCGGCATCCTTCAGCAGCTTCTTCGTGTCTGACACTATCTTGTTCTGAATTGGAATAAAACAGATACATTTGCAAAGATGAAAAGGAGTGAGAAGTGATGGTTACAACACTCGCTACAAATCATGCTGTAAGTGCAGGTAATAATAAAACTGCAATCTCTATTTCCGACACATCCCTCTTATCCTCACCCATTCTCCCCACCATCCATCTTCTTCCTGGCACTTCCCCATCTCTCTCCTCCCCACTCCTCCCTGCCTGACATCCATATTCTACCCCCACAAACAACCTCCCCCACTCCCTCCTGATCTCACCTCAGCTCTTCTCCACATCCCTTCCACACACCAAACTCTCTAATCTGCATCAACCCTCTTCTCCCCACCCCTTACTCCCATCATCCCTATTCTCCACCCATTCCTCCCCAAACCCTTTTCTCCCCACCCCTTAATCCCTCCAAACTTCTGGCCAGCCCTTCCTCCCGCCACCCCCTCTTCTCCCCACCATTCCTCCCACAAACCTCTTCTCCCCACCATTCCTCTTCTCCCCACCATATCTCCAACAACCCTTTTCTCCCCACCCCTTAATCCCTCCAACCTTCTCCCCAGCCCTTCCTCCCACCACCTTTCTACTGCCACCCCTCTTCTCCCCACCATTCCTCTCACAACCCTCTTCTCCCCACCCACAACGCACCTTCTTCTCCAGATCCTGCTCTAGCCCCTTGATCTTCTCCTCATACATGCGTGTGACGACGGCCGACTTCCAGCCCTTGGTGTCGCTGGACATGGCGTTGGGGCGCTTGGCCTCCTCGATCTCCAGCTTGGTGCGAGTGTCGGTCAGTTCCTTGTGGTGGTGGTCAGACTGCAGCTCCGTTGACCGCAGCTGTACGCGCAGCTTCTCTGACGTCTCCTTCTCCTACAACAAGCACAAGAAGCATGAGTTCCACACCATCAACTCTCCATATTACTGGGATCATTCACTCCATCTTAACTATATTCTAGTTTAGGAATGACAAGGGTGGTGGTTATAAGATACTTGAAACCTATGTTTAAACCAAGACTAGAGTGGGCCCTTTCAGGGCCCTATCTAGGATTCCAAACAAAGTAGAAATGGCAGGCAAATTGTTCAAAACTGTAACATTGTTCAAAACTGTGATTTTCTAATTTTCCTAATTTCTGAGGATTTTAACATTGAAAACTCTGTTTCCTTCTTAATCCTGTTATGCAAGAAATACAAGTCACTTCGATCAAACATGACATTAGTGAACAACTGCGTTAACATGACATGTGCTGCAGACTTGGGGTTGAATATCAGCCTCTCAGCAGGTCTATACATCCCTGACTTTGTCAGCAGAGTGCCTTAATCGAGTACTCCTCTCACCATGAGTACGACATAGGCTTTGTGTGGCAAGAGAATACCATGTTGACATATTTCAGCCATGCTATGTTTGGTCTTCCAGCCTTTTGGCAAGACTTGATGAATATCCTAAATACATCAATTAGGGTGTTTGTCTTTCCTTATTGTGCTCACTGCAACCATATGAGACATGGTATATATTCCCCATTCAAAATGTGGAGTGCTACTGCAGTGACCGTCGGCTATGGTTTGTTTGTATGTAGCTCCAGTTCCTGACAATGTCTTCTATGGCCAACTAGACTCAACATACACTGTGCAGCTACTGTAGTGACCGTCGGCTATGGTATGTTTGTATGTAGCTCCAGTTCCTGACAATGTCTTCTATGGCCAACTAGACTCAACATACACTGTGCAGCTACTGTAGTGACCGTCGGCTATGGTATATTTGCATGTAGCTCCAGTTCCTGACAATGTCTTCTATGGCCAACTAGACTCAACATACACTGTGCAGCTACTGTAGTGACCGTCGGCTATGGTATATTTGTATGTAGCTCCAGTTCCTGACAATGTCTTCTATGGCCAACTAGACTCAACATACACTGTGCAGCTACTGTAGTGACCGTCGGCTATGGTATATTTGCATGTAGCTCCAGTTCCTGACAATGTCTTCTATGGCCAACTAGACTCAACATACACTGTGCAGCTACTGTAGTGACCGTCGGCTATGGTATATTTGCATGTAGCTCCAGTTCCTGACAATGTCTTCTATGGCCAACTAGACTCAACACACACTGTGCAGCTACTGCAGCTCACCTTCATCAACTCCTTCCTCATCTTCTCATAGTCATTCATCAGCCTGGCTGTGCCCTTCTGCTGGGTGGTGTACCGGTCACTCAGCGTGGCTCCCATTGTCTCACGCAGCTCGTCCAGTTGTTTCTGTAGGGAATTCATCACACAGGTTTTAAGCCACAATGCTTCATGAATAGTTTGATACGCATATCTTAGAAGTTGAAGGATGACAAAGTGAACAAAACTTTATGGATAACAACTTCTTTTTTATACTGTTATACCAAAATGTCGCTATTACAGTTGAACTTTTAGAAGTTGTTATCCATAAACTGTTGTCTACTTTATAATCTTCATATAACTTGAAACACAAAAGGTAATTCACGGTATGTTTCTTAAAGTCACCATTATTAAGGAAATATATTCCTTTCATTCAGACAATTCTTGCATCAGAGAAAAACAAATCTCCCCAAGTTTATATTTACAACAGCTTTAAGGTATAAAAAGGTAGTAATTTTGACCCAATACAGCAAACAGCTGGCAAATTGCATGCACTAAATGCTCTCTTACCAAAACTTTAATTCCCTCAAAACATGAAATGCATACAGACTTTGCGCCACTATTGACTGCCAATCAGCTGTATTCAACACAATCATGTCCTTCACCTTGAGTGCCTCGTTCTCCAGTTTAAACATGGCCGCCTGGTCCGTGGCACTGTAGCCTGGAGCCCTCTTCAGCTGCTCATTCTCCATCTGGAGTCTCTCAACAACCCTCTTCAGCAGCGCGATCGTCTTTTCAAGTTCTCGCGAACTCTTGCCACTCTCACCAATCTATAATAACATTACCATAACCAAGTTTACACCCTAACATCAACATAACCAACTTTATACCCGAACATCACCATAACCAACTTTACACCCGAACATCAACATAACCAACTTTACACCCGAACATCACCATAACCAAATTTACACCCGAACATCACCATAACCAACTTTACACCTGAACATCAACATAACCAACTTTACACCCAAACATCAACATAACCAACTTTACACCCAAACATCAACATAACCAACTTTACACCCTAACATCACCCTAACCAACTTTACACCCAAACATCAACATAACCAACTTGACACCCGAACATCACCATAACCAAGTTTATACCCTCACATCAACATAACCAACTTGACACCCGAACATCACCATAACCAACTTTACACCCAAACATCAACATAACCAACTTTACACCCAAACATCAATATAACCAACTTTACACCCAAACATCAACATAACCATCTTTACACCCTAACATCACCATAACCAAGTTTATACCCTCACATCAACATAACCAACTTTACACCGAAACATCAACATAACCAACTTTACACCTGAACATCAACATAACCAGCTTTACACCCAAACATCAACATAACCAACTTTACACCCGAACATCAACATAACCAACTTTACACCCAAACATCAACATAACCAACTTTACACCCGAACATCAACATAACCAACTTTACACCTAAACATCACCATAACCAACTTTACACCTGAACATCAACATAACCAAGTTTACGGCCAAACATCAACATAACCAAGTTTACACCCGAACATCAACATAACCAACTTTACACCCGAACATCACCATAACCAACTTTACACCTGAACATCAACATAACCAAGTTTACGGCCAAACATCAACATAACCAAGTTTACACCCGAACATCAACATAACCAACTTTACACCCGAACATCACCATAACCAACTTTACACCCCAACATCACCATAAGTTATGGTGATGTTTGGGTGTAAAGTTGGTTATGGTGATGTTCGGGTGTAAAGTTGGTTATGTTGATGTTCAGGTGTAAAGTTGGTTATGATAACCAACTTTACACCTGAACATCAAAATAACCAACTTTACACCCAAACATCAACATAACCAACTTTACACCCAAACATCAACATAACCAACTTTACATCCTAACATCACCATAACCAACTTTACACCCAAACATCAACATAACCAACTTGACACCCAAACATCACCATAACCAAGTTTATACCCTCACATCAACATAACCAACTTGACACCCGAACATCACCGTAACCAACTTTACACCTGAACATCAACATAACCAACTTTACACCCGAACGTCAACATAACCAACTTTACACCCAAACATCAACATAACCAACTTTACACCCTAACATCACCATAACCAAGTTTATACCCTCACATCAACATAACCAACTTGACACCCGAACATCACCATAACCAAGTTTATACCCTCACATCAACATAACCAACTTGACACCCGAACATCACCATAACCAAGTTTATACCCTCACATCAACATAACCAACTTTACACCCTAACATCACCCTAACCAACTTTACACCCAAACATCAACATAACCAACTTGACACCCGAACATCACCATAACCAAGTTTATACCCTCACATCAACATAACCAACTTGACACCCGAACATCACCATAACCAACTTTACACCCAAACATCAACATAACCAACTTTACACCCAAACATCAATATAACCAACTTTACACCCAAACATCAACATAACCATCTTTACACCCTAACATCACCATAACCAAGTTTATACCCTCACATCAACATAACCAACTTTACACCGAAACATCAACATAACCAACTTTACACCTGAACATCAACATAACCAGCTTTACACCCAAACATCAACATAACCAACTTTACACCCGAACATCAACATAACCAACTTTACACCCAAACATCAACATAACCAACTTTACACCCGAACATCAACATAACCAACTTTACACCTAAACATCACCATAACCAACTTTACACCTGAACATCAACATAACCAAGTTTACGGCCAAACATCAACATAACCAAGTTTACACCCGAACATCAACATAACCAACTTTACACCCGAACATCACCATAACCAACTTTACACCTGAACATCAACATAACCAAGTTTACGGCCAAACATCAACATAACCAAGTTTACACCCGAACATCAACATAACCAACTTTACACCCGAACATCACCATAACCAACTTTACACCCCAACATCACCATAACCAACTTTACATCCTAACATCACCATAACCAACTTTACACCCAAACATCAACATAACCAACTTGACACCCAAACATCACCATAACCAAGTTTATACCCTCACATCAACATAACCAACTTGACACCCGAACATCACCGTAACCAACTTTACACCTGAACATCAACATAACCAACTTTACACCCGAACGTCAACATAACCAACTTTACACCCAAACATCAACATAACCAACTTTACACCCTAACATCACCATAACCAAGTTTATACCCTCACATCAACATAACCAACTTGACACCCGAACATCACCATAACCAAGTTTATACCCTCACATCAACATAACCAACTTGACACCCGAACATCACCATAACCAAGTTTATACCCTCACATCAACATAACCAACTTGACACGCGAACGTCAACACAACCAAATTTACACCCAAACATCAACATAACCAACTTTACACCCAAACATCAACATAACCAACTTTACACCCTAACATCACCATAACCAAGTTTATACCCTCACATCAACATAACCAACTTTACACCCGAACGTCAACATAACCAAGTTTACACCCGAACGTCAACAGAACCAACTCGACACCCTTAAGTGGTTTCAGAGTTCCCCCTGGAACTCAACATCCTAAGCCTCACCCTCCTGATGCTGGTGTTGGAGGACCCAAGGGACCTGGCCGTGTCCCCACTCAGCTGGGCATTCTCCATCTTCAGGGCATCTGCGTACCGCTGCAGGTCCTTGATACGGTCCTGGGGAAAACCACACAGTAGGGATTCAAAACAAACGTGTAAAATCTAGATATCTTTTATATTTGTATACTTATTGTCCATAACTCTTTAAAGCGTTTAGATGTAGTAATGCAGGATAAGTTAAAACTCTAATAAAATCTGGATATTTTTTATATTTGTATACTTATCCTGCATTACTTTGTGCATTAAGAGTACTGGTACTGCAGGAAAAGTTAAAAAATTATAAATTTACAATGGAGGATTTTTAAAAACGACAATGACAATGTAGATCTCACTGACAGCGGAGCACGTGATTATTGTTTAACACTGCAGTCAGCAATACTATTGTGAAATGGAAAACTGTAAATAATCAAGTGGCTGGGGCCATGGGTTGCATATCATAATCATCCGATCCCTATTTTTGTGAAAACATTTACGACAAGAAATTCTGAAGGAATCCCCATGGCGGACGTGGACAAAGCCATAGCAAACTACCTTCATCCTGGGCAGGTCTTTCCGGGCCTGCTCTGCTTCAAAGCGGAGCTCGATGTTCTCCTCCGACAGCTTCAGGACCTGGCGCTGCAGATCCTGGTTCTTCTCAAACAACTTCTGGTACTCGATGGTCGTCACACCGCCACTCTGGAGACAGAGACACAGACTTCTAACAGAGATGATTGGTGTTTCCACAACCATAGGTTCTTCACTTAACTTTGTTGCATTAAGTTGCTTAGAGTAATACTACAGCAAAACGAAAGTGTAGGGTACCAGAGGGTTTTGAATTTTTTCGTCAAGAACAAAATTAGAATTATATTTTATACATTTGCACATTTTATCAACTTGGATGTTTTCGTCCAACCAGACTACACAAAGATACTGTCTTAACCACCAATGCATGAAGAATCCAGCCTTAACAGTTAACCACATATCTTATGTTTTCCCCGAGGCTGTACATACCGTGGAGCAATGTGCCAGGGCTCTCTCCAGCTGGTCCACCTGCTCACTGAGCTGTTGGTTGCGGAGCTGGGTCTCCTTGTAGGATGTGTCCCGGTCCATCACCAGCTGGCGCCGGAGGTTGGCCACCTGGTGGACAGATACAACAACAATTAACATCTAGGGGCCACCTGGTGGACAGATACAACATTCACCATCTAGCGGTCACCTGGTAGACAGATTCAATAACATTCAACATCTAGAGGCCACCTGGTGGACAGATACAACATTCACCATCTAGCGGCCACCTGGTAGACAGATTCAATAACATTCAACATCTAGAGGCCACCTGGTGGACAGATACAACATTCACCATCTAGCGGCCACCTGGTAGACAGATACAACAACATTCAACATCTAGAGGCCACCTGGTGGACAGATACAACAACAATTAACATCTAGAGGCCACCTGGTGGACAGATACAACATTCACCATCTAGCGGTCACCTGGTAGACAGATTCAATAACATTCAACATCTAGAGGCCACCTGGTGGACAGATACAACATTCACCATCTAGCGGTCACCTGGTAGACAGATACAACAACATTCAACATCTAGAGGCCACCTGGTGGACAGATACAACAACAATTAACATCTAGCGGCCACCTGGTGGACAGATACAACATTCACCATCTAGCGGTCACCTGGTAGACAGATTCAATAACATTCAACATCTAGAGGCCACCTGGTGGACAGATACAACATTCACCATCTAGCGGTCACCTGGTAGACAGATTCAATAACATTCAACATCTAGAGGCCACCTGGTGGACAGATACAACATTCACCATCTAGCAGCCACCTGGTAGACAGATTCAATAACATTCAACATCTAGAGGCCACCTGGTGGACAGATACAACATTCACCATCTAGCGGCCACCTGGTAGACAGATTCAATAACATTCAACATCTAGCAGCCACCTGGTAGACAGATACAACAACATTCAACATCTAGCAGCCACCTGGTAGACAGATTCAATAACATTCAACATCTAGCAGCCACCTGGTAGACAGATACAACAACATTCAACATCTAGCGGCCACCTGGTAGACAGATTCAACATTCAACATCTAGCAGCCACCTGGTAGACAGATACAACATTCAACATCTAGCAGCCACCTGGTAGACAGATACAACATTCAACATCTAGCAGCCACCTGGTAGACAGATACAACAACATTCAACATCTAGCGGCCACCTTGTAGACAGATTCAACATTCAACATCTAGCAGCCACCTGGTAGACAGATACAACATTCAACATCTAGCAGCCACCTGGTAGACAGATACAACATTCAACATCTAGCAGCCACCTGGTAGACAGATACAACATTCAACATCTAGCGGCCACCTGGTAGACAGATTCAACATTCAACATCTAGCAGCCACCTGGTAGACAGATACAACATTCAACATCTAGCAGCCACCTGGTAGACAGATACAACATTCAACATCTAGCAGCCACCTGGTAGACAGATACAACATTCAACATCTAGCGGCCACCTGGTAGACAGATACAACATTCAACATCTAGCGGCCACCTGGTAGACAGATACAACCATATTCAACATCTAGCGGCCACCTGGTAGACAGATTCAACAACATTCAACATCTAGCGGCCACCTGGTAGACAGATTCAACAATTAACATCTAGCAGTCACCTGGTGGACAGATTCAACAACATTCAATATCTAGCAGCCACCTGGTAGACAGATTCAACAATTAACATCTAGCAGCCACCTGGTAGACAGATTCAACAATTAACATCTAGCAGTCACCTGGTGGACAGATACAACAACATTCAACATCTAATGGCCACCTGGACAGATGCAACAACATTCAACATCTAGCGGCCACCTGGTAGACAGATTCAACAATTAACATCTAGCAGTCACCTGGTGGACAGATTCAACAACATTCAATATCTAGCAGCCACCTGGTAGACAGATTCAACAATTAACATCTAGCAGCCACCTGGTAGACAGATTCAACAATTAACATCTAGCAGTCACCTGGTGGACAGATACAACAACATTCAACATCTAATGGCCACCTGGACAGATGCAACAACATTCAACATCTAGCGGCCACCTGGTAGACAGATTCAACAATTAACATCTAGCAGTCACCTGGTGGACAGATTCAACAACATTCAATATCTAGCAGCCACCTGGTAGACAGATTCAACAATTAACATCTAGCAGTCACCTGGTAGACAGATTCAACAATTAACATCTAGCAGTCACCTGGTGGACAGATTCAACAACATTCAATATCTAGCAGCCACCTGGTAGACAGATTCAACAATTAACATCTAGCAGTCACCTGGTAGACAGATTCAACAATTAACATCTAGCAGTCACCTGGTGGACAGATGCAACAACATTCAACATCTAGCGGCCACCTGGTAGACAGATTCAACAATTAACATCTAGCAGTCACCTGGTGGACAGATTCAACAACATTCAATATCTAGCAGCCACCTGGTGGACAGATTCAACAACATTCAATATCTAGCAGCCACCTGGTGGACAGATTCAACAACATTCAATATCTAGCAGCCAACTAGGGGCAGATTCAAAAACATATGGAGCACAATGTTCATTGACCTGTGGAAGGAGGTAATTTTTACAGGTCCATTAAACAATATTTTGCACTGTGATATAACACATTCTCCCAACACGTTCACATTATTACTTATAAGTGTTACAAGAGTTACCTCCTCCTGCAGCATGTAGTTCTTGTTCTTCAACTCCTCTGTGTCATGTCCGGCCTTGCCAGGGGGCGCTGCACTCACATGTGACACGGTGGTGCGGGCGATGGCGCGGGACCTGGCCTCTATGCTCTCCTTCTCACGGTTAGCTCTGTGGGGACAGAAACAGTGAGTGAGTGGACAACCTATTAGATCTAATCTACTCATACAGACTGCAGTCAGGGCTGAAACTGTTGTCATAGAACCCGGAGTTGTGGGTTGTTAGCCATTTGTGACAAACTCGTGTTATTTCGGGACAAGCCCAATAGCAACTTGTGCCCTTTTCGTAGCTATTGTTGCGACTGGGTTCCGTCTAAGAGCAAACAGGCATAGTTAAAAGAATTGTCATCTTGTTGCGTAATGATTCACGTATATTTCCCCCATATACTATATATATTCCAGATGCTATTTAAAACACATCAGGACTTGCGGTAGTTATACAGCATGATTATACACAGTTAACTGTATCTTGGGCATACTTTCAGATGCAAGACATGTGTAAAATCCAAAAATATTCCTGAGGGATTCTTTGCCCCCCTACTTGTAGTCATACACACATTCTGACTGGTTTGTCATACTTTCGCACATAACTGTCATCGATAGGGGGACGACTGTTCTTGCAGGTCACGGAAAGGGGCGAATTTTGACGAATGGGTTGTTAGCGTAACATCATTCATGTTTGGGGCAAATGACCTTCACAAAAAGGGGGTCAGTTTAACAGTTGAACATCTCCACCATTAGTTTTATCGTTTAACGCCGCACTCAGCAATATTTCAATGTATTGTATGACCAAGGTATGTAATTTATTGAGTCTGGGCCAGACAATCCAGTGATTTAACTCATGAGCATTGATCACACAATTGATGACATGCATCAACCAAGTCACCGAGCCTGACCATCCGATCCTGTTAGTCGTCTAGTATACTATGACATGAATGACACCACAATACCTCTCTGGATTACGGATGACACTGAATGTTTCCATGACAACCAAATTACCTGGTCGGCAGAATGCAGACAAATATCAGCTATGTGAGGTTGTTCTCATAAATAGTAATCAAACTTAATCTAAAATGAATATGATACATGTCACAATGTCAAATGCAACAAGACAAAAAATAACAGGGAAAAGGGCAGAAATTTCTGGAGTGTCGGATTCCATTTAACACCAATTTTCAACCTCTCGCCCAATCATTTTTATAATTCAAATATTCTTACCACTGTATTACAGAAACAGAGCAGAGCTAACACCACGCACATGTCAGTCCATAACAGAACAGTCTCATCAATATTTCATTCCTAATCAGACTGTTACCTGCCTCTCAGAAATCAATACAATGTCTCAAGTTGCAAGAACCCAACAGATCAAACAGATACGCTGTGATGGAGCAAGTAGTAGCCCTGAAATGTCATTACAAACAATAGAACACCGTAAAACACATACAAGTTTTTTTCACAGTTGGTGCAATGTCTTTGATCCTGATGTGAGTGAAAAATCACTCACCACATAAATGATACACTGAAGTACTTGTAAGTGTCAATGATATTTCCTTCTGTTATAAACAATGCATACACACACAGAGCTGCCTATGTCATTGGACATATACCATAATCATATATATAACCTATACATCTATACACTGAAGTACTTGTAAGTGTCAATGATATCTCCTGTTTTAACTTACAATCTGACAATGCAGACACACACAGAGCTGCCTATGTCACAGGGTATTTACCATACACAATCAGCCCTGTCAATGTCTATCCACATACATACACACCAAGTTAGACGAGGGACTGTTAGGACAGCCAGCTCCATGTTCCCTGCAGACAGCAGACAGAGCTGTGTGTCGGAGTGTTGACACAGCAAGCACCTGTGTGTGTGTGACTGACAGCTATGTACAACCCACTGACATGTTTGGACATGTCAACCTTATACACTACAGTCAGTTTCAGAAAAGTCCCCTCAGGGCCAGCTTTTGTTGATCAGCACAACACTATTACAGATGGACTTTTTGTTACATATATAGACAAAGAACAGGATTTTAAGTATTATTAAATGGGTGTTTGTCTTGTGAAATTTCTGATTATAGAAAATCTATCTGCAAAACATGGTACCGTATTCGACGTAATAAGTGCCCCGCTCTAATAAGCACCCACAGCGATAATTGCTAATATATTGGCTAGTGAACAATCCCAATAAGCACCCCTTCCGACTGATCAATATACACAAGACTTATTAATTTGTGTATAATATGCACTCGTGTGTTATATGCACCCTTGATTAAGGGCAATTAAATTCTGGAAAACATATCTGTCCTGCTTAATACGCACAGACTTTTCTTTTGTATCATTTCAGGCTGTCAGCATAAACCACAATATTTACGATCCTTCAACTCTAATTTTGAGAGCGCCCTGGGCGCATATTACGTCGAATACGGTATATATTTAGACGTACGAGTCAAACTAAAATCAAAATAGTTTTTTGTGATAGCTGTAGTTGTCATGTGCTTCTCTCTGATTGGAAACATTATGTGCTTGAATTATTATGAAAACCATATTGCACATATTTCTGATTTCTAACATCTGTAATTCCTTTATAAAGACATTGAAATTTGAAACTAAAACATGTATCTATTCTGTCCTCATAATTGCAGTGGGAGCATGTTGTTACAATGTCTTCCTTCAGGTTTGTCATATGTCCCTCTGTTTAAGATGTTAATCCCTGCCCCCATCCTCCCCGTCACTAACAAGCCATCCTGACATTATTTCTCTTTCCCCAAATACTTACAAAGAATTCACTGTACATGCTCCTTCAATTATTCTCTGCCTGATGAAATAAACAGTCTACATATTGGCACTCAACATTCATGCCTCATGTGAAAAACATCCGTCAAAAGTAAATGTACACAGTGTGTTTTAACACAATAAACAAATACATATAATATGGTGCCTCACATTAGGCTTAAAAAAAAATAAAAGTATTGGTTCTCAGGCAATGGCTTTTGCAAATATAGTGCGGGCTGACAGTGTTTTTTTTTTTGGGGGGGGGGGGGGTGTTCAAACTAATATGTAACCAAATAAACAGTTGTGAACCATCAACCTGGGAAAGGGCCTCCCTACATAAATGTATTCCTTGATGAGTAAAATACTGGAATACAGCATTTGACTACCATTGGACAAATCCCATCAACTCACATGAACTCACCTTGAAACGATCATTAGTCATTAGAGATACAAAATCTTTGGTCTTCCTATCACTGTATTCAAATTTCTTTTCAGTAATGATATTGACCATGACATTAAGTATAGTTTAATCTAAATCAGTACAGGGAGAAAATATGTGAACAGCTGATAGCTATTTCTGGCTTATTTCACTTGACAAATACACATGTAATCTTAATCTCTGCATATGAAACATTAATTTTTCTAGCATACAGTTCACAAATACCATTGAATTTGTAAATAATCATGTCTTGTGATGTTTTATCATAAATATTATGTTTTCATTGACCAAATTTGCATCGGCAAAACAACAATACAAACTCTTATTGCTGCCATGACCATAACAAGAGATGTACAGTAAAGCAGTGCGCATGTAAAGGGAAGTAACTGCACACTATATTGGATCGCAATGTTTATAAGTATTGTGGCATTTCACTGCCAGGATCGTGTTTATTTAAGGATGTTTTTTTGTGTTAAAATATATTTAAAATGAAACATGAGGTGGACTTTATGATGATACGAGGAGTGCCGTAGAACCAAGACTATTAATTATTTAAAGCCTTAATAAAACATTTGTGACGAAAATCCAAAAATTGTAAATATATTGGAGAGTGATAAAGACTTTCTTAATTTGAAAGTTCCTACTTAATCAGCTCTGGAAAGTTCAATTAGGGTAAGATATATGTCAACACCCCATAAACATTCTATGAAACACCGCATCTGGCTACCATTACACACTTTCACAATTTAAAAAAGTAGTATTTTGTAGCACTGGTTGAATGCCTCACAGAACTACCGTATTCGATGTAATAAGCGCCCAGGGCGCTCTCAAAATTAGAAATAGGGGGGTTCTTATTAGAATATTATTTTGGTGAGAAAAAAAACAGAGTTGAAAGATAAATTTTGTGGTTTATGCTGACAGCCTGAAATGTAAATAAACAAGAGATACATTTTTCCAGAATTTAATTGCCCATAATTAACGGTGCATATAACACACAAATGCATATTATACGCGAATAAATAAGTGTTGTGTACATTGATCAATCGGAAGGGGAGCTAATAGGTATTGTTCACTAGCCAATACATTAGCAAATACCGCCGTGGGCGCTTATTAGAGCGGGGAGCTTATTACGTCGAATATGGTATATAAAAATGTCTTAAGGAACCATGTACTAGATAAGAGGAACAACTGCTTCTCTGTTAGTTCAATAAACTGACAAACCAGGTACCATAAAACCCATAATCCTCTTTCCCTCATTAATACGTGAACACAGCTTGTGATGTAACAGTGTATGCATGAACCAGTGAATACTGGATTTTCTGCTCCAATTGCTGATCATGTGACAATTGACAAAATGGCTACTGTCAGAGTTGAGCAATCTACATGCAATCCATGCAGACATGTCAACTTTAGGGAAAGATGCTCCTTCCTTTGTCACCGTTAAAGAGTTTGGCAGCGGAATTCAAGAGTTGAAGAGAGAGACTTGAAGATGAGGAGGACCTTCAACTGCCTGTGCAATAGGGCTGGGATGGGTAACTCGAGTACTCGGGTGGGTATTCTGTAGGACCTGGGTACCCACAGTACTACCCGGTCCCGTGGATAGTCATGTAATATATTGTTTAATGACATAAATTCACTAGAAATCTGGACTCGTCCCAGCGCTACTGTGTAATTTCCTACACTGTACACATGCATTACGCCGGACACCTACCCGCCATTTTTAATAAGGTCATGTAATGTTTCTATATAGAGAAGTGCTTGCGATCGCAGAAAGGTATAAAAATATTAATCTGAGGTGCAAATAACCATGAAAATAGATTCATTGAACCTAAACCAAGAATTTCATTTTCATTAAAATATGTACAAAAGGTAAGTCGTAATGAATTATCTAAAAATGTAGACTAAAGGAATGATGGGATATGGAACCGAAGACTGTGGGATTATTCTCACAGGTAAGTCCTTTTCATTGGGCTATATCATGTTAAGTCACACCGTAGTAACTACCGTATTTGGACCGCTCCCCGCAACACTCAGTGTTCTCGTAGAAATGTCAGAAAATGTTTTTTGAAAATGAAAATCAGGGATATATACAAATTGACGAGGGACAAGGAACAAATATTTTCTATTAATGGACTTATTGGGAACAGGGAGGGGAAAACGTGTGCCAAATGTGAAATGGGAAAATTATATTTCTTCAAGGATAAATCCTACAGCAATGATGGTATTTTGGGGAGATGTCACCGAAACTCATGTGGTTTGAAAACAGCAAGCTGTCACTGGGACAAATATTACTGTTGACATATTGCTGGGTTGTACAGACTTCCACAAGATTTCACAAGGAGAGAAGTCAAAATTTTATCTTCCCACAGTACCGTTGACTGGTACAATTTTTGTTGAGAAGTGTGTGTTCTAGTCCTTGACAAGGACAGCGAAAAGATTGGTGGTGTTGGGACAATGGTCGAAAAGGACGAATCTAAATTTGGGAAAAGGAACTACAACAAGGGATAACGAGAAGAAGGACAGTGGGTTTTTGGTGGTATGGAACAAGAAAGTAGTAAATGTTTTTTCCAGTGCATGGACAATAGAAGCTCAGAGACCCTCATTCCTATCATTATCAAACACATTAAGCCTGGAACCACTATAATCAGTGATTGTTGGAAAGCCTATACCTGTCTGTGTGATGAGGAATTCCATCATTTAACAGTTAATCATTCAAACCATTTCAAAGACCCGGACACTGGTGCCCACACGAACACAATTGAATTTTTGAAGAGAATGCTACCGAGGAGCAGAACAACAAAAGACTTGTATACTTCGTACTTTGAGGAATTTTGTGTGAGAAGAAAGTATCTGGACGTGAGTGATAAATTTACTGCCTTTGTTCTGCTCATCATGCGGGCATATAATCCACATTGTGCAGACAGGGACATCATTGTGAAATGGCAACCACTCGCTCCTGAAAACATGGCTGCAAATGACAGTTTGGATGACTTTGTTTTGTAATGGTAAGTACTTCCCAATTTTTATTGATTTTGTATACATACTATTAGAGGTATAAACCCCCTGAAAACTTAAAAAGATAATATCAACAAAAAAGACGGCCTCCAAAAATGGCGGCGTAAACAAAAGTCCTGGTTGCTGGGGATGTTTTTGCGCATCAATTGGCGCACTCTGTGAAACGTTCGTTCCGATGTCTGGTATAATGCATTCCTTCCGTCCTACACCACCACCCTGTGTAATGTCCAATGACCTATAACAATGTCATGTCCTACCTCTCCAGTGCTACCCTGGACAGCTCATTGGCCTTCTTCATCTTGTCGAGCTCCGTGTCCTTCTCCCGGATCTTCACCTTCATCTTCTCCACTGTCCTCTGCCACTTCTTGCTCTCCCCCCACCGAGAAACTTCCTCCGTCTGTCACAGAAACAAGGATAAAGAGTCACAAATAACTTTTGAACATCTAACAGACAAAACATGTGATATTGTTCTTCTGAAAGTACCTATTCGGATTAAAAGCATATTCATGCCACAGCTGCTAAATACTCTGCCTGTCATGTCCAATACCTCACTCAGCATTACACATAAAGTTATCTAAACTAGAAATTGTCTTACCTTGGTGCAATCTTCTTTCTGTTCATAAGGCTTTTCTGCTGTCTGGCGCTTCTTCAATTCATCCTCAAGCAGACGAACTCGACGGCGAGATTCATCCAGCTCCTGTTGCTTCTCAAACTCTCCAGCTCTCTGCAAGACAACATCCCCATGATACTGCAATCCCACTATACCACACATGATCCTACCAGACAACATTCCCATCAACTTGTCCTATAGAATGTCATAGAGAACCAACCCCTCCCTACAAACTGAACCCATCCATTGATTCCAACAATCCTCATCATCCTGTGGTCTCATCAGCCCGATATAGCATTCATGCTCTCCCCTCATCCAAGGTCAACCTGTGGTCCTCCTCTCCGACCCACCCATCTGGGTTTTCAAGGTGTTCCTGCTCTTCCCTCCACCTGTGTTCCAAGGACTCCATCAAACCCACATGTGTTCCCAGGTCTCCAGCCAACCCACCTGTGTTCTGTAGGCATTCCTACTCACCACCCCACCCCCTCCCTTGTTCTCAAGGCGTTTCTGTACATCCCACCTGTGTTCCAAGGTCTCTTCCCAACCTACCTGTGTTCCCAGGTCTCTTCCCCACCCACCTGTGTTCCCAGGTCTCTTACCCACCCACCTGTGTTCCCAGGTCTCTTCCCTACCCACCTGTGTTCCCAGGTCTCTTCCCAACCTACCTGTGTTCCCAGGTCTCTTCCCCACCCACCTGTGTTCCCAGGTCTCTTCCCCACCCACCTGTGTTCCCAGGTCTCTTCCCCACCCACCTGTGTTCTCATGGTGTTCATCCTCTCCACCTTCTTCTCCAGCTCATCAACCTCGTGCTCCAGCCTCTCTTTGTCTCGCTTGTACTTGTTGCAGTTCCGTTCCTTCTGGGCTGTCAACAGAACACACCATGTTACGGCAGTGTTGGAAAACACATGTTGCAGCAGGTTCAGAACACACCAAGTTACAGCAGTGGCAGAACACACCTTGTTACAGCAGTGGTGGAACACACCATGTTACAGCAGTGGCGCAACACACAATGTTACAGCAGCGTTGGAACACACCATGTTACAACAGTGGCGGAACACACCATGTTACAACAGTGGCGGGACACACAATGTTACAGCAGTGTCGGAACACACCATGTTACAGCAGGGTCGGAACACACCATGTTACAGCAGTGTCGGAACACCATGTAACAGCAGTGTCGGAACACCATGTTACAGCAGTGTCGGAACACCATGTTACAGCAGTGTCGGAACACACCATGTTACAACAGTGGGGGAACACACCATGTTACAGCAGTGTCGGAACACACCATGTTACAGCAGTGTCGGAACACCATGTAACAGCAGTGTTGGAACACCATGTTACAGCAGTGTCGAAACACACCATGTTACAGCAGTGTCGGAACACACCATGTTACAACAGTGGGGGAACACACCATGTTACAGCAGTGTTGGAACACACCATGTTACAACAGTGGCGGAACACACCATGTTAGAGCAGTGTCGGAACACACTATGTTACAACAGTGGGGGAACACACCTTGTTACAGCAGTGTCGGAACACCATGTTACAGCAGTGTCGGAACACACCATGTTACAGCAGTGTTGGAACACACCATGTTACAACAGTGGCGGAACACACCATGTTAGAGCAGTGTCGGAACACACTATGTTACAACAGTGGCGGAACACACCATGTTAGAGCAGTGTCGGAACACACTATGTTACAACAGTGGGGGAACACACCTTGTTACAGCAGTGTCGGAACACCATGTTACAGCAGTGTCGGAACACACCATGTTACAGCAGTGTTGGAACACACCATGTTACAACAGTGGCGGAACACACCATGTTAGAGCAGTGTCGGAACACACTATGTTACAGCAGTGTCGGAACACACCATGTTACAGCAGTGTCGGAACACACCATGTTACAGCAGTGTCGGAACACACCATGTTACAGCAGTGTCGGAACACACCATGTTACAGCAGTGTCGGAACACACCATGCATCTAAATCTTAACCACTTTACTGAACATGTTTCTCAGGTGAATCATAGTGTGAATGGTGTGAATGTGAATGTGAATGTGAATGTGAGACTTGTTTTGTTTGTTTGTTGTTTAACATCACAATCAGCAATATTCAAGCTATGTGACGGCGGCCTGCAAATAATCAAGTGGACCAGACAATCCAGTGATTGATATTATGAGCATTGATCCACGTAATTGGGATATGAAAACATGCATCAACCAAGAATATGTGGGTGTCTGTGTGCGTATTTGTGAAAGTGTATGTGTAAATGCACATCAATAATTATGTTTATGTAAATGTGTACATGTTTGTTTACGTGGATGTGAGAGTGGATAGGTTAGTGTGTACATGGTTGTGTTGTGTGTCGCGAGACCTGTGTCGAGTTGACCTGTGGATGCATGGGGTGGAAGCCAGGCAAGATGTCTCAGACCTGTGTTAGGTCTTATGACATGTTTTGTCTTATGAGTGAGGTTACTGACAATGTACGATATGCAGATTAGCTTGACTGAAGGACACTTACAGAACTCTTCCCGCGTGTCCTCCAGGTCTGTCTGCAGTGTGTGCTCATTCTCCTTCCTCTTCTTGATCTCCTTCTTCTGTCTCTCGACCTGCAGCTGGAGGTCCTCGATCTGCTCCTGTAACACACAGACACATTCTATAATGTATCTCACATAGTGGGAGTATGGAGGGTTGCATGACATTGTCCCAGATTGGTCTACATGCTCAGCAGCCTGTAGGGGTAAGAAGTCACTCTATAACAGCCAAGCCACAACCGTGACAACAATTGCTCTAACATCATCTCCTAACTGTTTCCTGTTGGTGTGCTGGTCTATGAGTCTCTGTATGTCACCTATCCCCATCTGCTTGGTGTGCTGGTCAGTGAGTCTCTGTATGTCACCTATCCCCATCTGCTTGGTGTGCTGGTCTATGAGTCTCTGTATGTCACCTAACCCCATCTGCTTTGTGTGCTGGTCTGCCAGTTTCTGTATGTCACCTAACCCCATCTGCTTTGTGTGCTGGTCTGTGAGTCTCTGTATGTCACCTACCCCCATCTGCTTGGTGTGCTGGTCTATGGGTCTCTGTATGTCACCTACCCCCATCTGCTTGGTGTGCTGGTCTGCGAGTCTCTGTATGTCACCTACCCCATCTGCTTGGTGTGCTGGTCTGCGAGTCTCTGTATGTCACCTACCCCATCTGCTTGGTGTGCTGGTCTGCGAGTCTCTGTATGTCACCTACCCCATCTGCTTGGTGTGCTGGTCTGCGAGTCTCTGTATGTCACCTACCCAATCTGCTTGGTGTGCTGGTCTGCGAGTCTCTGTATGTCACCTACCCAATCTGCTTGGTGTGCTGGTCTGTGAGTCTCTGTATGTCACATACCCCCATCCGCTTGGTGTGCTGGTCTATGGGTCTCTGTATGTCACCTACCCCCATCTGCTTGGTGTGCTGGTCTATGAGTCTCTGTATGTCACCTACCCCCATCTGCTTGGTGTGCTGGTCTATGAGTCTCTGTATGTTCTTCTCCTGGCCAGCATCCTCTGCATGTGCTCGGACGTTGTCCTGGGCCTGGGTCACCATGTCCGCTCTCAAGTCTGTCAGGGCCTTGCTCAGAGACTATGCACAGGAGGAAATAGTGGAATTGGATGAGAGTTCTACAGGTTCTTCACTGCCTCTGCAACTTGAATCAGCTTCCTGCCTATGTTCTGAATGCTACAAAAATCTTATTCAAACTAAAATTAGGTTATCTAATAATCTCTTTTTGTCCTAATGCATCTTATTTTCATTGATTTTCGCATTTATATTGCATTAGGAAGATCATATGCTACAAAACATTGAGAAACTGACATGAGGTCTCTCATGACCTCCACTAAATCAAAAATACTCATAAGAGACAAACAAAGATAATGGACCTAATTTCCAACAAACACATCAGTCCCCCTTCTGACTGTAAGCTTATGACCATTATCTTAATGTCAAATGTTACTGCCCAATCACCCACTGTGTTTTCCACTCAGCCTTGTCCATCAACAGTTGGTCATGAGCAACAGTAGCAGGCCTGTGGACTACTGACCTGATGCTGTTTCTCCTTGAGCGCCACCTGGTTCTTCAGCCTCTCCACCAGGTTCTTCATGGTCTGTGTTGGAGCCCTGGAGTTGGTGTCCTTCAGTGCAGCGATCTCCTCATTCAGGATGTCCATCTCCTTCCTCTGTTCCCCGAGCTGGCGGCGGTAGTCATCTATCTCTGAGTCCTTCTTGGACAGTTCAGCCTTGATCTCCTCACTGTATCTGGAGACGAAACAAGAAGGCGAGACTTCATTACCAGGGCCCTGAACACGAAAGCATCTCTGGAAACCAGCGTCTGGAGCACTGGCCACAGGCACAAGTATTAAGCTAAAGTATCTGATGACTTGTAGACTTCCAGATTAATTCGGATAATGATACTGGATGTCTCTGATTAGTTTGAGTTGGACTCCATACAAGTGTTCTCAAAAGTGCACACAAATTATTTTTGGTAAAGCTAAACTGCATCCACAAATCTCTGTGGAGTATAAAGCTAAAGCTGCCTGTTAACATTGACACATGGTAACATCAGGATTAGGTCCCTGAAAGTCCTACTTATGGTTTCAGTTGAAAGATAGGTTGATTCTATCAGTTCCATGTCAGAGTTAGAACCAGAGAGGTTCAGGATGTTTAGTGGTCGTAGAGCGTACCTCTCCTTGTCTGTGCAGTGCATTCTGTCCGTCTGCTGCAGCTTGGCTCGCAGTGTGATGATCTCCTCCTCCTTGTAGTGCATCTTCTCACTGAGTGCTGCGATGGAGTTCTCCTGCTCTGCAACCATGTCCTCCAGCTCCGTCAGGCGGGCCAGCTGAAGCAGACACCGTCATCAGACACAGGCTACATAGAAAGTGAAACAGTTCAACCATGTCCTCCAGCTCCGTCAGGCGGGCCAACTGAAGCAGACACCATCATCAGACACAGGCAACATGGAAAGTGATACAGTTCACCTTCATTTACTACATCTATGTGTGAAAGCACATGGGTAACAGGCTTACAGTGAAGCTTACCATCTGTGAAAGCAGATGTGTAACAGGCTTACAGTGAAGCTTACCATCTGTGAAAGCAGATGTATAACAGGCTTACAGTGAAGCTTACCATCTGTGAAAGCAGATGTCTAACAGGCTTACAGTGAAGCTTACCATCTGTGAAAGCAGATGTGTAACAGGCTTACAGTGAAGCTTACCATCTGTGAAAGCAGATGTGTAACAGGCTTACAGTGAAGCTTACCATCTGTGAAAGCACATGTGTAACAGGCTTACAGTGAAGCTTACCATCTGTGAAAGCAGACGTGTAACATGCTTACAGTGAAGCTTACTATCTGTGAAAGCAGATGTGTAACATGCTTACAGTGAAGCTTACCATCTGTGAAAGCACATGTGTAACAGGCATACAGTGAAGCTTACCATCTGTGACAGCAGATATTTTCTTGTGACAAGCATGGGTACTGGGGATCTATTCCGCCCCAGAAAGTGGTTGAGATTTACATGTTGCATTAACATGGCATATTACTTAAATTAAACCCATATCTAAAGACTAAGTACAGGGCAGTTTTGTCCATAGCTGTAGATGCTGCAGTAATTTTCAAGACATATCACAACAGAAATTTTACAAACCTGTAGAGGTTATGAATTCTCTGATGAAATCCTCCTTGGGGCACTTATTGCATTTTCCTTGCTCAAGAAAATCTACATGACATAGTTGTAACCATTTTCCTTAATAAAAAATGTTACCAGACAAAAAACTTCGTTTTTGTATGATATACGACCACCCTTACGGGGCCTCACCCCCAACGGCGCCTCACGCCAGGGGGAGCAACTCTCACCCAAATCACTTTCCATATGTCAAATGCTGACGGAATGTGGGGAGGTGGGTGGCCGTGCCCCAAGGAGGATTTCATCAGAGAATTCATAACCTCTACAGGTTTGTAAAATTCTCTTTCAGATTAAATCCTCCTTGGGGCACTTATTGCATCAAGACAGACTCCCAAAGATAATCTAGGAAGTGGCATCCGTCAGCAACAGGCGTAAATAAATACATCGTATTTGATTATTCAACAGAATAAAATATTGAGTTCAATAAATGGAACCAACCTTATCGTGAGGCACCACCGTCGAAAGGCGGGGGCTAGAGACAGGGCGTGGTCGACCATATATTATGATAAAGCCTGTTTTTGCGGCTGAGTTGAGAACTCGAAACACCTCCCCCCCCCCACACACTTTTTTTGAACAAGTGATATAGGGGCATAGATCACGAGAGACCATAACCAGCGCTGAGCTAGGCCAGAGGGTCCCCGAGGATCGAAGGAGTGCGTGTGCAAAATACGAGTATTATCAAGTAGTAAGGACTGATATTTATCGACCACAGAAGATAAAATCCAGACCATTACTGAGCAGTATAACCGGAGGACTGTCTAAAATCTCGAATGCTCAATCGGCTAGAGATTAGAACTTTGCCCAGTTCGGAGAACTGACTGACCAAACCGAGTACGCTCGCTTGAGTGTTTGTCGAGTTGGTAAGGTTTGATGAATCGTGCTCGACTGGCTCCAAATAGCCGCGGAGCAGATCTGCTCAATGGGCAGAGCCGCAGCGCACGCTTTTGACGCAGCCACTGCCCTAACCTAATGAGCCTTCAACCTGGTAGGGGGGTCCCTGCCTGTAAGCGTATACGCTGTACAAATGGTTGAAACTATCCACCTCGAGATAGATTGTTTGCTCGCAGGTGAGCCAGCCTTCCTACCGCCGTAACAGCAAAATAGTTGGTTATCCTTACGGATACCCTTAGTTCTGCTGATATAGGCCTTGAGGGTCGTGCGGACATCCAAGACACATGAGCATGTCTTGCAGTGGTCCCCGACGAGGAAGGCTGTGAAAGAGCAGGTAGCTCAATAGGAGCCGTTCACGTGGAAGCGTGTGCGACCCTAGGACGGTAAGAGTCCGGTAGTCGAAAACTGACTCTGTCCTGGTGGAAGACAGTTATTTCGGGATCGGCTGACATAACACGAATGTCGCCTACCCGTCTGCCGGACTTTACCACCACAAGGACATTGGTGTCTGGTGATTCACCCCAGACGCAAACAGATCCACCTGTAACGGCCTGTATAACAGGGAGAAAATCCCGAATATCCCCGGGTCGAGCCTCCACTCGTGAGGAGCGAGGATCCGGCAAGACAGAGCGTCCGCACAGACGTTGTACACCCCCGGGAGATAAACAGGTAGCACCCTGATATCGTGAGAGTCGCACTATAGTAGGAACTGCCCCGTCTTTCGTCGAAGCAACGGAGACGCCGTTCCCCACTGCTTCCGGATGTAAGTCATTGCCGTTTGGTTGTCCATCTCTAGACGAACCACTTGGCCACGAAGCAGATCCGGGAAGCGTTGGAACACCAACCTGACCGCTCACAGTTCTAGCACATTGATATGCAGTTTTATCTCCTGCTGGGACCATAGTCCCGAGGCAGTGTGATCATTCAGAACGCCTCCCCAGCCGGAGAGTGACGCGTCTGTTTGAACTGTGAGAGACGGAACGGGAGTGTCGAGGGGGAGCCCCCAGGAAAGATTCCCGACCTCGCTCCACCACTGGAGGTGTGTAATGAGCCACTACGGAGTCTCGAGCACAGTCTCGAGATCTTCCGAGTTCGCCCAAAGTCGACGGAGTGCTTGTTGAATGGGACTCATTCTCAAGCGCGCCCGCCAGACCAAATCCACTGTCGCCGCCATGTTGTCCAGTAACTGGAGCCCTGTACGAGCAGTGTGACTTGCGCTTAAGGGACTTGATGTCTTGTGACAGAGATACACGTCCTCTTACCGTGTTGAAATTAGCCACTAGGAAGACTAGATTCTGAGTGGGGCTCAGATCTGACTTCTTGAGATTGACCATCCACCCTAGAGTGATCAGAATATCTATCACGTGTTGTGTAGCTATCTGTCTCGGGGATTGCAATAGAGCTCTTAGTAACCAGTCGTCGAGGTACGAATGGCAGAACCGACCTTTTGACCTGGCCACTTGGGTGGGAATCAACATCAGCTTGGTGAACACCCTCGGGGCCATGGAGATCCCGAATGGTAGAACCCTGAACTGATAACACCTCCCGTCGAAAGAAAACCTCAGGTATATCTTGAACTCGGGATGTATTGGTATGTGGAGATAGGCGTATTTTAAGTCTATTGACGTTAGCCATTCTCCTGTCTCGACAGTTGAGATCACTGTTTGGTGACTAGGAAACAAGTCGAGTAGAAGCCCTCGCTTTCCTGTCCCTCGGGACCCGGTTCGATCGCAGCTTTCATAAGAAGTGCGTCGACCTCGGCACGGAGGAATTCCGCCTTCTCTCGGGTAGCAGGCACCGGAGTGTGCTTTATCCCGGAGAAGGGGAGGGGCGGATGATGTTTCCACCGAGGCAAATGGCCATCCCTTAAAATGGACGGGGTCCGGGGATTGTGATATAACTGTCTCCCATTCCTTCAGGAATAGAGCCAGTCGGCCGCCTACGGGGACATCCAGCTGGAGGCAGTGGACCCCGGCTGTCGGCAGTTCGATAACTTGCGACTGTGGGTTCACCCGGGGCTCTTCAGGCACTAATGGGAACCCATCGTTCCCAGCCCCGCGAAAAAACTGTTGGCCTCGACCAGCTGCCTTGCCCCGGCCCGTGCCTCTCTTGCTCTTCCCGGCGCCCTTATACCTGAAGGAAGCGGCGGCTTCCAAGCAGGTGTGGACGTCTGACCCGTGCGTTAGCATAGGAGGGGACAAGTGGAGAGGCCCGCTTACGCGGTTTTAAAGCTTGGTACCTCCAACAAGGCCTTAGAGTCTTTGATGGAAGTATACAATTGAGCGGCCTCTCGGACCACCTGCTGAGCCCCAGGGAAGAGGGTGGCACCCTCTTATACGGCAAAGCAAGTAGGTCTTGGCGTGTGTAAGTCGAGTATTTAGATACCATCATCCACCGCCTGCGCATGCCCATAACAGCGCACATCATCTGCGAGGCACAGCTACGAATAGCGTCCCGCGCAAGATAACTGAACTTCCGTTAGTTGCGCGGCCAACTCCGAAGAGTCGGCCGGCCCCTCTCCCGCTAACTCCCTCTGTACAGCCGACAGATACGCGGAGTGTACGGACACATGGAGCTGTTGGCATGCATTATGATATTGCTCCTCGAAGCATATGTAAGCAGCCTTCAACTCCGCACCGCACGCGGGAAAGGTGGGGCAACCGCCGGCCCTGCTTGACCTTAGTCAAGTTGGGTGTCTCCGACTCTGGCATGGGCACAGCCACCTGAGGCAGTACCTTGACAATCCTGTCCCGCACGTGCCTCTGAACCCGGCCCGAGGCCGAGTCCCGGTGCCGAGGTGCCGGAGGTTCAAGGGAACCCACCTTGCACTGGGCTAGGTATCCACTAGTGGAAGCCTCGGCCTCGGAAGAGGCGTCTGGCTCCGCTAGGGAAAATTGTGTGTCGGTAGTGCACGGGTCGGCGCCCGCCACCCCTCCGCTGGGGAGCGACCTCGAGCCAGAGCCGAAGCTCGGTCTCTGATCGTCCCCGAGACAAAGGGAACCAGCCTGGCTCCGGGCTAGGTATCCACTAGTGGAAGCCTCGGCCTCGGAAGAGGCGTCTGGCTCCGCTAGGGAAAATTGTGCGTCGGTAGTGCACCCTTCCGCTGGGGAGCGACTTCGAAGTTTTTTGTGTGGTAACATTTTTTATTAAGGAAAATGGTTACAACTATGTCATGTAGATTTTCTTGAGCAAGGAAAATGAAATAAGTGCCCCAAGGAGGATTTAATCTGAAAGAGAATGTTGCCTGTTCTGGAAGGTTAATTTAGAAGGCAACAGACATACAAAACATCAAATTTACAAAGGACAGATTGATGCAGAATTATGTGCCATTAATTGATTTAACGGACGTCACCCCACACAGAAACTCAACAAACATCATAGAGGAGAAACATGGTGGAACATTTTGGCTGACCTGTTTGCTGGTGGGTCCCCTGGCTGTGGTATGTCTGCTCATGAGCTGCTGAGCTGCCTCCTTGAACTTGAGGAAGGTGGCGTCAGTGTTGAGGTGTATCTTCTGCTGCATGGCCTTCAGCTCCTGCTCGTGGCGCCGGTTCATGTCCTGCATGTCTTCTCGGGCCTGGTTCAGCAGCTCCTGGTACTTGTGGATCGTCTCCTCCTTCTGCTGGATGCGAGCCTGGAGGAACACAGAAGGGGCACAGTGTAGAACCATACACAATCGAAAGGGGAACACAAGACGCTCATCCCCCCTTTTTGAAGCATACTAAACATTTATACATTTGAAGATTTTATCGTGTACACAACATGTAACCATATGTACAAAGATCATATTCCAGGCCTGTGATTGGCTACTCCATGGTTATGACCTGAGGTCAGATTATGACGGACTACTTTCCTGATCGTAAGTCATTGGTAAGTTACTCGTGCTTCAATCGAATGTTCACCTACGTCTGTGTTGAATCTTATGGTTTTAGAGTATAAACCACCTGGATGCCATAGGGATATATATATGTCCCTCCTCTTCAACATAGAATACAATTCAAACCACATCACACACACTAATACACATCACAGTTTTGAATTCTGTGGGCAATCCCTGCTCTAGCTGTGATATCATCCACTGTCATTTTGACCTCTGAAAATTAGGTACATTGAAAATTTTGCCATTTTTTAAACATCACAAAATCACAATTCACAGCTTATTAGTTGTATGCTTAGAAATCTAGATATCGGCTTTTTACTCGAAGGCTTGATTTTCAAAAATAGTATATTAGTGATCACGGGTATCTGTTTTTCATCAAATCACCAATGATAATTCTGAAACGTCGCTGATAAGTTAGAATCGTTTAGAATGTTTTGGAAAATATGCAAACACGAACGCCAAAGTGTACTTTCAGCCATATTGGAAAGTGTTTACATACTCAGGTTGTGTGTATTCCGGTTATGAAACATCTATTAGATCACATATATTTCAAACTCAGCTGCAATACATACATCCCTTAATTCGTCACACATTTTAGAATCAAATGACAAATGGTCTTCAGATGAAACCAAGCAAAGTAAATTAGGTGTGGTAAGAAATATGTGCTTGGAAAATTGTATTGGTTTCAAATGTAAACAAAGCAAAATTCAGATTTTTACACTGTGTAGCATGTTCTCCTATTTTGATATATCCAATCGTCTAATTGGCTTATGTGTTTGAGAATATTCATGGAAAGAGTATTGTAGCACCAATTATGGAATTTAAAAATACAAACCTGCCACACGGGATGGAGTGGAACAAAAATCATAGATGTATACTACACTGGTAAATCCATGGGTCATTTTAAGGGTCAATAGGGGATGCGAAACCAATGAACAATGAATTCTGACAAATAAGGGGAAAAACTCTGCACAGTTGTGCCATCATAGACTGCTTGGTCACCTTTGACCCCTGGTCTGAACCATAAACATGATAAGGCTTGTATCACATGGTCAGTTCAGTGAGGAAATCATACAATAAAATGTCTTGTAACCATGGCAACACGCATTACCTGCAAGCTAGACATGGTAGACTGGGCGATCTTCAGTGCTTGTTGACTCTCAAAGTCATGATCTTCCGGTCTTTTTTTCATGGCTGTTGTGACCTTGGACGTAGCCTTGAGGATGATCTCATCACGGTCAGCAGTAGCTGGCATCCTGAGTCTCAGTTCCGCGACCAGTCTGTCACGCTCGATGATGGCTCGCTCAGCATCCCGCAGTTGCTTCTCCAGGTCACCGTTCCTCTGAAACAGTCAACAGGGTCCTGTTATGACACAGCTTGGGATCAAACCCTCGACCATCCGCTCTCTGGACGGACGTTCTGTGGATGTGGATGAGAATGAAAGTGTTGGTATGGATGTGGATGTGGATTTGGGTGTGGATGTTGATGTGGGTGTGGATTTGGATGTGGATGTGGATGAGGGTGGGTGTGGATGAAGGTTGGTGTGGATGAGGGTGGGTGTGGATGTGGATGTGGGTGTGGGTGTGGATGAGAGTGTGGGCATGGATGTGGGTGTGGGTGTGGATGAGAGTGGGTGTGGATGAAGGTGGGTGTGGATGAGGGTGGGTGTGGATGAGAGTGTGGGCATGGGCGCGTGTGTGGGTATGGATGTGGGTGTGGATGAGGGTGGGTGTGCATGAGAGTGTGGGCATGGGCGCGTGTGGGTATGGATGTGGGTGTGGACGTGGATGTGGATGTGGATGTGGGTGTTGGTGTGGGTGAGAGTGTGGGCATGGGTGTGGGTGTGGGTGTGGGTGTGGGTGTGGGTGTGGATGAGAGTGGGTGTGGATGAAGGTGGGTGTGGATGAGGGTTGGTGTGGATGAGAGTGTGGGCATGTGCGTGGATGTGGGTATGGATGTGGGTGTGGACGTGGATGTGGATGTGGGTGTTGTGTTGGTGTGGATGAGAGTGTGGGCATGGGTGTGGGTGTATATGTGGGTGTGGGTGTGGATGTGGGTGTGGGTGTGGGTGTGGGTGTGGGTGTGGGTGTGGGTGTGGATGTGGGTGTGGGCATGTGCGTGGATGTGGGTATGGATGTGGGTGTGGGTGTCGGTGTGGATGTGGGTGTTGGTGTGGATGAGAGTGTGGGCATGTGCGTGGATGTGGGTATGGATGTGGGTGTGGGTGTGGATGTGGATGTGGATGTGGATGTGGATGTGGGTGTGGGTGTGACAATGTAGCCTGCCCTGTGTATCCTCACATACCTGTCTGAGTGTCTTGGACTCGGCCTTGGTGTCAAGGATGGTCTTGACGTTGCCCTTGATGGTGGAAATGGCCTGTTCCAGCTGGCTGGATATGGGGAGGTTGGAGTCGGGGAGGCTGCCCACCGCCTGCTCAAACTGGGGAAGTATGTACATCGGATATACAGAACAGTCCATACAATCCTGCTATCTCAAGTGAATGATGCCTCAAAATGAAAACAGTCTAGGGAATGAGTGTTAGTTCAGTTTTCTGCATCTCACCGGAAAGTCACTGAAATGCTTAAACCACTTCCAACCGAAGTATTTGCTAGTATTTGGTTTAGTTTATCAGGTAAATTACCCTATTTTTATGTACATTCTACAAATTTAGTACAAAAAGGGCGCCATCAGAGAATGTTTCTTTATCGAATTGCTTATATTTCATACATTCTCCAAAAGATATAGGATATTGGAAGTAACACATGATTATAGAAATACAAATAGATCTCCAGTGATGGCAATGGATGGATACGAAACAAGGTGTAACATGACAATGAACAGAACATGTTGGCGGTGAGCATGGACAGTCGTGCAACTCGTGGTCGCCGAGCATGTAGATTAGCTGCATGCAGGCAATGGCCTGGTGCAAATGAATAGCTAAATCCTGTTTTTTGATCAACCGATCCTGAACTTGTGCTGGGTCGATCATATGCATGTGGTGTCTGGAGAAACCTGTTCAAAAGTCTGCAAGTCCCAGACTGAACTCAAGCTTTCCCCACTGTGTCCACCTACCCTGGATGCAGCTCCAACTATCCCCACTGTGTCCACCTACCCTGGATGCAGCTCCAACTATCCCCACTGTGTCCACCTACCCTGGATGCAGCTCCAACTATCCCCACTGTATCCACCTACCCTGGATGCAGCTCCAACTATCCCCGCTGTGTCCACCTACCCTGGATGCAGCTCCAACTATCCCCACTGAGTCCACCTACCCTGGATGCAGCTCCAACCAACCCCACTGTGTCCACCTACCCTGGATGCAGCTCCAACTATCCCCGCTGTGTCCACCTACCCTGGATGCAGCTCCAACTATCCCCACTGTATCCACCTACCCTGGATGCAGCTCCAACTATCCCCACTGTGTCCACCTACCCTGGATGCAGCTCCAACCAACCCCACTGTGTCCACCTACCCTGGATGCAGCTCCAACTATCCCCACTGTATCCACCTACCCTGGATGCAGCTCCAACTATCCCCACTGTGTCCACTTACACTATCCCCACTGTGTCCATCTACCCTGAATGCAGCTCCAACTATCCCCACTGTGTCCACCTACACTATCCCCACTGTGTCCACCTACCCTGGATGCAGCTCCAACTATCCCCACTGTGTCCACCTACCCTGGATGCAGCTCCAACTATCCCTACTGTGTCCACCTACCCTGGATGCAGCTCCAACTATCTCCTCCACTTGTCTCTCCAGACTGATGACTGTTCTCTCCAGCTCCACCTCTCTCTGCTCCCATCTCAACTGTCTCTCCTCGTAGTCCTGAACACACACACAAAATATCTATGTAGTCACATCTCATAGTCAGCTTATTGTTTCTCAAATATTGACATCCTTTGTCTGTACATACTTTTTGTAATACAACACGCACCAACAAATCTCAGCAATGTATTACAGTGTAGACAACTTGCCTTGATGACTCTAACATTGTCAGCCTCGAAGTCGGCTATGGTCAGTTCATGAGACTGGATGATTCCTTCCAGGTACTTGATCTGCAACAACACATCATGCATCGTCAGCAAGACAGGGACCAACACAAACAACATTGACAAGAGTGTCAAGATAAAGAAAACAAGCGTATAGTTGACGAAGTCATCTATATCCCCGCCCATTTTAACGCGTTATGGTCCCAAACCAGGTAACTGACCCAACACACTTCTCTTTGCCCATGTCAAAATAGCTGCAATGGAAATTCTAAAATATAAATTTCTAAAAGTGCTAAATATCAAAAGGCACCAGTTCAGTATGTGCCTGGTAGACATGCAAAGTTTTGTAAGAAAGTATTTAACGGTTTTTGAGTTATGCTCCGGAAACAAACACCACCCTTATAGAACCTGAGTCCAACTTGTTGCCATGGAAACATAAAAAACAAAAAATTCTAAAATTCCTAAATAGCAAAAAGGCACCAGTTCAGCATGAGTCTGAAAGACATGCAAAGAATCGTAGAGAAATATTAAATGGTTTTACTCCGGAAACGATTTTGGGACGCACACATACACTGACGCACGGACAGAACCCATTTCAATATAACAAACTTATATCAGACATGTCAGAAGAGACATTCTCATGATGTTTTGGTTTGGCAAGGGCAAATAAAGATTCTGATCTGATATTAGTCTGAATTATGTACTAAGATACATACTTAGGTATTTTAGTTCTATTCTAAATGCGACAAATTTGCCATTTTAGGTATAAAACTTGTGTTTACTTTACTTGATGTCCATGTTCAGTTCATGATAGCATGGTTGGGGAAATTGCATTTCTTTATTTATTGAAATTGTGAATGGTGTTTCAATGTATAATTGTATCTTCATCATTTTCAGTCCTAGGTCTTGTGGAAAATTGATAACTTGGTGAAGAATTCACAACAGTCAATAATGACTTCTGCAGGAAATTATGCCAAGCCACCTCTTTGCCCATAATGACCTTGTTTCCTCCCTCACTTCTTAGCCCTGCACACCCCAGCACCCGCCTGTTTATGTAGCCCTGCCCTCCCTGGCACCCACCTGTTTATGTAGCCCTGCCCTTCCCCGGCACCCGCCTGTTTATTTAGCCCTGCCCTCCCTGGCACCCGCCTGTTTATGTAGCCCTGCCTTCCCCGGCACCCGCCTGTTTATGTAGCCCTGCCCTCCTCGGCACCCACCTGTTTATTTAGCCCTGCCCTCCCCGGCAACCGCCTGTTTATGTAGCCCTGCCTTCCCCGGCACCCATCTGTTTATTTAGCCCTGCCCTCCCCGGCACCCGCCTGTTTATGTAGCCCTGCCTTCCTCGGCACCCACCTGTTTATTTAGCCCTGCCCTCCCCGGCACCCGCCTGTTTATGTAGCCCTGCCTTCCCCAGCACCCGCCTGTTTATGTAGCCCCGCCCTCCCCGGCACCCACCTGTTTATGTAGCACTGCCTTCCCCGGCACCCATCTGTTTATTTAGCCCTGCCCTCCCCGGCACCCGCCTGTTTATGTAGCCCTGCCTTCCTCGGCACCCACCTGTTTATTTAGCCCTGCCCTCCCCGGCAACCGCCTGTTTATGTAGCCCTGCCTTCCCCGGCACCCATCTGTTTATTTAGCCCTGCCCTCCCCGGCACCCGCCTGTTTATGTAGCCCTGCCTTCCTCGGCACCCACCTGTTTATTTAGCCCTGCCCTCCCCGGCACCCGCCTGTTTATGTAGCCCTGCCTTCCCCAGCACCCGCCTGTTTATGTAGCCCCGCCCTCCCCGGCACCCACCTGTTTATGTAGCACTGCCTTCCCTGGCACCCATCTGTTTATTTAGCCCTGCCCTCCCCGGCACCCGCCTGTTTATGTAGCCCTGCCTTCCTCGGCACCCACCTGTTTATTTAGCCCTGCCCTCCCCGGCACCCGCCTGTTTATGTAGCCCTGCCTTCCCCGGCACCCGCCTGTTTATGTAGCCCCGCCCTCCCCGGCACCCACCTGTTTATGTAGCACTGCCCTCCCCAGCACCCACCTGTTTATGTAGCCCTGCCCTCCTCGGCACCCACCTGTTTATGTAGCCCCGCCCTCCCCGGCACCCACCTGTTTATGTAGCCCCGCCCTCCCCAGCACCCACCTGTTTATGTAGCCCTGCCCTCCCTGGCACCCACCTGTTTAGGTAGCCCTGCCCTCCCCGGCACCCGCCTGTTTATGTAGCCCTGCCCTCCCCGGCACCCACCTGTTTATGTAGCCCTGCCCTCCCCGGCACCCACCTGTTTATGTAGTTTAGCATTGAGTCTCTTCTGTTTCAGCTCCTCCAGACGAACTGTCTCAATCTTGGAGTGCCACTCCAGCACCTTGGCAGCTCCACGCCCATCCTTCAGCGTGGAGATCAGCTCCTGGAGACTCTCCTTCTGCAGGTTCAGCTCCGCCACCTTGTCCCGCATGCCCTCGCGGTGATCCCGTACCTGGAGTGAGTGAGTGAGTGAGTGAGTGAGTGAGTGAGTTGGGTGTAATGGCAACAGTCATCCAGACATAACAGTAGGTCACAATCATCATACAATCACTTTACATGATTAACCTGACCTTCACAAAGGGAGTGAATGCTGCTTTATGCCACAGCTGGCAATATTTCATCTATATGTGACCATCTCACCCCCTTGACCTCATCCTCCACAATAATGAAGCTTGAGGACGTACTGTGACCATCTCACCCCCTGACCTCGCCCTCCACAACAATGAAGCTAAGGATGTACTGTGACTATCTCACCCCCTTGACCTCATCCTCCACAACAATGAAGCTAAGGACGTACTGTGACCATCTCATCCCCTTGACCTCATCCTCCACAATAATGAAGCTAAGGACGTTCTGTGACCATCTCACCCCCTGACCTCGCCCTCCACAACAATGAAGCTAAGGATGTACTGTGACTATCTCACCCCCTTGACCTCATCCTCCACAACAATGAAGCTAAGGACGTACTGTGACCATCTCATCCCCTTGACCTCATCCTCCACAACAATGAAGCTAAGGACGTTCTGTGACCATCTCATCCCCTTGACCTCATCCTCCACAACAATGAAGCTAAGGACGTACTGTGACCATCTCACCCCCTTGACCTCATCCTCCACAACAATGAAGCTAAGGACGTACTGTGACCATCTCATCCCCTTGACCTCATCCTCCACAACAATGAAGCTAAGGACGTACTGTGACCATCTCACCCCTTGACCTCATCCTCCACAACAATGAAGCTAAGGCGTTCTGTGACCATCTCATCCCCTTGACCTCATCCTCCACAACAATGAAGCTAAGGACATAATGTGACCATCTCATCCCCTTGACCTCATCCTCCACAACAATGAAGCTAAGGAAGTACTGTGACTATCTCACCCCCTTGACCTCATCCTCCACAACAATGAAGCTAAGGACGTAATGTGACCATCTCATCCCCTTCACCTCATCCTCCACAACAATGAAGCTAAGGACGTACTGTGACCATCTCATCCCCTTGACCTCATCCTCCACAACAATGAAGCTAAGGACATTCTGTGACCATCTCATCCCCTTCACCTCATTCTCCACAACAATGAAGCTAAGGACGTACTGTGACCATCTCATCCCCTTGGCCTCATCCTCCACAACAATGAAGCTAAGGACGTTCTGTGACCATCTCATCCCCTTGACCTCATCCTCCACAACAATGAAGCTAAGGACGTAATGTGACCATCTCATCCCCTTGACCTCATCCTCCACAACAATGAAGCTGCAGAACTGTGACTATCCCACCCCCTTGACCTCTTCCTCCACACCAATGAAGCTAAGGTACTGTGACTATCTCACCACCTTGACCTCATCCTCCACAACAATGAAGCTTCTCACCCCCTTTAGATCTTCCTCGAGCTTTGTCTTGTCATGCCTCAACTGCATCATGTTCTTGGAGAACTTCTCCTGCTTGGACAGCGGCACGGCGCCAGCAAACTGCAACCGCAGTTCGTTCAGGCTCCTCTTCAGGTACCTGGCCTTGTTCTGGGCCTCAGCCCGGTTGTGCTGTATGGTCTGGTTCTTGTCATCGATCCTGTGTTCCCCTCGCAACACGTGGGCCTCCAGCTTTGTCACCTTCTTCTTGGCCTCTTCGCACCTCCTCACGGCCGTGCCCTCGCTCACCTGCAGCTGCACGATGGTGCGGTGCAGCTTACCTGGGACAACAACCACACCAGGTTAAAGAGTGGGATGACTATAACCTCCACATTCCATGTCACACGCATCTGGAGGTCATCTGTGTAATACCTAATACAACACTCACATCCTCAGGTAACAAATCAAAAGTTTGAACTTAATTTGTAAACTCATGAGTTAGGTGGATAACAGATGAAAGTGTTCTATCCGACAATATCAACTTTCAGGATATTCACATTTCAAACCAAGAAATAACAACTCTAATCATCATACCTCTCAACAATTAAGAAATTCAGGTTTTCATCCATCATTGGACTCTTAAACTGCTCTCTTATAATCAAAAAAACTAATTTCAATGTACATCTTAATCTTGGAAGAAAAAAACGGAAAGTAGCTGAAATTATTTCATTTTGGCATTAGATTTCTACGAGTTAAATAAATTCATGGAAATGATCTTTTGGATTTTACCTCCCTAGAATTCCTCACATCTCTGAGAAATTTATAAAACATCAAATTCTGGATTTTTTACAGGCAGTTGTCAGGAGTCCAGAAATCAAAGATGACCAGACATTCAAAACACACAGAGAGCACTGACCTATGATGGTCTTCTCATCACTCTGCATCTGAAAGTCCAGAAGCTGTTGCCGTAGGGACTGCAGTTCCTTGTCATGTGACACTTGTTGTGTCTCGTAGATCTTCAGCTGTGATGTCGCCACTTCAGCCACTTCCTGTAACCAAGACCCCATAAACAAGCATTGTTCCAGTTAAATGAGATATTTTGGAAAGTGGGATGATATGAGCATGGAGAGATCTTTGACTGCTACAAGGCCATGTTATACTATTAACAGTCACATTAGTTGTACTGATAAAACGGATTTGTAGGTGAGTTGAAATGGGTTTAACGTCGCCTTCTAGCTTTTTTCAATCATATATTGATGTGCATGCATGTGTGTGTGTGTGTGTGTGCTTGTGCGGACTAATGCTTGTTATATATTGCTAGCCCATTGAGATACCATGCCGCAGTGTAACATGGATATCCCACTCAGACACAGTGTACTGACTCCAAGCTGACCAGTCCAATGTCGAGCCCCAGGCAGGGTAACAACAAGTACCAGCTTTTAACATCATTTGGTATGACACGGCCGGGGATCAAACCACCGACCTTCCACTCTCAAGGACACTCTATTCACTTGACAACAGATGCAGTTCTTATACTATCACAGTAGTTATATCAGTCGCACTGTGAAGATTGCTTTGTGGAAGGCAGCCCAAGTACAGCTGCTGACTGCACTGTATGTGTTGTATAATGGTGAGTGCATACCTTGAGTTTGGAGATCTCGTGTTTGAGTGTCAGTTCACCCTCCTCCAGCTGGGATATCTTCTTCCTGTCTGCATCACTCACAGACTTCATCACAGAATCTAGAAATATCAATATTACATTGAAGATACTCAAGCATACTTTCAGAAAATGAAAGGGACTAGGAACTGCTGAGTTCAGAGAATGTGTGTTGCTGAAACATAAAAAGATTGTCAGTTCACTGGGACATCTGGTAGAGTGAGTGAGTGAGTGAGTGAGTGAGTGAGTGAGTGAGTGAGTGAGTGAGTGAGTGAGTGAGTGAGTGAGTGAGTGAGTGAGTGAGTGAGTGAGTATGGTTTTATGCCGCTTTTAGCAATATTCCGGCAATATCACGGTGGGTGACACCAGAAATGGGCTTCACACATTGTACCCCATGTAAGGAATCGAACCCGGGTCTTCGGCGTGACGACGAACGCTTTAACCACTAGGCTACCAGACCGCCCCACATCTGGTAGAGGATACATTATTCAACTAATTACTCTTGACAAGGTTAATACGTGAAAACTGGACCGGAGGACCCGCCCCTTGAGGTGGCCCTGTCATATCACTGCGGTCCCAGGGTCTCTGTATTCAGATACTGACCTTGTCAGAGTAATCATTTGTTTTGTTATACTGAAATTTACTTTTCAAGTTTATGAAGCCTCTGTGTCATTACAGTAACCTGTTAACTGTGAAATGTTTTGAGACGCCAGCCTGTTTTCTAGCAGAAGAGTCAATATCAGTACTGACCTGTCACGTGATGAATATGACTTGTCTGCTAGAAAACAAGATGGCATCTAGTATGAACATTGTGACGTTCACAACTGTGTTACTGTTACGAAAGAGAGGACGGTTTAAAGGCTTCATAAACTTTAAAGTGAATTTTGGCAAAATAAAACGAATGATTACTCTTGATGAGGTAGCTATGCAAAAACAAGGACCCGAGGACCCAACCCCTTCGGCAGTCTGACCGGACCTTGGATTGCGGCCTCGGTCTGGTCAGACATTCGCAGGGGTCGGGTCCTTGCTTTTGCATATTGACCTCGTCAAGAGTAATTATTTGCTTATTAGTGAGTGAGTGAGTTGGGTTTAAAGCCGCTTTTAACAGTATTCCTGTTATATCACGGCGTGTCAGCTTAATGTGGGAGGAAAGCCCGAAGTGATGCAGGTCTCAGACGTTTACCACCCACGAGCACGGGGATGGTGCTGACAAACCTAGAAACATAATCTGGGTGAACCGGGATTCGAACCCACAATTATAGGTTACTGACGTGTCCAGGGGACGCAACTATCCACAGCAAATCGCGGCGCCTTAGACGACTTGGCCACCCGTGCCCCCTATTTGCTTATTAGAGAATGACCTATGAGTGAATTAACTTTGCATGGATAAAGACAAGATGAGAGACTCTGAAGGTTAATTCACGCACGGCAGATGCCTTGTATTTCAAACATATGAGTAAGTCATACATACATTACTGGAATTCCTTTCTTGAGAGTAATTACAGAGGACACAATGTAGTTTCCTGATCACACCGAGAGACATAATCCACTCTAGTGTTCTGATGATGTCATGCTACAGCCATGATAATCTTCTATTGTTTACAACAATACACTGCTGTGACGTCATATCACTTACACCTTTGCAAACATTAATGATGAATAAATGGTCATGATTTAATCAATCTGAAAATTATTTTCCATTCTTGCCCTATGGTTATATTCACTTGTTATAGATAACTGACACTCACCTGAAAGTTCATCTCGTAAATCTCTCTCGGTTTTCTGCATCTCAAGATTCAGCTTTGTAACCTGAGTTTTAAATAATAAGTCATGAAATAATCCAGATACATTCTATAAGTAATATATCATATAACACATATATGTTGAAATATGTCTTACTTCATACAAGGAGGAAGTGTACCCTATGTAATAAATAATACCAAGTGCATTATCAAGCTATATCAAGGAGGTCTAGCAACAACTGAATGGAGCCATGCAGTCTTGGTACGATAACAGCCAGGCAGCCAGGTGACACATTGTGGCCACCTGATCCATGTTTTAGACAACTCTCAAAACAAGCATGGGATATAGGGTAGCTGCCCCTGACCTCTAGAAGGGCCCCCTATTCAGTCTATGACCCCTGATGCCAGTAGACCGGAGTGGGCCCCTCCTGACCTCTAGTAGGTGCCCCCTATTCAGCCTGTGACCCCTGATACCAGGTAGACTGGTGTGTGCCCCTCCTGACCTCTAGTAGGTGGCCCCTATTCAGTCTGTGACCCCTGATGCCAGTAGACCGGAGTGGGCCCCTCCTGACCTCTAGTAGGTGGCCCCTATTCAGTCTGTGACCCCTGATGCCAGTAGACCTGAGTGGGCCCCTCCTGACCTCTAGAAGGGGCCCCCTATTCAGTCTATGACCCCTGATGCCAGTAGACCGGAGTGGGCCCCTCCTGACCTCTAGTAGGTGCCCCCTATTCAGCCTGTGACCCCTGATACCAGGTAGACTGGTGTGTGCCCCTCCTGACCTCTAGTAGGTGGCCCCTATTCAGTCTGTGACCTCCATGGCAGTATACTGATGCGTTCCCCTTCTGACCTCAGAGGGTACTGGGGAGTACCTGTGACCTCTAGTATGTGACCCCCGATACCAGGTAGACTGGTGTGTGCCCCTCCTGACCTCGGAGGATACTGGGTAGCTGCCCCTGACTTCTAGTGAGTGCCCCCTATTCAGTCTGTGACCCCCGATACCAGGTAGATGGGTGTGTGCCCCTCCTGACCTCAGAGAACTTGTCCTCCAGCTCCTTGTTTCGAGTCTCCAGTTCCCGCAGGATGTCTCTCTGCTGCTCGTACATCCGAACTGCGTGCTCCGCCCGCTGCCTCTCATTCAGCTCCTTCATCTCCAGCATCGTGATCTTCTTGGAGATGGAGATGATGTCCCCATCCGTCACCTTCACATCCATGCCCTCTGTCACACCTGGGGATGGAGGACCATAACAGAATATCACAATATAGCCACACAGAGAGTTAATGTCTGTGAAGATTCCGGGTAGAATAAGTCTTCAGCAACCCATGCTTGCCGTAAAAGGTGACTATGCTTGTCGTAAAAGGCGACTAACGGGATTGGGTGGTCAGGCTTGCTGACTTGGTTTGATGCACGTCATCAATCCCTATTGCGTGGATTGATGCTCATGATATTAATCACTGGATTGTCTGTTCCAGACTCGATTATTTACAGACCGCCGTCATATAGCTGGAATATAGCTCGGTGCAGCGTTAAACAACAAACCAACCAACCAACCTACTTCTTTGTAAGTTCAAAGCAAGACATTCTACACAGCACCTGAATGTCCTTTAGCTGGATTGGTTTAACACCACTTTGAACAGTAGTTCAGGCCAATGTGGGAGGGAAGCCCAAAGGCATGCAGGTCAAAGACATTAACCACATTGGTCATACTCACAACCAGTAATACTGGCAAACCCAGGACCTTCATTGGGCTAATCTTGGGATTTGGGTGGATGACTGGTGGGTGATTGGTGGATGATTGGTCATGACTGGTTGTGTTTGAGGGTGATTTGGGTGAGTGGTGAGTGGTGGGTGAAGAGAAAGTATGATGAGTAGGGGTGATGAGTGGTGGGTGATGTTAGGTGGGTGAAGAGTTGGGGTGATGTGAGGTGGGTGATGATCGGGGGGTGATGAGTGGGTGATGTGAGGTGGGTGAAGAGTGGGAGATGATGAGTGGTGGGTGATGTGAGATGGGTGATGTGTGGGGGGTGATATGAGGTGGGTGATGAGTGGGGGGTGATGAACGGGTGATGTGAGGAGGGTGATGTGTGGGGGGCGATGAGTGGGTGATGTGAGGTGGGTGATGTGAGGTGGGTGATGTGAGGTGGGTGATGTGAGGTGGATGATGTGTTTGGGGTGATGTGTGGGGGGTGATGTGTGGGAGGTGATGTGTCTGGGGTGATGTGTGGGGGGTGATGAGTGGGTGATGTGAGGTGGGTGATGTGAGGTGGGTGATGTGAGGTGGGTGATGTGAGCCGGGTGATGTTTGAGAGGTGATGTGTTGGGGATGATGTGTGGGGGGTGATGAGTGGTGGGTGATGTGTGGGGGGGTGATGAGTGGTGGGTGATGTGTGGGAGGATGATGAGTAGTGGGTGATGTGAGGTGGGTGATGAGAGGTGGGTGGTGTGAGGTTGGTGATGTGAGGTTGGTGATGTGAGGTGGGTGACGTGAGGTGGGTGGTGTGAGGTGGGTGATGAGTGGGGGATGATGTGAGGTGGGTGGTGTGAGGTGGGTGATAAGTGGGGGATGATGAGTAGTGGTAATGACGAGTAGTGGTAATGACTGGTGGGTTGGGACCATTGAGGGGCTTGGTACACATGGCCAGTGACTCACCTCTTCTATGTAGTTCCTCCATGGCCGCCTCCAGAGCATGTAGCTTCTCCTTCTCCAGACTCAGTGTTGTCTTTATCTCCTCATTGTCGTTTGTTAATCGCTTCACTTCTGCCTGTTGACCAGAATGTCCATCACATTCAAATACACACATTCGCCCTGATAGGGTATCAAGTCCACAAACAGTCTCTGTATGTCGTATCACTCAGGCAGTTGGTGAACTCTAACCATCACTTTTCCCTATCAAACTCATTCTTGTCAACAAACATAAGACATGACTCCCCAGTGTACACAAATAAATTGATTTTGCTGGAAATTTTGACTAAATTTCTCCTGCAAGTATGAGTGAGTGAGTGAGTGAGTGAGTGAGTGAGTGAGTGAGTGAGTGAGTGAGTGAGTGAGTGAGTGAGTCTAACACCACTTGGAACAATATTCCAGTAATGTCACAGCATGTCAGCTTGATGTGGGAAGAAAGACTTAGGCAAGTCCACCACTTCGGCGAAACCCACAAAATTGGATATGGTGCCGACAAACCTAGAAACATAATCAGGGTGAATCGGGATTTGAACCCACAACCTGCATGTATGAGGTCTAAGAGACCAATTGGATATGGTGCCGACAAACCTAGAAACATAATCAGGGTGAACCGGGATTTGAACCTACAACCTGCATGTATAAGGTCTTGGAGACCAAATGGATATGGTGCCGATAAACCTAGAAACATAATCAGGGTGAACCGGGATTTGAACCCACAACCAGCATGTATAAGGTCTTGGAGACGACATGCACCCTTCGATCTCCACGAAGGTCTGAGGGAACACTTGGGTTCAGGCAGTATTTCCTGAACATATCTTCATTCACCAACATGTAGTGTATTATTCATCATCAAAGAAAGGAAACTTCACTGAAATGATAATTTTCGAAGTCTTGTTTCACGAGTTTTGTAAAATCAATGGTGTGAAGGGAAGTATACATTAATGTTGCCTGACCTCAAGTCCAGTGAGGGCCTCAGCTTTAGACACCAGGTTATTGCCCTTCTCCAGGTGGTCGCGGTACTTCTCTGTCAACTCATGGTAGCGCCGGTTCATCTTGTCCATGTCGCTCTGCGGCACTGAGTCTTCCAGAGTCTTCTGCAGCTGGGTTATCTTGAAGGTTGACATGTCCTGGACAGATGACGTTCATTACATGGGAGGGGGACTCTGACTATGGAGATACACACACACGGACGCCACGCTCACAGTATTACAGTACATCATAAGCTGTCAACTGATCTTGAGATGTGTATGGTGTGTAGACCCTGTGTGTGTGACCCAAACCACCAGGCAAAGGGAAACACAGCCTCACACTCAGGGTACATCCAGCCATATCGGTTGACAACCAATTTACCTTACTGACATTCATTCATACAGGTCTGGAATATATGTCTACAGTTTCACTAAGTAACAAAACTCATAGCAGAATGAACCAAGTTACTTCCCTTTACCCAATATTCGGATAAACATCGGTTCATTTCAGAAACTCAATGATACTTAAGCGTGATAAGCATGTTATCTAAGATGTGTCCTGATTGATTTTCAGCGTGCTACAGGAAATTTGTAGCCAACCTGTGAATGGGCTACATGGAAACTAATTGCCAGCTGACAAAATTCCCAAACTGACAAGAGTTAACCTCTTGGTTAAACCCATGAGCATGAACAGGGTGCTGCTAACAAACATAAACTTCATTATCAGTGTGAAACTTGGATTCGGAACGACCAGAGGATCAAGGGACCAAACTCTGCACAATCATGTTGTGCTCAGATCATGAATTGTATCACCCTTGAGTCAAACCACTGAAATGGTTCTGGTACCAAAGAGGTATTGGGGACATTCTGATACCAAAGAGGTATTGGGGACATTCTGATACCAAAGAGGTATTGGGGACATTCTGGGAACAAAGAGGTATTGGTAACATTCTGGTACCAAAGAGGTATTGGGGACATTCTGGTACCAAAGAGGTATTGGGGACATTCTGGTACCAAAGAGGTATTGGGGACATTCTGGTACCAAACAGGTTTGGGGAACATTCTGGTACCAAAGAGGTATTGGGGACATTCTGGTACCAAAGAGGTATTGGTAACATTCTGGTACCAAAGAGGTATTGGTAACATTCTGGTACCAAAGAGGTATTGGGGACATTCTGGTACCAAAGAGGTATTGGGGACATTCTGGTACCAAAGAGGTATTGGGAACATTCTGGTATTGGTAACATTCTGGTACCAAAGAGGTATTTGGGACATTCTGGTACCATAGAGGTTTTGGGAACATTCTGGTACCAAAGAGGTATTGGGGACATTCTGGTACCAAAGAGGTATTGGTAACATTCTGGTACCAAAGAGGTATTGGGAACATGCTGGTATTGGGGACATTCTGGTACCAAAGAGGTATTGGGAACATTCTGGTACCAAGAGGTATTGGGGACATTCTGGTACCAAAGAGGTATTGGGGACATTCTGGTACCAAAGAGGTATTGGGAACATTCTGGTACCAAGAGGTATTGGGGACATTCTGGTAACAAAGAGGTTTTGGGGACATTCTGGTACTAAGAGGTATTGGGGACATTCTGGTACCAAAGAGGTTTTGGGAACATTCTGGTACCAAAGAGGTATTGGGGACTTTCCTGGCAGCAGGAGTGTCCAATTTGAAAGCTTTTTCACAAAACTGACCTTGAACCTGGAGAGGTAGCCTAGCCTCTCAGAGATGGCAGATTGTATCTGGGTGATCTCATTCCTCTGTTGATGTAATTCCTGGAGATGTGAGACACAAAATATAATCAACATAATAAAACATTTTGTGATTCACATGAGAAGATAAAGCAAATGTCAAACATTTCTTCAGACAACTATTAACCATCACTGATGTAACACTGTCTAAACGTGAACAGTGCTCACAAGTTTGCTTGATTTGACATCATTTTTTGTGATGATCCCGGTGTGTGAGCCAATGTTCCCCTCAGCAAACCTTCGATTGCGATTGGATCATAACCTGGACCCAGTTGGATCCCGATTGTACTGCACTTATAAGGTCGCAGATCAGGACAGTATCTTGACTGTGTTAAGTGTCGCTAGAAGCCTGTGACTGACCTATCCAAGCCTGGTGTGTATCTTCTCCATGATCTGGTAGCGAAGAACCTTTGATTGCGATCGGATCATAACCTGAAACCAACTGGATTCTCGAACGTATTGCAAACTTTTAAGTTAGCTGATCATGACAGTATCATGATTGAAGATCTTAGTGATAATTGTAGCTAGAAGCCTGTGACTGACCTTTCTAAGCCTGGTGTCAATCTCCTCCATGATCTGGTAGCGCCGTGTCAGCGCCTTCTCATTGACGCGGAGTGTTGTGATCTTCCTGGTCATGTCTGCCAGACGGCGCCTCACCTCCACGTCATCCTTGCCTAGTGTGTCCACCAGCCTCTGTGGCGGGAGCATGCACCATTAGTTTGTCATTGGGTACAGTTTACCATCGTTCTCTTTGCAAGACATACTCAATATAACTTAATACAGAATCAGTGTCACTGCAGAATCATATGTAATGTATCATTTCTGCATATGTAGCAATTAATCTAAAGAATTTTCAGGCCGAGTGAGAAATGATGCCCTGCTTTGCTTGAAAATATCACAAACACATCATGTATTGCCACAAGCTCCTCACAGCGATAGCCTGTTCCTGGAGTTCTCTATACTATCACTGCCACCAGTCAAATCTCCCCACTGTGATAGGTGGCCACAATCATGCTTGGAGCTAAACTCGCAGCCGACTGACTGTTATGTTTACAAGCAAGTGATGACTGCCGTGACGCTGAATACTCTTACCCCAGCTTAATTATTTTCTTTGTTTGCCATTTTGAGTTTCTATTTCATTCCAACTCTCATGTAATTGGTAGAGTAAGAATTTAAGGGGAGAGTTAGGTGATTTTACGTTAGTCTGTAATCTCGAACCAATCTGATTAAACAAAACAAAAATGTAAATTCATCTGGGAAATCTGGTCAGTCTGAACCTTTTCAAAATTCACTGTGATTGCATTCCCAAAGACATATATGTGACTACATTTGGGGTTAGAAGGCAAATTTCAAGATTCTTGTAATGCCAGCTTCCACTCAGACGGCAGTGATGTTACCGAGGGTGTCACGCAGTGGGAAGGAGCTTGGTTACGCCATATAAAGGGGAGAAAACTCACATCAAATTCCTGGATGCGGACAGAATCCTCCTCTCTTTCTCCATGGACTTTCTTCAGCTGATCTTTCAACTTGTCACATTCTCCCTCCCACTCCTGAAAACACAGCATGATTGTTTCTTGTTAATACTTACTTCCCTTTACGAGAGTATTCTATGCTTCCTTATGAAAATATCTTTACTTGAGTACGTAACGATTACAACTGTATTGTAAGTGATCTCTTGATCCATTGAGTGGAAGGGCTGTAAAATGTTACATTTTAAAAACCACATCAAGTCCCACAATCCCAGGTTTGACTGTCCATCTCTCTACCTTCTTTGATGCCAGGAATTCCTGGTACACGAGCCCCTGCTGGTGTCTCATCACGGCAAACTTGCGCTTGTAGTTCTCCAGCGACACATCCATCTTCCTCATGCTCTCCTCCTTCAGTGCCATCTCCTGCAGAAGTCAACACCACATCTCCACATCATAGCTCTGATATATGTCACAACAGTCAGTACATTGGCCCTGTGAGTGTGAGTATGTGTGTGTGTGTGTGTGTGTGCATCAGCACCACATCTCCACACCATAGCTCTGATATGTCATAACATAGTCAGTACAAAGGCAGTGTGTATGTGTGTGTCTGTGCGTGTGTGTGCGTGTGTGCATGTGTGCGAGTCAACACCACATCTCCACACCATAGCTCTGATGTGTGTCATAACATAGTCAGTACAAAGGCAGTGTGTATGTGTGTGAGTGTGTGTGTGTGTGTGTGTGTGCGTGTGTGTGTGCATCAACACCACATCTCCACATCATAGCTCTGATATATGTCACAACAGTCAGTACAGAGGCCCTGTGAGTGTGAGTATGTGTGTGTGTGTGTGTGTGTGCATCAGCACCACATCTCCACACCATAGCTCTGATATGTCATAACATAGTCAGTACAAAGGCAGTGTGTATGTGTGTGTCTGTGCGTGTGTGCATGTGTGCGAGTCAACACCACATCTCCACACCATAGCTCTGATGTGTGTCATAACATAGTCAGTACAAAGGCAGTGTGTATGTGTGTGAGTGTGTGAGTGTGTGTGTGTGTGTGTGTGTGCATCAACACCACATCTCCACACCATAGCTCTGATGTGTGTCATAACATAGTCAGTACAAAGGTGTGTGTGTGTGTGTGTGTGTGTGTGTGTGTGTGTGTGTGTGTGTGTGTGTGTGTGTGTGTGTGTGTGTGTGTGTGTGTGTGTGTGTGTGTGAGAGAGTGAGAGAGAGCCCATGAAACCGACACTGCAGTACAACAGTTATCAACATAAATATTGAGGTTCTTGTGACCCCAATCTATAATAGGTAAATACTATTCCCTGGTCACTTATCCCCTGAATACTACAAACATTGAAGACCATGTTTCAACTAACAAGGTACTAATTCCTGCATGTATTTGATGAGCTGAATGAGTGATATGACTAACCTGAAGCACCACCACGAGATGTTCGTTGAGGCTAGCGATGATCTCAGTGCTGGTCACTGCCATGCCCTCAGGGAGGGGGAGGGCCTTGAATGCCCCAGGGGCGACGCCAGACTCCTGGAAGGCCTGGTGGTCCTTCTCCATCCGTTCTATCTTGTCAAACGCCTTGTCTCGCTCCATCCGGTTCTTGTTCCCTTCCACACGAGATTCTCGGAGTTCATTGCGGAGCTCGTCGTTACGACCTCGCAGTACATCCACTTGTTCTTTGAGGTACAGCGAGGTGTCATAAGAACCGATCACCTTCTTAGCCTCAATAGCCTGGTCAAAATCATATAATCAATATCAACTCCTCCTTTAAAACAGGAAATGAGCAATTACAGTTTAAAAGTCTTTGATTGGCATTTAGAAGTTGGAAGAACATGAAGACATGTAACTGTTATGGATAACACCTTGTTTGTAATGATGTTTCCAGTCTGTGACTTTAGCCACTAGTCCAAAGCCCGAGTCTAGTACGATTAGCTAATACATGCCATATACTAACAGCCAAATGTACTGAAAATGATGGTGTTAACAGTCAAATACAGGCAAGTAGACTTACACACTATGTTTCGGGCTACTTCTTGGCCTGTGAGTGTGAGTGAGTATGGTTTTACGCCGCTTTTAGCAATATTCCAGCAATATCGCGGCGGGGGACACCAGAAATGAGCTTCACACATTGTACCCATGTTGGGAATCGAACCCGGGTCTTTGGCGCGACGGGCGAATGCTTTAACCACTAGGCTACCCGACTGCCCCCTGATACATGTAGTGCAGTGTACAGATTCACAACCTGAGGTTGCATGAAAAGATTTTTGGATTACAACTGACTAGATCCAAATCTGTATTTTTTTGTAATTTATCTTCATTGACTGCTGCTTTATTTAAAGCAAAATAAAGCTGCAGTCAATGACCAGGGGCACAAAGACATGCAAACAGCTAAGTCACAGAACCTGACCACCTGATCATTTTTGTCAGCTCTTACGACAAGCACAGGCTACTTTGCACCAATTCTACCCCGGAATCCCTGTTATATGTATAACATCTGAAAGTTGTATATTGTAGCAGATTGTCACTGCTGTGCACTTACTGCCAGCATCCTGTCTATACTGGGGAACTGTCCAAGGTGGGACTTTACCCCATCACGGGCAGAACCTGAATTCCCAAAAATAAAAAATAAAGTACCATAATATTATAAAATTACATCTAAACAAATGCTGATGTGAAGTTTCTCGAAAAGGTTGACCTTTCATACGTTTTTGTTTATTTTTTTCTTTACATAAATAGATGGGTAATGCCTTGAACAACCTATTCAAAACTCAGAGTAAGTGAATATCTGTTTCTATATAAATGGCATTCATTAAGGGAAGATAATTCTCAGTTCCTTCGCCTGTTACTGTGATTCCCCCACCTGGAGGCTGCTGCCTGACGGCCTCCATCAGCTCCTTGAGGGCCTCCTCCTGGACCCGGTTGTGCTGCGCCATCTCCTTGTTCTGTGCACGGAGGTGAGCCACTTCATCCTCCATGTTGTTCATCTCCCGCACGTTCTGCTTGTACTCCTTGCCCAGCTCCTCATCCTCAACACACATACACACACATACATATACACACATTTATATACACACATACATATGGTCCACAGTATGTCTACACAGTGCTGTACACACATACATGTAAATGATTAACAAATTCCATACTGACTTCATGGACAGGCAAAATTCCTTCTTTATAATCTTAACTACATGCACAGACATGCACCAATTGCATATAAATTGCTCTATATCAACATATCAAACTAAACATTATTATGCTAACTAACTATGTGTTTTCTTCAAAAATGTATATCATGGGCGCTTGTATCTGTGACACCTTGTAGATTTGTGACAAAGTTAACTTGATTTAAACACAGCTACAGATAATTACTTGCAGAGCCTCCCAAGTTACCCATCCCAATACATGGTCAAGAGAGTTATCTACCCTAAGGAAGACCAGACACAGTTATTTATCCTAATACAAGGTCATACAGAGTTACCTACCCTTATGCTGCTTTCCCTTCTTTCCACCTCTCTCAAGATGGCAGCTGCTGTAGAGATCGGCTGACCTTGTGTCTTGCGGACCTTCAACTCTTCCTGATAGTCCTGAACAGCCAACATGTCCTCCGCTGTCAGCCCTAACGCCACCGCTCTACAAGACAGACATGTGTGTCAGTGTCATCAGCTGTTTGAAGCCTGTCATCTACTGCACAAGATGATCACCATTTTCTTCACAAAAACACATACAGCTGCATGTAATGGTAACAATACTAAAAAGCATTTTAACATGACCACAATATATGCTGCCCATGATCACAACAATGTGCCAGGTCCTCACTGGTAAATGCAAGTGAGAATCAGGGCTTGATTTAAAGAACTGTACATAACTTGCACCACGTGCATGTGGACATGAAGAGCTGGTTGCACAAGACAAAACCACCCTGGTTGCACCCTGGTCTAAAAGATGAGGTGAAATTGGGTTAAACGTTGCGTCCAAGATTATTGCACTTATATAGCGACGTGCATGTACGTGTGAGTGTTTGTGTGGCTGCTTGTACTAGTCTGGACTGATGCCGATTTATAGTGCTAGCTCACTGAGATACCATGCCGCAGTTACACATGAATACCCCACTCAGACACAGTATACTGACTCTGAGCCGACCAGTCCTTGTTTTAGCCCCTTAATGCCAAGCGCCAGACAGGGTAACAACAAGTACCATCTTTTAACGTCTTTTGGTATGACGCGGCCAGGGATCGAACCCTGGACCTTCCTCTCTCCGGGTGGACGCTCCACCACTAGACCACGGAGGCGGTCCCTGGTCTAAAAGATTAATCAAAGTTGATTTATACCTAGTCCAAGTAAGTAAAATCGCAGATCTCTGAAGGGAGTGTCATGTGTCAGGAATTACACAAAACACAGGGATTCGTTATATAGTATTGTAAATAAAGCTTGGAGGTACTGAGTGTGTTCAAAGATCGATGTTATTTGGACAAGTAAACGTTAGTCAGACAGAAATGCAAAACATTTTTTACATGCACTCGGTCCATGTAGACATAAATAGTAGGTTGCATCTTTCAATAGTTGGTTGACCTTGTGCGTGTTTAATCGAGCCCTGAGAGTGTTTAGGAAACTGGCATGTCTTTGACATGTAAATATGCAAGCAATAAGCTCACCTTTGCCCTGTTTGCTGCGCCATCTTCCTCAGTCTGTTCTTGAGGACCCTTCTCTCTTCTTCCAGGACTTCAATCTATATAGACCAATGTACTATAGAGTAGGACAAGTCCGAGTTAAGTAGCCTAATAAACTTATCAGTCAATCAATTCTCGTAAACTATTCTTGTATTTGATCCAAACTATACTGCACTTATTGAAAGAATAATGTCTTTCTAAAACCTACCACGCTTACACATGTATTTCTGTTAGGATCATCTGTTAATATAGACACAGACCCCAAGTTAAAATGTTTCAAAGAAGTAAGAATCAAGGGCACAAAAATACACTTTGTCATTTAAACTTGCATAAAAATAACATTCACAAACCATCTTTAAATGCCTGTTCTAAAAGACATCAAAACATAAATAGAATCGTATCATCTTTGTTCAGACTCAGCTTACAAGCTGACATAGATCAAGGCTTCAAAGGGGGCTTCAAAGGGGGCTTCAAAGGGGGCTTCAAAGGGGGCTTCAAAGGGGGCATAACTCTGCCCTACCTCATTCTGGAGCTGGAAGTTAAGGGCCTTGGCCTCCTCCTGTCTGATGGCCTTGTTCTTGCGGAACTCTGTGAGATCCAGAGGCTCCTTGGGATCCAGCTTCAGCCGATAGCGGAGCTCCTCATTCTCATCCAACATGTCATTAATCTTCAGCTCGGCTTTGTTGATGTGCTGAGTCAGCTCCTCAATTTGTCTGAAAAGTTCCGATGTATTTCACGCTAATATAGCTATTCTCAATAACTGCATGATTAAAGTAAGACACTTGCAAAGGCATAATGCAAGGTTTTGTTGCATAAACTTTCCAAGAAGATAAATGACCTCTACTGACCTGTCTCTGACCTTGACCTGGTTCTTAAATTCCTTGATCTCCGCCACAGCCTCCACTAATCCATATCCCTGTGCCAAAAACAGCCCCCATTAATGATCGGTCAGCAGGATACAATAAAAGGAACAAATTAGTTTCCAATAACACAAGATACTACAAATCATACCCACATCAATAGAAGATGAAATAAACAGTGATGACCATACCTAAAATGTACATATATTTCCTTGGGAACACAACTCAACATATAAAAGGATGCTCCCCTAGTCCTTGAGATAAAATGTTTTTAGTCATTCAGTCTTGCTTGACAATGGTATAAGGATCTATACCGAAACGTCGCTTTTTACAGTATTAAAGAAGTTGTTATCCATAAAATTGTGTCTATCTTGAGATAAAATGTTCTCGGCCTCAAATTCAGTCTACATTTAACTTCTTTCCAAAAGAACCACCTACCTAATAATTCATTTATCCTGTTAGCTGAAGGTAATATAGAGAGGAGCAATATTACAAGGAGCCAGATCTGAGCATCTGATTCATGTTTCATTCATAAACGTAAGCAACATTATTACCTAGTCAAAACATCAAGGCATCATATTTTGTGGGGCATAAGTGAAGTATTAAAGACAATAATCACAAAGTGTAGAAATAGGTGTCTGCATTGATAAGTCATGTTTTAACATTAGTCATCAGACACAGATCAAAAGAGGAGAGTGCAGGAATTTATGTCTAACAACATGAACTAAATCATTGTTTTGTTTTCAACAAAAATAACAATTATTTGACTTGTCCATACAACATAAGAATTTAGTGGTATCGGCACCCATACAAGGGCCAGCTGGGCGCAGAGGAACAGGCTTCTAATGTGCTGATATGTTTTCATATGTTTTCAACTTACAGCCTCATATTCCCTCATTCTTTCCAGAGCCTCATTCAATTCCTTGTCTTTGTTCCGAGCATCTTCCTCAGCCTGGAAAATCCAAGTCGGTTAATGTGTATTAACTGTACATATCTTTATATCACGACAACAACATATATACCAGAAAAGCATAAAATTGAATTGCACAGAAGTAGTTGCTTTATTGAAACATCCAATATCTAATTTCATCAGTAATAAAGAGGTGGGTGTCGGTACCTTCTTGGCATCCTTCACGATGTCTCTCTGCTGCTCCTTCTGACTCTTGAGGGTGTTCTGGAGCTCTCGCACCTTGGTCTGCATGCGGTCTCCTGGCCCACTGCCCGCTGATGACAGGACAATGTCACAGAAACAAAATGATACAACAGTGCCAGGCTGGTATTTTAATGAGTCAGCATATTTTTCATTTTCAAAACAATATTGTCTACTGTAAGAATCAGAATTCTGCCTGTGTTTAAGGGGTACAAATGTCAGCCATTTTCACTTAAGGTCTTATAGAAGTAGTGGCAACAGTGTCCTGATACCTTTCAGTGATATGTTAGCGACATGACTGCCTCAGACAAGAGACAGCTCTCCACCACTACAGTGAGTGAGTGAGTATGGTTTTACGCTACTTTTAGCAATATTCCAAAAATATCACGGCAGGGTGACACCAGACATGGACTTCACACATTGTACACATGTAAGTGATTGAATATTGTTTTTAGTCGCTTTTAGCAATATTCCAGTAACATCACAGCAGGTGGACACAAGACATGGGCTTCACAAATTGTCCAAATGGGGGGAATCAACATGGGCCTTTGGAATGACAAGCAAAAGCTCTAACTGCTAGGCTACTGCCCCTCCACTAAATATAGTCGAGGAAAGTTCTCCTTGCAAACCTTTGCAAAGACCTTTAACAAAAACACCGGTTGTAACAAATCTGTGAAGGTGATGAGAGTTCTAGTAGCTTCATCAGAGTATGCCCAAAGCCTTGAACTTTTCACCAGATTGTTGTACTAACCAATGGACTTTCAATAGCTGGGTGACAGCACAAATGGCCTTCTACTAGACTCCAGCTTCAGTGCTGTCAGCTGCAGCAAGAATGGCAAGATGCCACTAGTTCAAGTCAGTGTGCCTAATGTTACTGCGAATCCGAGAGTATGGTTTTATGGCACTTTTAGTAATATTCCAGCAATATCATGGTTGGGGACCCAAGATATAGGCTTCACACATTGTACCCATGTGGGGAATCTTTGGTGTGACAATTGTATTGCTTTGTTGTTTAACGCCGCACTCAGCCATATTCCAGCTATATGACGGCAGTCTGTAAATAATGGAGTCTGGATCAGACAATCCATTGATTGATATCATGAGCATCGATCCACCCAATTAGGAAACAATGACATGCATCAACCAAGTCAGCGAGCCTGATCACCCAATCCCGTTAGTCGCCTCTTACGATAAGCAAAGTCACTTTTTACGGCAAGCATGGGTTGCTGTAAACTGTGACGAACGAACACCTTAACCACTCAGGTATCCCGCCGCTATTTTTCTCACACTTAAAAGTAAACACTGTTTTTTCGGTAAAAGCTATTGCAAAATCTTTTCTCTAGAACATATTTCAAGCAAATTCCAAACCCCATCAACAGAATATCAAACGGTCGGTTCCTTTAATGTTATCTATATTCGTGTAAGTAAATGTGTCAGCATCCTCAACTCTCCTCACCTCGATGCAGCTCCTCACGCAGGTCGTCAATGATGGCGGTGTTCTTGTCCATCTCGTATATGTACTGATTCACTTTCTCCGTCAGCTCCTCGATCTGCTTGTCTTTCTCCTTCAGGACCTACAGCACAACACACGGCACTACAGCTTCACTTTACCACCATCCAGCCATCCAAGACCACAATAAACGGACCATAATCCAGTTATAAATAGTAATAAATGAATCTTTCTTGAAGCTGTGGCTTCATGATGAGATGCAGATAGCTTTAAGCTTCTGCTGTACATTTTCTGGCCTATCAATAGGATCAAGATTATTCAAATCTGCAGACATATGAAATCTTTAACCGTTTATCAGCTCAGACAAGCCTTGGTAATTTGCCGATATATTTCAGTCATAACCAGTTCCACCCATACAACCTCACCTGTCCGAGAGCAGCCACCGAGGCCTTGTCAGTGTCCATGTTGGCCGCAATCAGCTGGTCCCGCAGTTTGAATACCTGGTCCTGAAGCTCCCCGACCTGTTGATCCTTCTCCCCCATCAGCACCTGCAGACACATGGCATGTATTGAAGAAATAAACGACGAGTGGGAGTTATTTATCGTACAATAAAACACTGCACGGAGGATAAACCATGAGGGGCGCATCACACCCCGGCTTGCTGATCTGTCCCAGATTGTACCCATGTGTGGAAAAGATTTGGTTGTTTGGTTTGTTGTTGAACGCCGCACTCAGCAATATTCCAGCTATATGACGGTGGTCTGTATATAATCGAGTCTGGGCCAGACAATCCAGTGATTAATATCATGAGCATCGATCCACGCAATTGGGATCGATGACATGCATCAACCACGTCAGCGAGCCTGACCACCCGATCCCGTTAGTGGCCTTTTACGGCAAGCATGGGTTGCTGAAGACCTATTCTACCCCGGAATCTTCACGTGTCGAATGGAAAAGAACATGGGAAAAGAACATGGGAGAAGGGAATGCTTTATTCACTAGGCTATGACATCTCCCCTGCAGTAACAAGATATTAATGTCAAACAGAATGTTATTGTTGAAAGTAGATATTGACAAAAGAGTATTTTCTTCCTGAATTTCATTTCTACCTTCCATTCCTCGATCTTGTTGTTGACGGCAACCATAATGGCATCATCCGACTCTCCGCGTGACTGCACCTGCTCAGTCAGATCCGACACCTGCAGCAGGAACAATAGTCAGATATAAGACAAGTTGTCAGCCTAAGAAAGACTCAGGCCAAAATGAAGACTAGTTGTATGGCTTTTTTATGTATGACTATGTTTAATAATACTTCTGGCAAACGGATTGCTTTGACAAGTGAAACTTAATCATAGGCAAGTCAATAAACAGTTGACATGGTTCAGTCTATCATGAAACAAAATATCTTTTCTACAGACTTACACCATGTGACTGTATGAATAACACAAGAAAGAAAGAATCTTTGAGAGCTGATGAACAATTTCCAGCAGCAAATGAAACTAATTTCATTCTTTGTTGTCTGAAGTGTTTTGCTGAATCCAATTGTACGCTTAGAAACTTGGAAGCAAGCATCCTTTGACCCCTGCTAAAGGCAGAATTCATTCAGTCACAAATTATACCTTCTCAGATGTAAAATGTCTTTAGTTTCACGAATCATTTATATGAACAGACTTACAGACTATTTGATCAGAGGTATTAATGAAAGGAAAAACTTTACCTGTGCGTTCAGAATCTCGTTCTCCTGTCGGAGTTTATCTGTCACGTTGTCAGTCTCCTGCAGGACAGCCTAGAGACAGAACATGCATGTGTTATAATGGATAGATTCTCTACATCACAACCAACTTGTCTCCCTAGAGACAGAACATGCATGTGTTATAAAGGATAGATTCTCTACATCACAACCAACTTGTCTCCCTAGAGACAGAACATGCATGTGTTATAAAGGATAGATTCTCTACATCACAACCAACTTGTCTCCCTAGAGACAGAACATGCATGTGTTATAATGGATAGATTCTCTACATCACAACCAACTTGTCTCCCTAGAGACAGAACATGCATGTGTTATAATGGATAGATTCTCTACATCACAACCAACTTGTCTCCCTAGAGACAGAACATGCATGTGTTATAAAGGATAGATTCTCTACATCACAACCAACTTGTCTCCCTAGAGACAGAACATGCATGTGTTATAAAGGATAGATTCTCTACATCACAACCAACTTGTCTCCCTAGAGACAGAACATGCATGTGTTATAATGGATAGATTCTCTACATCACAACCAACTTGTCTCCCTAGAGACAGAACATGCATGTGTTATAAAGGATAGATTCTCTACATCACAACCAACTTGTCTCCCTAGAGACAGAACATGCATGTGTTATAATGGATAGATTCTCTACATCACAACCAACTTGTCTCCCTAGAGACAGAACATGCATGTGTTATAAAGGATAGATTCTCTACATCACAACCAACTTGTCTCCCTAGAGACAGAACATGCATGTGTTTTAAAGGATAGATTCTCTACATCACAACCTTTTCTCTTTTCCCTTTTTTACTTTTCTCTTTCATGATGCGGGATATTCCTGTTTTGTTAATTAAATCTTTACACGTTCTGTGACAGTGAACATTCTTAAAGTACATTTTCCTTCTATCACTAGCATACCCCAGGCATATATTCCAGCTGAAATGAGATTACAAAACAAGGTTGTTTAGAGTGTTGACTGACCTTGAGTTTGAGGTAATCCTCTGAGGTCCTGTCCATCTGTGTGATGGCATCCTCCATCTGGTGCTGTAGGTCCCCGCAACGCTTCTCCAGGGTGTCATTAGCATCGGTCAGATTCTGCAGCACAAATACAACGATGATGATATTTGTCATCAACATATTTTATGAAGAAAAGCTAGGCAAGATGCAGGGGAAATGTTAGTTTGACATGCAAGTCTATAAAATTGGAAGCACTGGCTCCAGGAAATAGGATCCTCAGTACTACTTAAAATGTCTCATAGCTTGGGTATATTATTTACCCATGGCCTAGACATCTGTCACGTTTGTCAATGAATGAGTCAATCTTATTTACCCTGCAGTCAGCAAAGTTCAACCCATATCGTTGCAAGGCAAACCAGTGGTTGATAGCTTGAAATTGTTCGGAACATCAGGGTACGGAGACAATCAGTCAGGTCAAACATTGTAAGCACCCAGTCCTCATTTATGTCAGCTATTGCAAGCTCAGTGTTGTAGACTAGCTCTTGTGACAACCAATGGTTGCTGAGTAAAATGCTGTCTGCCTTACCCAATCCCATCGCACAATGCTACTACAGATGAAGTATCCTGCCAGGCATGTCAAGCTAGAGGGGTACAAACATGTTGGGCTGCTGTGACCAGTAGTGAGATGGGAGGTATCAGATCGGGAAAACAATCACTGTGTTTAAAACTAAGCATGAAAATCAAGGAGTCCTTGTCATAACCCTAGCTGTAAAATTCTCAGTTTAAGGGGATCTCAGCATCAAATACTCCAGCATCTAAGCTCAAGGACCCCAATGACAACCCAAAATTTCAGACACAGTCTCAACTACAGTGACACCCCCCATCCTGGATAAACAAAACATTGTAATGAAGTTTGTATATATGTTAATATTTCTAACAGAACTGGTCCAAAAAGTGGGGTTGCAGACTAGCAGTGTCCAGATTAATGGGGTTTGACTGTATGAAGTTTCTGTGATCACCTGGAGTTCCTCCATCGCCTCGGCCAGTTCATGGTTCTTCCTCTGGAGCTTCTCCCGGAACTCCAGGTCATCCCCGCGCCGAGACACCAGGTTCTCTCTCTGGGACTGCATCTGCATCTTGTAGTCGCTGATGTCCTGCCGCATCTGGTCGTTCTGGACAACAAACAATCCTAGTGAGTAAGTACACATGCAGTCATTTGAGTGGTGACTTCAATCAGGTCCTAATGACAACATTAAAGAGTAATGACATTATTTTGCTGTAAGAGCTTACCCAATTTTTAATCCCTTACTTGACAAATGTACTAGCTACGGCACCGAAATGTTGCATAAAAAGAAGAGATCTTTAAGACAACTCTGACTTCCTTGAGACTACAGCCTTGATGACACACCCACCATACAGGTCTTGTTGTTTACCACTTCAGTGAAATCCACAAGCATATTTATGGTGCTAACAAACCTAGACTTATTTTCAATGCGAATTTGAAATTCGAACCCACGATAAGCTTGGAGGCCGTCATGACAACCTACCTTCTTGGATGCCGTCATGACAACCTACCTCCTTGGATGCCGTCATGACAACCTACCTCATCACGCAGTTCCTTCAGCTCCTTCTCCACCTCACTGATCCGTTCACTGTACTGTGGAGGAAACAACAGTCATTGAAACATATGTCGTAGACAAAGGAATACAGCAGACATTTGGCCTATCTTCCTCAAAGGTGTGCCTTATTCAGGGGTAGAAACTAACGTATTTAGTCCACTAGTCCTTATAATGATAACATATAGCAAAACCCTTAAAAATGGCAAATTTCTACTTGTCCTTATGATACCTTAACTTTTGGGCAGTTTGGCAAGGACTACAGGACTAGTGCCAATTTCTAATGCTGCTTATTATAAGTGAGGTGTAATTTTATGACAGCAAATCCATTATTTTCAGTAAAATTACTATTCAGAAACTATTAAGCAGATATGGAGCTCTCTCTATTCTGATTCTGAGCAGTAACATTGCAGCTGCAGTGTGAGGACACAAGTCACACACGTCAAATGTTATGTATCGTATTGCAGGTAAGTGTATGATGCCAGTCACATCATCCCATCTGTTGGGACTGCATGGTAATACAGGTGTGTCGGTACAATGCAATACACATTTCATACCAAATGCAATATTTGTTCTGTGTTCTGGAATATTGGGTAAAAAATATAACAAGTTGTGTTATTTTTTGCATCGTTTAACCTAAAATCTATACATAAAATCAAGCATAAATGTTTCCCTTCGAAACTGATTGACATAATGGAAACACGGAAGTGATATTTCTCTCATGTTGTTATTTCCCCTGTATCCATGACAACAAAATGGTGGTGACTGACCATGCTGAGAACCTTTTGCTTCAGTACCGTATATCGCTGTGTATAAGGCGAGTTTTTCGTACCTAAAATGGGGGGGCTAAGAAGGGGGGTCGTCTTATACACGGAGTCAAAGATCTCACATTTTTTTCCAATGGCGATGTCAACCGGCGTCCGATAGCCAGCCCAGCATTTGACAATAAAACTTCGCATTTCGTCCTAAATAACTGTTCCAATAACTATTTCCATACATAAACATGATTTGTATCTCTTTTCCTTGAATAAAGTTTAATAATTTCTGCAAATAAAGTTGAAATGACCCTCGCCTCGATGCAGATTGTCAAACCACCTGACACGGTAAAACAATCAACATCCGTGAGCAGAGAGCCGGAAGTACCGGTAAGCATTTGCATATTGCACATGTGACCTAACATGTGATAACCGGTGAAGCTGAAATCAATTCCCGCTGTTTTTACAGTTGTATTAACAAGTGTTGGAGACGGCGTGTACAAGTGATTGTGGAATATACACGCTGAATGTGAAGCAAACATAAGCCTAGTTAGTTACAACATAGTTAATTGGCGATTAAATTACTCACCATTGTCTCTTATATGTTATTACTTCATAAATGAATTTTATTTTACGGGCACCAATTTGGTGTCGTACCGTGTAAACACGAAATGGCGACGTGTGCTGGAGTTACACACGCGACCTATCATTGTAGAAAAAAAAAAACGCAAGATAAACAATTGCATATATAAGGTTTGTGTGCGCACTTGTGATGTGTGCGAAATACGCATCAGTCGGAAAGCGCATGTTAAATCTCCAAAGTAACTAACTAACTAACTAACTAACTAACTTGTGATGTCCGTGTGCGAAATACGCTACAGTTGGAAAGCGCACGTTAAATCTTCTATATCAGTCAGACTTGTGATGTGTTTCATTCCCGGTCGCCTTGTACACGGAGTATAGGATTTTGGGTTGATTTTTAAGGCGTGTACAGGGGGGTCGTCTTATACGTGGGGTCGCCTTATACACAGCGATATACGGTACGTACAAAATAGCTTCTGCTGTCAATCACTGTCAAACACTTCAGCTGCTAATGTATTGCAATACATACAATAATACAATTTCCTGTATTGCAATATATTCAAAACAATTTTTAGGCCATTACAGTGCTACAATGTATTTGTGTACGTCAACATGGTCAAAGTAGGGAATTAACTGACTTTACTTCGAGTAACACGATCAGACAAACCTTCTCTGCTGCTCGTTTCTCATTCGTGAGATCTCTCTGGAGATCCTTGACCTCTTCCTTCATCTGCTGGTTGTGTTCCTCCAACTCCCGGATCTCCTCCCGCAAGTACCGCGTGTCACGGGTCGTCCCGCCACCACCACCACCACCATCCCCACCAAACTTCTACAACAAAATTGCAGTGAGTGAGTAAATGTGCTTGTTGCCACATTCTCTTTATGAAGACAATTAGCAGCAGGATATACATAATAAGGTCTGGACCAGTGACTGAAGGTATGAGTGAGTGAATGAGTGAGTGAGTGAGTGAGTGAGTGAGTGAGTGAGAGTGAGTGAGTTGGGTTTAACGCCACTTTTAACAGTATTCCAGTTATATCACCCCGTGTCAGCTTGATGTGGAAGGAAAGCCTGAAGTGATGCAGGTCTCGGACGTTTACTACTTCGGTGAAACCCACGAGCACGGGTATGGTGCTGACAAACCTAGAAATATAATCGGGGCGAACCGGGATTCGAACCCACAATCACAGGCTTCTGGCGTGCCCAAGGGACGCAACTCTGCACAGCGAATCGCAGCGCCTTAGACGTCTGGGCCACCCCTGCCCCCGACTTATGAGCACCGATCTACACCATCACGGTACGATGACACACATTAAACCATCTTGATAACCCGATTCCTATATGTTGGCTGTAACCAGAAGTGACTGAGTGCCCACTCGGACCTGGCTTCACCGCGGGTCTACAATACTGACCTGCACCAGCCAGTGCAGTAAGTCATGCCTCATGTTAGTACATCATAGACTGAACCAGCCACATGTCTTCAGAAGTCATCTGGCAGACTAGGATCAGACCTGCATATTTTTTGTAAATTATGCAAAATAAATCACCATTATTCCATTAATTTTTATCTGCAAGCATAAAAAAATGCTTAATTACCCAATGTATTTGTTTCAACCTGTGTACCTGCATTTCTTTACAGATCTTTATTTACTCATCGGTACCACACATAAAAGAACTCTACTATTCTAACTCATATATTTCTTGACATTGAATATCATTAAGCCTTTGTCCATAAGGCTGGGCAGTGCAGGGCTCCATTCTACAAAGCGATTTTAGCGTTAAGATGAGTGTAACTCCCATACTTTAACATAGGGTTACGATCATCGTAGCGCTAAGATTGCTTTGTGGATTTGGACCTAAGGTCAGTATTGTCTACGGCCAACTAGATCTGCATAATGTATCATTGTGTTATTATTCTGAAAATTATCAGATGTTTCTATATCAATGAATACTTTGGAATGTTGTTTCGACAATTTGGACTGTTTAATTCTATCACAGCACAGGGTTTCAGATTGACCAGGGACACTGGGTTAGTGGTTAAGGTTTTGCTCGTCACGCTGAAGACCCGGGTTTGATTCACCACATGGATACAGTGTATGAAGACCATTTCATGCATATTACATAAGTTATGTCTGTTTTTGTTTGTTTGTTGTCAATCCAGTGACTGACATCATGAAAATTGATCTATGCAATTGGGATACGATGACATGCATCAACCAAATCAGCGAGCCTGACCACCCGATCCCGTTAGTCGCCTCTTACGGCAAGCATGGGTTACTGAAGACCTATTCGACCCTGGATCTCCATGAGTATCATATGTTACGTAGATCTAGTTAGCTGGAGAGAGTACTTATCATACCTGGCCATGTACTGCCTGGGCCTTATGGACAATAGTGGCTGATAGTGGATGTCAAGAAATGTCAAGAAATACTGTTTGTCGTTTAACCCTGCACTCAGCAATATTCCATCTATATGACAGTGGCCTGAAAACTGTTGAGTCTGGGCCAGACAATCACGTGAACGATGTTGTGAGCGTCAACATTGTCGGTGTTCAATGACACGCACCAAATTGCTGAGCATGACCACCCGATCCATTTGGTGGCCTCTTACAACCAGCATGGTTTGCTGAGGACCTATTCTAACCTGGAATCCCCAAGGAGGATGTCTAGAAATACATGAGACCCCTGGTGAGCTAGGACGGATCGACATCACTGATGATGACAACAAACCTTCAAGTCACTGATCTCCTTCTTCAACTTGTCCTGTTCATTGACCATCTCCTGCTCTGAAAAGAAAACATTCAGAAGCAATATAAATCTTGTTTGTTTGTTGTCCAGCTTCAGGACATGTTTGACCAGACAATCTAGAGAAACATATTATGAACACCAGTCCATGCCCTTGGGGTAACTCAACAGTTTTGCTGTTGTACGAAGTGATCTTAACGCTAAGGTGATCGTAACTCCCACACCTTTACAAAACCTTATGGCAGTCGCAGTGCTAAAGTTGTTTTGTACAACGGCACCCAAGTCACCAAGCCTAAAACCTGATCTATTAAATTGCAACTTACAACCAGTATAGGTTGTGGGGGCACTTTTCTATCCCAGAATTCCAACATGGCCAAAATTATTTAAAAGATGGAACACTTTCTTTTGGACATATTTTTGATATGAGTGACAATTCAATATAGGACACTGGAAACATCCCCCATTATTGATATAACAATGTGGAAACAGAGACAGTGCAAATGGTTTTCAAATATTATAATGACAATGATTACTTGTCAAATTGTAATGAGGAATGAGGTAACAAAATCTACAAATATAACCAAGGCTATATTAAAGTAACCATGGTAACTGTAGCAAAAGCGACCCTTGAGAAATGTTTGCTTCCTCGTAGTAGTTTAAGGGTGCTTATCGGTGGGGTGAGTTTGGTCTAAGGACTGCATCATACTCTGCTGCTCCCCATTCTATGTATCATTTCCTCATCCCTGCCCATCCCTACCCCACCTGAGTGGTGATAAATTAAGCCCAGTTTATTGACCTTTTTCACACTTCGCTACTTCCGGTTTGAAAGCGAGGCTTGGAGAGCAGAAGGTGAAGGCTGGATAGCACATGAAACACATGGAGATGTCAACAAGGCATGCAATCGGGACAAACTGTGACAATTTAACCATCCCGGTACATTCATCGTAAGTATTGAACATTATTCTTATTGACAAATTATTCTACTGTTATCTGGTCTCCTTACCGATATAAATTTGAGTCTGGCCGTTCTGTTGTGATTTCAATTTAAAATATCCATGACCACCTGGTAACTCCCAGTGCAGTTTATGGTAGCTGAACAGACTTAATACAAATTCTACTGAAATCTTGTAAAAAATAATTCATTGTTTACACACCATTAAGCCAAACTATTTATTGTGAGTTTAAATAACTTTGAGGGTTGTATTTGAAGTCGAAACATGACCTTTTGACCATATCTAGATATATGTCAGAAAATAACTAAATTGATATGTTGATATAATGTATCAAATTGTAACCTACTGAGAATTTACAATCGTAACAAACCAGAAGTTTGCATCAGTTGTGTATTTGATGTAACTTGTAATGGACTCAAATGCATTCCAATAAAATATTAGACCTCTAGATCTACTTGTGCTGTTGGGATTGTGAACAGTTGTTATTTTGATTGTCAATGTTGACAGATTAGATAGCATGAGGTGTAATATTTCAACTGAATTATTACATAAAGGGTATGTAAATATTTAAAGTAAAGTACAGTTTGATCTGCAATTTTGGTAACAATTAATATTTCTACCAAAATGATATTTACTTTACTGTACCAATTTAATCATGTCATGAAATGAACAAAAACCCAACTAATAATGTCCAGTAAATGTTCAATCTACATATGATCTTTATATAATTTACAGAAACAGATAACTCTTTAACAGTTTGTATTCAAATATTTCAAATGCATAAATTGATATTGACATTACTAAAAACTTAAAGTATAAAAAGAATTATTTTTAATTCCCATGCGTATTGCAATCATAACTCATTTATTCCCTTTGTTTAATTGTGAAACCCATCTGGTTTTATGTCCACAAACATATTTTGAAACTTTTACAACAAATAGATATTTTTGGGTGCAAACAATTGCCATGTATTATTGATTATTCTACCATGAATTTGGAATTTACTCGATTCTGATTGGTCAATCTGAGGCTAATAAATCACAATAAACCCCCTCTGATTGAAACAGCTGGTTTGACGGCCGCATCACCGCGGAAGCTAATATTCATAGAATAGTACTATTTTCAGTCATTGTCGGTAGGCATATTTAAATAACTATATCTACAATAACAGGTTACAAAATGCACTGATGCAGTTACTACAATATTAATAGGGATGTGTGGAAATACATTTTGTGCAGAAAAACACGACAGAAATCAACAAAGGGAATGTATTTACGTTTTGGAGACAACAGAGAGCTTGAAATTTTGGCGCTTTTCTATATACGACTGTGACGTCATATCTTTTGAGTCACAATGAGCAATATGACGTCATAATGGTGACGCGCGATGTAGAGCGAAAGCCTTGCAAAGCTTGCTTTGTTTTCTTTAGGGATGCTCACCTCATGTTAGCTTACCAAGTTGCCGTGCTTATATGCTTTCAATGCCTGTCATATGTTCGAGTGAAGTATTACGGTGTAAACAAACTGCTAGAGTATATACGGCACCATATTTTGTTCGGTGATTCCGTAATTCAGATCGATAATTACCCACTCAAAACGCCTTCAAGATTGTTCTAAAGTACATGTAGCATGTAATGTTACACACTGTGATTAATTTTCCTTAAACTTCTCTATTTCAGAAGAATGTTGTTTTCTAAATAAGCAATATTTTGAGAGAAGGTGAATATGCATTGTTTATAAAAAATGTTATTGAAGTAGGAATATTATTACAATATAATAGAATTATTCATTTCAGGCCAGCGAGTCAACACAATGAAGTACTAGTATCTGGTGACGGATGTCTGGAGGAGCTTTCTGCTGACAGTAACACAATGGTTACAATGTGCGTCCTGTCAAAGGACGAGGAAGTGAAAAGCCATATTTATTCAATCAACAAATGTGGTTCCTGTCACATTTCTCTTAAATAGGACGAGGAACTGAAAAGCCTTATTCACTCACAAATCAACATGGCCAATATTTATCGGACACTGAAAAAGCACATTGTACCATTTGTTTACAAGCAAGAAAATTATTTTCTCCTGGAATTTAATTAGGTGCTTTTGACTGACAAAGACACCCAGTCCGTGATAAGTTTTGAAAACTTATATTGTGAGAAATAAAGATATGAAAATTTTGGTTTGTTTTTCTTTGTCAAATATGAGAAATCCAGATTGTTCCATCAACATAATTTGTACCGATACATATATTTTATCTTGGCTTGATTACCAATTGAAGTTGATTCCTTTTTATCTTTTGTTATTTTATCTGTACTCATATCTGATCAAGACATTTTCAAACTATTCAGGATAAATGTATTAGTAGCTTCCTTTTGATATACAATTACCTTTCATCATACAGGATTCGGTGAGGGTGTTCAAGAAGTTGGTAGTTGTATCAATTCTTATATTTCTTCAATTTCATGCATTATTTATATTTATCAATTTTTAGTTTCCTTTTAACTTATTTTAAACAGTTCACACATTATTACTTTTGTAGTGCACGGTGCAATCTCAATCGGCAATAATCAGTTAAGTAAGTGATGTTTGAAGAACAAGTAAAGTATCATCTGTCATTGTACACACTGAATAGGGTTATCGCCCCTTCTGAATATTTATTTTGACACACGAATTATTTTCATAATTAACATTGTAATATGTTAAAATGAAAATCATAGCAGAAAAAGTGTCTTTTGTCAACTGGACTCATGGCAAAACGATAGTGCGTTGTGCAACAAACACCACTATGAAACGTGAAATAAACATGATCTCAATCTTGATCTAGCGTTCGCCAAGCCACGCATTGACTGAGCAATTTTGCAAAAGTACACTGACGTGTTTCATGTTATGCGGTTTATTTACGATAGAAAACTTCTGTCATTAAATGTACTGTCACATTGTACCTATATGCCGACGAAGTTATGATAAAACAATCTATTTCTGAAATACATATCTCGAAATGCACCTTTCGATTCACTTCCGGGATCCTGACAGCAAAATGCTAATTCCAGTGTATAACAGGCATATTTTAGTTGGACCTCATGATTTAATGTGAAATATCTTCTGTATTATATACAGAGGATACCATTTTTTGTTTGTTTGAAATGTCCATCAGTGAAATGCACAACATGCTGTCTATTCTCTATGAGCTGATGCGACTCTCACTGCATGGAGCTATGCTCTCCAAGCCTCGTTTTCGATCCAAGATGGCGAAAGTGTGAAAAAGGTCAATTGAGATGATTTGTTTGTATCAAATAATATGAACTTCAGGATGAAAACTGTTGAAACTGCCTTATCATGTCTATCGAAATTACATTACAAAAGAATATATATCCTATATTTACAAATTAATTCCACACCATTTTGTTTCCTTATCAATTTCTTAATCAATTAGACATGACAGCAGATTGATAAACATATTGACAGTCAAAACCAAACTACTGACCGATTCTTTGGTCAATTGTCCAGCACTTCTAAGTAGCATTTATTTATTTGTTGTTTACTGCCGCACAGCAATGTTCCAGCTATATGCATGATATGATGGTGGTATGTAAATAAGTCTGGACGAGATAACCCAGCGATAGACATCATGAGCGTTGATCTACCTAGTTGGGACACGATACATGCATTAACCAAGTCAGCGAGTCTGACCACCCGATCCCGTTAGTCGCCTCTTACAAACTTGGGTTTCTGGGGACCTGACAAGTAGGTCTATTTAGAGGATTCACCTTTCTTCTTGGCAGCCTTTGTCTCCTTCTCCATCTCCTCTATCATCTCCTCACACTGCTGGTTGCGGTTCATCATCACCGACTTCGTCACCTTGAACAGCTGCTGCAGCTTCCCCGCATCTGTCTCCCCGCCAACATCGCCCTGGTAACAACAATATCATCACATGTAGCCTTGCTGACACACCTGGAGGGAACAAGTAACCATTGGAACAAGATGAAGGATGAAGGGGCAAGAGGTAGCCCGGAAATGGCGTTCCACACAATAAAGAAGTTGTTATCCATCAATCGAATGTGTTCAAGTTCTTACAACTTCACAATACCTATCAAAGACTTCATAACACTAGGAGGAATGCAACAATATCCTTGTATATGTTGGATGCAATGACGAGTCAGCTACAAGTGTGGTGATCTGACTGGTCGTTGTAAGTAATGTTTAGTCAGTGGGTCAGGATTCCTTAAGATTGGATGAGTAAATGTATATTAAAGCCGCAGTCAGCAGCACCCCACCAATAACATGGAAGCAGGTCACCAACTGAGTCTGGGGCAGAATAATCAGCACATGCAATGACCCATTGCTACCTGGGTACGATGACAAGCACGGATCTCATTTTGGTGAGCTCAAACATGAGAACCTGCCCCAGAAACTGCACAGTGGTCAGTTTTATTCAGTTCCAATTTGGCACAAATTTGAAGAATAGAGAACTGGTTCAGAATTATAGCCCTGAAATGCTAGTAGTCAATGAGGACTACCGTCATTCAGCACAATCTCAGGGTAGAAGACTTGCATGAATTTCGAAGGCTGGCAACACCACCCTACATCTGGCATGTCATGTTTGTCTCAGCCTTCATATCTCAAGACTTATCACAAGTGATCATAAATGCATATTTCCTCTGCATATGCTGCATATTTTCCTGTATGTGCTGTATATTTCCCTGTATGTGCTGTATATTTCCCTGTATGTGCCGCATATTTCTCTGTATGTGCTGTATATTTCCCTGCATGTGCTGCATATGTCCCTGTATGTGCTGTATTTTTCCTCTGCATGTGCTGTATATGTCCCTGTATGTGCTGCATATTTCCCTGTATGTGCTGTATATTTCCCTGTATATTTCCCTGACTGTGCTGTATATTTCCCTGACTTTGCTGTATATGTCCCTGTATGTGCTGCATATTTCCCTGTATATGCTGTATATTTCCCTGTATGTGCTGTATATTTCCCTGTATGTGCTGTATCATTCCCTGAATCTGCTGTATATTTCCCTGTATGTGCTGCATATTTCCCTGTATGTGCTGTTTATTTCCCTGTATGTGCTGTATAATTCCCTGAATGTGCTGTATATTTCCCTGTATGTGCTGCATATTTCCCTGAATGTGCTGCATGTTTTCCCTGACTGAGCTGTATATTTCATCACGTCTACATCCAACCATCAGGCTGCCTTCTCACCTCACTCAACATCTCGTAGAAGGCATCAGCATCATCCTCAGACAGCTTTGAGGCATCCGCCGCCATGACGCGGTCCCACGCCAAGGGAGGCATGTTGATTGTTGATGCTTACTCAGGTGATATCTGGCAAAACAAAACTGCAGACATGACATACACAGTAATTTACAAGACACATGTCAATAAGAGATACCAGTCATTTCTGTGTTATCATGATCATGTGAATTATAGTAGACCCTGAAACATTCAGTTCTATATTTCTGTTAGATTCAAAGGTACAGAAACAAACTCCAAGGACACCCGTCAAGTTTAAACACTGGGTGCATTGTTGGGCTAGGAAGATACACAATTTGTGCGATCCGAAACATATCACGATCTGATACATATCACGATACTTGTATATGCTCTTTTCTGTGGTGCCCAAATACCTGGCACACTAACGATTTACACTTGGCAGTGTCACGTTTGGCGCAATGAATGAAAATATTTACTTCTTAACTACTAATTTTCACCACAAATTAGTGCTTGATGTAACATCCATTAAAGTATATTTAAGGCATGAATCAATGTTTTTTACTTTGTTGGTTGGTTTGTTGTTTAACGCCGCACTCAGCAATATTACAACTATATGACGGCAGTCTGTAAATAATCGAGTCTGGACCAGACAATCCAAGGATTGATATCATGATCATCGATCCACGCCATTGGGATCGATGACATGCATCAACCAAGTCAGCGAGCCTGACCAACCGATCCCGTTAGTCGCCTTTTACGACAAGCATAGTCATCTTTTATGGCAAGCATGGATTGCTGAAGACCTATTCTACCCCGGAATCTTCACAGGTCTTTTTACTTTGTGTGCAACTGTGATCAATACTTGTATCTGGAAGTAAAATATCGCAATCCACCAAACGCAATTATCATTACTCAAAGTGACCCACAAAACTCTCTACTTCAGCCATTTTACATTTCAGACTTTGGACTAAAATTATGGTCCCTACAACCAATTTACTCTTGAAAAGAAGCTGTCTAAATCGGACTGGATCAGTCCAGGCCGGACAGGATGTTCTTCCACTTTGACGTAAGCTGAGTCATATCAGCTAAAACAACAACGCTAATCCTGCATGTAATCCTACAGATCTTAACACCTTGTTGTCTGCTTAGTTTATTTGAATTTACTCACCTGTTAATAAGAAAGTCTGCTAAATTAGATTAACTCAGTGTCAGGAGTCTGTCAATAAATAACGGTAAACAACGCTTGTCATTATCAATCGCTTGAATGGCCTGTGTAATCCGGACCTTGACGTAAACCAGACTACGGTTTCAACAGAGCGGGACAGATTCCACTGAACTTGCAAAAACAGAAGTAGTCCCAACACCACTATTTCTTCCAAGCGTAAAGTCTTCATGAACTACTATGTACTTCCAATCCTAAAACATTACTCGAAGAACTTGACCTCAATAAATACAACTTCTTGAGCACTGAGAACTGCAACTCTCAAGATTTTCCAAGTAAAACTGTAACAGTAACTGGCCACAAGTCATGCAGCCATGTTTCCTGGTAACCTCAAAAATGACCTTGACCTTTGAAACCAGTGATGGGTATTGGCCTGACTTTTGTATTGCAATATATTGCAATAATAATTCTTGTTTTGCGATACATACCACAATATTCTGAATGATACTGCATGCATTCTTTCATCTTAATTTTTTATGAACACGAATAAAAAAAAAGCATTCATAGGGCTTTCCCTGTATCTCGTCTTCTGCCATGTTGGTGGATGTTGCTTTGACCACAATGCATGTGTAATAGACCTTTCATACAGAGGAAACTGGTTGCAAATAGTCTTGCTTTTTCAACCACAAGAATGAGTTGCCAATGTCTGAATTTCATAATTTCAATTTCAACCTTCCATACATGTAGAAAGGTAGCCATGACGCAAAAGCTGATGATACAAAAACTTGAAGACTGACCTTGATATTTGATTTATTTTGACCTAAAACTTTTCAAAGCAGGGCCTACTCTGGAGAAGGCATATACCAAGCTTAATGATATATGTATTGATACTTTTTAGAGAATCATAAGTGGGGGGGGGCAGTCAAATTAAAAAAAACCCTGCGCTTGCGTTGTTGGCTTAGCTGTATGGAGCTCTATTGTCTTTGTTTGAGAATTGAATTGAGGATGAACTAAAGGTGCAACGTCACACTCAGAGATTATTTCATGCATGAATTAAAAACATCCAGATCCGTCGATGTACTGCCCCTTTAAGCAGCCACAGCTGACAATCTAATCACCAGTATTTGAAAGTAAGGGGGGTGGGGTCCTGGGGCTCTTGAGGTTTACTCATTATATAGTTTTGAATCTAAGGAACCTTTTTCATGTTGTTAATGTAACACATATCTTGCACTCAACTATTAAACTATGCAAACTGTATAAAATGCATCACAATTGGTTTTGTTTTTAAAATATTGTAAAAAGAACAACAGAACATGCTAAAAAAAGAGTTCACATTAATACCCCACCCACCTCCCTCTATGCTGATGAACCAAGAAACTTACAGTCTATTAATACTCAAAAATATTGAGACATCTATCTATTCTCAATTTAACCTATCCATGGAAATAGTAGAAACATATAATGAAATAAAAAGAAATGGCCTTAATTTTGTCTTGGCTTGCAAAAAAACCCTGACTTGTACAACACCTCTCATTAATACTTTACGTAGAAATACAGGCCCAGGCCCAAAACATAAACCTATCTGTCCTGACCTACCCTATTTTTGAACAGTTAAGATGACATCACTGATATTTCGAGGGTTGAGCGAATCAAAACTCAAATTCTGCTTCACACCAGTATGTGATAATATTATTATAGCAATCTGCAATTTTAGCTACTAGTCCAAAGCCTGAGTCTAGTCAAAATTCTTCTGGTCTAGTAAGATAAGCTTATTCAAGTCCATATACTAAGAATAAAATCTACTGAAAATAATGCCAAATAATGTTTGGGCAAGTATAGTCAAAAGTATTAACACAGGTGTAAAAGTTGGTTTTCGCAGGTTATAATCAGGTATCAAATCCTTGTAAAATAAATATAATATGGTGTTTTGAGTAAGAGTCCAGGAAATGTTATATTTACTCTCTTGATGTGCCGTGTTGACATGGGTAAATTTGGACCAATTGTCTTTGAATAATGATAAAGTGTGATTTTACTGTGAATCATTGAATGTTGAGAGAGAAGAGCTATCAGCATGATTAGAGCACGATATTCTGCATTAGAATACCTTGCAGAACAAAAGCACAATCTCCTTCATGATGCTGTCGGTTATAACATTTCAGGTTAACACGAAAGTCCGCAAAATCGATGCATGTAAACAATAACAAATGTTTGACATGTCTAATCACGAATGCTCAATTTCTGTCAGCGCTAAAGAACTATCTGCCGTATCACAGATGTAATGTGGAATTAGAAAATAACACATATACAGACTGTCGTCATTTTGCAGTAATGCCAAGACAGACAATGGCGTTACTAATTAATTATCATTACTTACATTATGAATCACACAATACGCAATTTCGGAATGTCCGCCATATTTCTCTCGCAGTGCGTGCTTATTCAAACAGGAAGTAGTATTACTAGCGCGCTCATCCATGGAAACGGGACGCTAAGCGCGTGGTAATATGCTCACAACACTGTTGGAAAGTGAGAGAAAATGCTATCTCATGAATCAAGAATTTATTTTCACCAGTAAATGATGACCGAACTGCGATAATTACATGTTATGTTTTTATGTGACATCTTGGTATTATACGTACGTATACCTGCATGAATCAGGCATTATACATTGTATATCATATAACCTGAGAGTTTGCCTCATATTTTAGACATAATAACTGAAATTAAATGCGTAACAATAGAATTAAAACCTCAACTTTATTTTTACTGATGTTGTTTATTCATTCATAGTATTAGTAAACATGATAAACAAACTACAGATAAATGTGTGTTGCTGGATATAGTTTTTGGCTCAAGTCACCTTTACATTTTATCAATGGTTAACATTTGATGGACATATTACTTTGACATAGTTTCTCAAATTAGCAAAGATCACGAGTCGTATTTTCAAAGTCAATCAACAACCTACGAGTTATTGTTGGAGCAGGTATACGGCTAGAATGACATCTGGAATTGCACATCAAACGTATTTTTAAACACCGACGTCGTGCTGAACAGCTGTCTGGAGAGACAATTTCAGATATTATATGTATAATGCCTGTCTGAATAGATACATGCATGCATGGGGGTACGGGTGGCCCAGTCGTCTGAGGCGCCGCGATTCGCTGTGCAGAGTTGCGTCCCTTGTGCACGAACGAAACCTATGATTGTGGGTTCGAATATGTTGTCAGCACTGTGCTCGTGGGTTTAACCGAAGTGGCAAACGTCTGAGAGCTGCATCACTTCGGGCTTTCCTCCACATTAAGCTGACACGCCGTTATATAACTTGAATACTGTTAAAAGCGGCGTTAAACCCAACTCGCTCACTCCATCCATCCATCCAACCACCCATCGATGTCAACAACACTGCTGTCTACGGGATCCATATCCACAGCTCGAAACCCCAAGCACATTCGGTTCGCCTTCCTGTTATTCGGTAAGTATTCACTGCTGAATTGGATATACAAAAGAGGGAGCTGTGTCTCACATAGATATTCGTGGATATGAAAAACCCCAGACACACTGGCGAAACTAGCTGTAGACAAAGCGGAGATATAGCCTATTCCCTTTAGTAAACTAGCTAGAGATAAAAATCAAAATCAAAGCCTACATAGCCCAAAGATGACAACCCCAGTGGGACGCAAGTAAGATCGGCAGATGGCTATAGAAAACTCAACCCAAGATCCACCAAAAGCCATACTCATATTACAAGGCTAAGACTCAGTGCTCACGACTTCAAATTGAGAGAGGAAGATACTTTAACACCCCAACCGAGAAAGATTATGTACCTTCTGTGATTTTGATGAAACAGGAGACGAGGAACACTTCCTGTTGCGATGCCCTCTCTACAAAGAACTGAGAGGGGAACTAAATTCATCACCCGGCTTTGCTATGCACCTACTTTCGCTAAAAGATACTATTAAATCCACCAGAGCCCTTTGCAAAAAATATATCTAATTTCATACACCAAATGTTGAGGCAAAGAAACTCTGCATCTCCTCCCTAAAAATATAATCATAGCAATATTTGTATTCTGTTTTGTATGTCAATGTTTTAATTAGTCATGTTCATGTTTTGTACCCTGCCCCCTGTGGGTGTTTTGTACAATAAATATTCTTCTTCTTCTTCTATTCAAAGGAAAGAAAAGATGAAATAGCCATGTCACGCCTCAGACTCGGTCACCAAAGGCACTATGACAAGGTTTGTCCATCTTGCAATCAACCTGAATCCATTGCTTACTTGTTACTCGAATGTCCCAGCCCGGGATCGGGTAAAACAAGAATTTAAGTTAGATCCGCTGTCTGTCGTAGATCCCCTAAAGCCCAAATGAAATGTTTAACCCAACATGAATCTCAACATGCAAGGCAATCTCCTGCCCTGTGGATGTCAGAACCATGACTTTATCCTCTGATTGTTCAACACCAAAGTTCATCTCATCACAAGTTTCCCATATGATTGTCTAAGATGGCACCTTCAGCAATACAACATACAATGTAGATCACTATGAGAAAATCTGGAGGACGTGTTACGGGAGACAGATGAAGGCACGAACTGTTTCTGGATTTGCGATGACCGGTCTTATTATGGTTGGAATGTACATTGTTGTTGCAAAAATAACCTTGCATGTAACTCTGCGATTGTTTGGCTACAAAACAACAGTTCGTCCTTTAAAACGTCTTGACTCCCCTACGATGTCTACATCGGCCACAGTGACTGCAATTATCAGTACATCTGTCACACTATGAGAGAGCACCTGGAAGACAGACATGGAGTCAAACTCTTCCTGAAGGACAGAGACACCATCCCTGGAGGACAAATAGCTGACGACATCACCAACGGAATAGAAACATTATTCTAACTCAATCTTTTGAAGCGGTCCAGTGGTGCCGCTTCATCGTTAATCGTAGTGTGTATTTCTCCACCAGAATGCCAGTTGGTAGCATCCTTCTTGTGCTGTTTGAGGACGTGAGGCGAGGGGACATCTCCCCAGCCCTGCTGAATGTTGTGGAGGAGAGACACATCTTCAAAGGCATCAAAACAATATCTATGCTAGTGGAACCATGAAGAATTAAAGTAGAACACCGAACGTTTATGCACTTGATAACTGGCGCATGACAAATGGCCATATATCAACGGCTTAGCCGCACGATTTTCAAACTTATTTGTCTCGACTTTCGGGAAAGAAAAAAGTGGTTGATACGCAGTGGATGGGCAAAACCAGATACCCGTGTAATTTGCAGCATTGGTTGACTATAAAACTGGAAACGGATGGATGGTAAGTGCAACTGAAGCAAGATGGGTCGCGGACCCTCATTAGTTGGTTGGTTTGTTGTTTAACGCCGCACTCAGCAATATTCCAGCTGTATGACGGCGGTCTGTAAATAATCGAGTCTGGACCAGACAAACCAGTGATTTATATCATGAGTATCGATCCACGCAATTCGGATCGATGACGTGTATCAACCAAGTCAGCGAGCCTGACCCCCCGATCCCGTTAGTCGCCTTTTACGACAAGCATAGTCGCCTTTTACAACAAGCTTGGGTTGCTGAAAACCTATTCTACCCCGGAATCTTCACGGGTCGGACCCTCATTGACAAATGACCAACGACAACAAGACATGGCACTGATTCAAGATGGCCGATCACAGCGTTATGTTTCAAGAAGACTTGGTGTATCATAGAAAGCTATAAGTAACTTGTGGTCAAGGTTTCAACAGACAGACTGTGCAGGATAGACCCCGATCTGGAAGACCGAGGGTAACATCCAGAAGAAACGACCAGTAACATGTTCTAACACTTTTGAGGACGCGACACACCATTACCAGGATTCGCTCCATACTGCCACCAACAGACTGGTATCCACGGCAATTGTGACACGACGTCTAAAAGCGAGAGGAATTCTTGCACGTGATTCAACTGAAAGGCCGCCTCTGAAGCGTCATCCCCCTGCCGCGTCATACCAAAAGACGTTAAAATATGGTACTTGTTGTTACCCTGCCTGGCGCTCGGCATTAAGGGGCTAAAACAAGGACTGGTCGGCTCGTAGTCAGTATACTGTGTCTGAGTGTGGTTTTTATGTTAAACTGCAGCGTGGCATCTCAGTGAGCTAGCACTATAAATCGGCATCAGTCCGGACTAGTACCATCAGCCACACAAACACACACACCTACATGCACGTCGCTATATAAGTGCAATAATCTTGGACGCGACGTTAAACCCCATTTCACCTCACCTCACCTCACCTCACCTAAAGCGTCATCGTAGGGAGCGCTGGCTGAGGTGGTCGAGGGGCATGTTCTGTGGGATAATCGGATATGGTCACGAATATTGTTCACAGGTGAATCTCGGTTTAATCTGAGCAGCAGGGACGGACGCAAACCAGTGTACAGACGCCAGGAGGAGCGGTTTATCGACGCCGCTGTGTTGAAACATGATTTGGGGCGGCATTATCACACAGGGGAGAACTGACTTGATTGTTGTCCAGGGTAACCTGACTGGACAAAAATACAGTGAGTTATGAGTGAGTGAGTTGGGTTCAACGCCGCTTTTAACAGCATTCCAGTTATATCACCCCGTGTCAGCTTAATGTGGGAGGAAAGCCCGAAGTGATGCAGGTCTCAGACGTTTACCACTTCGGTGAAACCCACGAGCACGGGTATGGTGCTGACAAACCTAGAAACATAATCGGGGCGAACCGGGATTCGAACCCACAATCATAGGTTTCTGGCGTGTCCAAGGGTCGCAACTCTGCACAGGGAATCGCGGCGCCTTGGACGACTGTGCCCCCGTGCCCCCGTCAACTGTCGTAAATAGCACCACAGGTTTAATGGGCAGATCCGAAATGGTCGTTTCACCTTGAGTCAAGTCTTGGTGCTTGCGTTTTTTATTACTATGGTAATGTTAGTTTCTATAAATTTCTATATAATCAGTAGACGCTTCTTCAAATTCTGCTGTATATGAATTATCTTCATCGCCATCCCCGTCATTATCGTTATCCATAGGTGGTGGTGAGGTAGCCTAGTGGGGATAGAGTTCGCTCATCGCCCTGAAGGCCCGGGTTTGATTCCGCAAATGAGGCAATTTGTGAAGCTCATTTCTGGTGTCCCCCTGCCGTGATATTACAGGAATATTGCTTAAAACGGCGTTCAACCATACCAACTAACGATATACTTAACTGAAGCGATTTGCGACCAACCACGACCACGCCAAAACACAGCCAACTATAACTGATACCAGTCACGTGGGGCGAGAAGTCCGTGGTCCGAAAATACCAAATAATAGCAATTATGGAAACAAAATAAGCTGCTGTTATTTGATGCTGACAGTGATATTTACTTATCTTGGTGATATAATATCCTGTTAAAACCAAAAGCGAATGAACTGTAACGCTATTTATTTCAGTTAGCATAGCACATTTAAAAGTGTTTAAACCTAGTGTTTTTAAGCTTTTTAACCCAAAATCTACAGCAATTGTATCCGTTACCTTTAAAACATTTAATGCTCTTAATAAGTTATCTTCCATGTTATGTCTATGTTTTTTATATGTATTTGTATTCGTTTTATTTATTATGTATTATATTTTGTGTAACATTTGTGACACTCTGATGTAAAAAGATTTCTCTCACGGGCAATAAAGCATTAATTACCTTATCTTATCTGACCCAATCTAACAAAACAGGTGAGAGCGACTAACAACACGCCCTACCTCGCCGACAGTCTAATGCAGTCTTGTTTGTACGCGGACAATCTTTCTCTTATATACTCTTAAAAAAGAAAGAAACGCTATACGGATATTTTGGCCATAAAAGCAAAACTAGCGGACCAAAAGGTGCAAAATGAAGAGGTTTAATGTGTTGTAGTGTCAGTGACAAATAGAAATGCAAACCATAAGTCGGGAAACACGTTCGATTCGGAAAAACGGACCCAGTGCATTAACATGATGGCCATGGAGCTGCACGTATTTCACGTGCAGCAGCACTATGAACGGTATTAAACTGCAGGGTTTCGGTTGGGATCAGTTTCAGCAGCATGGGTCAACACGTGATTGGCCAAGGTCGGGACGACCAGGAGTAACCATCCCCGCCCAAGATCGCTACATCCGACTGCGCCACCTACGTGAGAGGACGACCACAGCCACCTCAACCGCATCCCAAATACCCGGACTGCGCAGAATCACCGACCAGACCGTACGAAACCGTTTAAGGGCAGCAGGTCTAAGAGCAAGACGTCCTGTTCGACGCGTCGTATTAAGTCGACAACATCGTCAACAACGACTGTATTGGTGTTGTCAACACAGGGTATGGCATCAACTGCGATGGAGAGATGCCTGGTTCAGCGACTAATCAAGATTTGTCATCAGTTGATGGAAGAGCACGGGTCGACAGACGCCGAGGAGAACGTTACGCCGGAAACTGCGTACAGGAAGTGGACAGGTTTGGTGGGGGTAGCGTTATGATGTGGGTCCAGGGCAATCTTACGGCTCAACGATACATTATCGAAATTTTCCTACCACACGTCCTCCCAATTGCAGCCAACGGCAACGATGTATTCCAGCAGGACAACGCTCGACCGCATACAGCAGGGAGGCATTATACATATAACGTTGATGATCTCCGCAGGCCCTCCAGATCAACGGATTTGAACCCGATAGTGCAGCTGTGGGATGAATTGGATAGACGGCTACGCCGACGTCAACCACAACCCCAGGCGTTGCAGCAGTTGACTTTTGCGTTGCAGGCCGAGTGGGCTACCATTCCCCAGGATGTGATTCGCATACTCGGCTCTTGCATGGGAAGGAGATGTCAGGCCGCTATCGATTCCAACGGGGGACATGCGCGTTTTTGATGTTGGCTGGCCTTCACCTGGGACTTTTCCTATGTACAGATATGACTAGTGTTCTCTCCACAACATTTTGGCTCAATACTTTGTACGGTTCGTATAAATGTATTTTCCTACCTCATACAAATCTAGCTATGCGTTTCTTTTTTTTGAAGAGTATATATCCCTTCCTTGAAAAAAGTCAAATGACGCATGATCAATAGCAAGGCAGGTGTTCACATTACTTTTTTTCCTTGTATACTTCAGCTTCTTTCTGTGTCACACATACAGTAAGAAACCAACTGAAGAAATAATGAGTTCTCATGAGTATAACAATGAAAAAGGTTGCTTTTGGGACCCTTAGGGTTTCCTTCAAACGGAACATGACATTTCATGATGTGAGTAGCATTGGTGTAATTTGTTATAACGAAAGCAAGACGACACAAATAAACACTGTAGGACAGGTGTATTGGGTGTGAGTGAGTGAGTGAGTGAGTGAGTGAGTGAGTTGGGTTTAACGCCGCTTTTAACAGTATTCCAGTTATATCGCGGCGTGTCAGCTTAATGTGGGAGGAAAGCCCGAAGTGATGCAGGTCTCAGACGTTTACTACTTCGGTGAAACTCACGAGCACGGGTATAGTGCTGACAAACCTAGAAACATAATCGGGGCGAACCGGGATTCGAACCCACAATCATAGGTTTCTGGCGTGCCGAACACCGACAGACGCTCTATTAGTTACAGTTTAACCTGGATACCCAACTTAGACACATTGTACTAATTCCGAGCCGACACGTCTTTATTTAGCGCCAGGCAGGGTATCAACAAGTACCACGATTTAATGTCTTTTTGTATGACGCAGCCAAGGGATCGAACACCGACAGACGCTCTATTAGTTACAGTTTAGTTTTTACAGTTTAAATAAATAGCTGCTTGCATGTCAACATAGACAGCATAGAATATCCGAAGGTTCAACTAAAATATGACTCCTGAAATGAAGGTTTATTGAGTCGGAAAAAGAAGTAAAACTTATTATACAAAACAATTTTTTTTCATAAATTTATAGTTTCACAAGTTTACAGGACGTTGTAAAATACTGAAATGATGACAGTATAACGATGTGAGCCACCAATGTTTTCTGGCTATGACATATTTCGGTGAGAATAGGAACAACTGGCTACCCAAGTAGACACACTTCAGCACAGTATCAGGTATAGCCACATATGGCACTCTGGTTCAGAAAAAGATTTAATAGGATTCAGCATGCTAAACTCCCATTATTATTCAGAGGGACCGATTCCATTTCCTATTCTGAGTGAGTGCGTGAGTATGGTTTCTCGCAGCTATATTCCAGCAATAGCAGGGCGGGGGACACTAGAAATGGTCTTCACACGTAGTACCCATGTGGAGAATTCATTTGGCCTCTGATATACTGGATATGGGAGGTCATATTGTGACAGAAATATTGAATACGAATTAAACGAGCTCCCGTGTGATACCAGTTTTATGAAACAGTGAATAGTTGTGGTATTTGACGAGCGAAATGAATGAATTCCTGTATGAATAGGAAAACACCTACACGATTTTCAACGTAATCCAATTGTGTTTAAAAGAACAATACATCAAACACGTCAAACGTTGACACATATTAATTTGAAACCATACAACGGTCCACCTTTAGAATTCAGGCGTCCGTTCAGCAAAGTTATCGTAGCCCTAAGATTATCGTAACTCACATGCTTTAACAGAAACTTACGACTGTCGTTTTGCTACAGTACGATCGCCTTGTGGAACGGGAACATGCACCAAAATGTTTTCAATCACGTCACAATACTCAATGACGTGATTTGTGGAATTTTGTTGCAAGATCCACCGGCGAAACAATGCCATGTGATGTCAGCCTAGCAACGGGGTTGCTGCGGCCATTGAGTGTGCATAAGCTCCTCTCAGTGATCTATCATCTCACGCAATGTCGTTGAATAAGCCAAGAGATGTTGAGCTGTATCTCACTAGGTATATGTTGTCTCTCACTAGGTATATGCTGAGTGGGATGGAGGAAGAATGCAGTGTATAGCATCAATTGTATACTCAACATAGCTTAAAGAACAATAACAACCCATACAGTGGGTCACCACATTTGGTACAACAGTTCATAGGTGTCAGTAATGTTGTGTTGTTTAATAGTGTTGACCATGTAAACAACCCCCGAAACGAATGCATGCTAGTATCAGGTCGTATGTACAAGGAACATGTTATCTCCACAGATCAGCAATTTTCATCATTTTCTTTATAATTCCGATTTAGTCATGATGCACTGACTAACGTCTCTCCAGAGTCTCCGCTGATCGTCCATGTACTTCTTTACACAGAAGATGTGTCTCTCCTCCACAACATTCAGCAGGGCCGGGGAGATGTCCCCTTGTCTCACGTCCTCATACAGCAGAAGAACGACACTTCCTGCAGGTAGTATAGAGGAAGAATATACAACACGATTAACAGTAAAACTACACCATTGATCTTCCAGAAATGATCTGCTTAGAATTAGGAGCGTTTTCCAACTGGAATCTATTCCGTTGATGATGTCGTCAGCTATTTGTCCTCCTGGGATGCTGTCTCTGTCCTTCAGGAAGAGTTTGACTCCATGTCTGTCTTCCAGGTGCTCTCTCATAGTGTGACAGATGTACTGATAATCGCAGTCACTGTAGCCGATGTAGGCATCGTTAGGAAAGTCAGTACGCTTTGGCGGTTTGGCAACATTTACCAACCCAAACAACCGGTAAATGATGTTTAGGAGTAATGTCTTTCTCTGGTTTATCAAATAGATTAGAATCATGAATAATATAATCAGTGCAAAGGCAGAAACAGATAGTGACAGCCAAATCGGTCCGGAACATTTTCTCCATATTTCATCATAATGATCATAAATATAGGATGGGCGTGTAATATGGCCACTGTCAGATACACAGGTATAAGCATCTCTGTTTTCAAGTTTCACATCTGTGTGGAACAGCCACAATACAAAGCCTAAATTCTCACATCCGCAGGCCAGAAGGTTGTTGTCAAGGTTCAACGTGAAGTTATTTGTTGCTGCTAGGGAATCAAACAGGGTCCTCTCTAACTCTGATAACACAGGCAGTGAGTTGTATCTGAGGTCAAGATGTTGCAGAGACGGAGTTGTTGTGATGTCAAAGGGAATACTTTCAAAACGGTTAAAGGATAAATCAATAGCAGTCAGTTGATTTACAGAAAATATCTTAGGATCCATGACTGCTAAATCATTGCGACTAAGAATAATATTTTCTAATTTACGTAATGGCAAAAACATCTGACGTCCCTGATGAAGAAGAAAGTATTTGCTAAAGCCAATCTGAGACATCGTGAGAGTTCTTAGGCCTGGAAAAGATTTCAAGAAACCAGGATTCATGTTGGTAAAGTAGTTTCCAGAGATGTCTAAATCAGTGAGGTTCTCCAAACCATATATATTATATTGGAAGGCATACCATCCGTTAAATGCAAGGTTCACACTTTGGAGCGATACAGCATTTTTAATTTCAATGTTACCGTTTATGTAGCCCATGTCACTCAGCGTGCCATGGATATAAAAGTACTTTAGTTTGGGGGGAAAAGTGAACTTGAATGTTGGTACTGACAATAAGGAGTTGTGTTGAGGCATTGATGAGAAGAACTCGTTTCTTCTCAAGTGATTTGTAATATTCACAAACACTAATTGAGGCGCAAAGACAAGTTGGAATAAAATATGCCTGTCTCCCAGAAAATCATTATCAGACAGGTCAATATGTACAATGCAGTTTGAGAAACGTGAATTGGGTTTTAGGATAGAAGAATCAATCCATGCTATTTTGTTTTTTTTCATGGACATCTGCTCAACGCATACACCTTGTAAATTATCCAGCACTTCTTTTGTAAGAGTTCTTAGTTCAATACTACCATACTGAAAGTTAAGGAAGTTGTACATTTCATCAAATAAAATACTTGTCAGATTTAACCCATTTAAACCATACATAGATGTAACAGCCTCTACTGGGCTCACGTATTTACTTTGAGAAAGATTCAAATCCTTCAGGCTTTTCAAATAAACAAAAGACATTTTATCTAAAGCTGCTAATGGGCAACTACTAAGATCAAGGTCTTCAATTGGGATATGTTTAAAAGAACGCAACGTTTGGTTCAACACTCTCGAAATCTTGCAACCATTAAACCCCAAAAGAAGCCTTTTGAGACTGGTCATGTTGGCAAATCCAGATCCAAAGGTGGAGGTTTCATATGTGTCAATTTTCAATTCAACAACACTCCTGAGTTTACCGAAAGCAGTTTCTGGATAGCTACCCTCCGACTTTCGATCATTGTTGTGCAGATGGAGCTTCTGAAGTTTCTGCAGAGGAAGGAAGACATCATCTGGGTACGTAGTGGAATCGAGCATCAGATTGTTGTTCTGCAAGAATAGCTCCTCTAAGCTGTTAATGCTTTCAAATGTCCCATTTTGTAGCTTTGATAACTTATTGTTGGAGACGTCCAGGTATTTCAGTGCATTCAAGGAACTATTGGGTTGAATGTGCAACACGGCAATGTGATTGGTACTCAAATTGAGCGATGTTGTATTTTGGGGTAGATCATTTGGTACATTGGATAGGTTGTTGTTGGAACAGTTTACAAATATCCCTCCATACTTCACGTCATGATGGAAGGTACACGCCCAAATAACTCCTCCAGAGAGACAGACAAAAAATAATAGTATGTTGTTTGTCATCTCTAGGTTGTCTGAAATGGAACAAATACTATTTTAAGTAGCATATAAGAGTTGTCGGGTTTCACAACCATCACAATTAAGACGAACTAATAGTATTTCATTTAATTTCTTATTCAAATTTGGTCGAGCTTTCAAGATTTAAATTGTCCAGATTTAATCATACTTTTTTTTTCTTGTATAACTTTTGAAACGCCTCCTACTTTGCCCAACGTTTAATCCAACGTTCTTTCCTTATTTGCGCTTGTTTCATGTTCAATACCGCACTCAGCAAAGGTAATAACGGGGTCTGTAAATACTCCAATGTCCAATCAGACATAACGGTGATTGATATAATGATCAACGTATCACACCGTCGGAGTACGGTGACATACAATCAGCCAAGTCACCAAGCCATCGAGCCTCACCACCCGACCCATTAATCGCTTGACACAACAAGTATAGTTACTGAGGATCTTTTTAAACCCGGAATCCTCACAGGTTCTTGTATATCTGTTGTGTCAAGACAAGCATTTTTAAGCACTTCAGTATCACTGTTTACACCATTTCACGCCATTATGAACATGAATCAAAACTGGAATTTTTTTAACTGGAATTACATTTTATTGGGAGGAAGGTATCTTTGGTTCTTTTCTAAATAGGACAGAGAAAGCATTTCATTGCCCAAAATGTGATACTACTCATACACTCCGGCCTAATCTATCCTACAGTTAGGACGATATGCGTTGGTGAGACCTCCTTGATTTTGAAAGAGAGATAACATCCTGTTGTTAAGTATCATTGAACCCACTTCATGTCGTTCATCCTTAACTTTAAATTTAAAATTTAAAGAAAATACATCATGTTCACCTGACCTGGTGATGTTTAGTCTTGGTCCTCATGTTCTATTCGACCCGTGAAGATTCCGGGGTAGAATAGGTCTTCAGCAACCCATGCTTGCTGCAAAAGGTGACTATGCTTGTCGTAAAAAGGTGAGTAACGGGATCGAGTGGTCAGGCTTTCTGACTTGGTTGATGCATGTCATCGATCCCAATTGCGTGGATGGATGCTCATAATATTAATCACTGGATTGTTTGGTCCAGACTCGATTATTTACAGACCGCTGTCATATAGCTGGAATATTGCTGAGAGCGGCGTTAAACAACAAACCAAACCAAAACCAAATCATGTTCTATTCGGCAGTTGTAGTAATTACACCGTCATCACAACAAATGTACAAAGTCTTTGCATTGAGATATTACACTGACTGCAGTTTCCCAATATATTAGCATTAAGTCATATACCATTATGACACTCACTCACTGACTCACTCACTCACTTAAATACATTACGATACTTACATATTAACATGGATCTTCGTTCAACACAACTACTTCTCAGTGCGCCGGCTATGGTCTTTTCCGCTGTTGTGGTGCAAGTGAGCTCTGATTGTAGTGACGCCCCAAGTGAGATCCGGGTTTCAAGGACTTTTTATCATTGTGACAACGTGAACGGAAATAATGACCCTGCCAAAACAGAGGAGTAAATCTATGCAACACGTATGCTTATGCACGAAATATGTACGACATTATATGTAATATGAGACAGCCGTTATGATACATATTTGTTTTATATATACAGTGTTTGGGGTAACGGTTGAGGTGTGGTTGTGTGTGCAGCTAACCCTTACCCCAATCCAAGTAATATACTGCTAGAGGGGACAAAAGGAATTTACATTTATAACAGCATCACTTTCATAATAGCATCACTGATGTATTCTCCATATCCCTGAAACGGTTCTCACTGTCTTACATAGAGATGTTTACGACATGGTTTAGGAGGTCGTAGCGCTAAGAGGCTTTCGTGAAACGGCACCCCGGACCTGACATACAAGCTCTCATACTTAAGGGCCGGTCATGTACTAGATGTGTCAGTCTCTAGGGGAGGATAATAAATTATGCACTAATTTGGGGAGGGTCTTGATAAAATGGATATTTTCTAATAAAAAATGTAGTTTTTTCATTTTTTCTTGATAGGTTGATAAAAAATATACAAAGGCCATGGGGAGAGTCTTAAAAATATGATAACCATTAGGTTGGTACAGAATTACATATCGTTGGTGAAGGATTAATAGTCACAACTGTTCTCTGTCCATCATGTTGTTACAATATTATCCAATAGAGTCTGTTGTTTTTAGTTAACGTCATCATATTAATCCCTCGCACTTATTACTTTATTACATTCATGAAAGTGCGATCCATTTACCATCAAATGGTTTTGCTTTGTTGTGTGAGTGGTGGGTGCTAGAGTGAGTGAGTGAGTTGGTTTTTTACGCCGCTTTTAACAGTATTCCAGTTATATCACGGCGTGTCAGCTTAATGTGGGTGGAAAGCCCGAAGTGATGCAGGTCTCGGACGTTTACCACTTCGGTGAAACCCACGAGCACGGGTATGGTGCTGACAAACCTAGAAACATAATCGGGGCGAACCGGGATTCGAACCCACAATCATAGGTTTCTGGCGTGCCCAAGGGACGCAACTCTGCACAGTGAATCGCGGCGCCTTAGACGACTGGGCCACCCGTGCCCCCGTCAACTGTCGTAAATAGCACCACAGGTTTAATGGGCAGATCCGAAATGGTCGTTTCACCTTGAGTCAAGTCTTGGTGCTTGCGTTTTTTATTACTATGGTAATGTTAGTTTCTATAAATTTCTATATAATCAGTAGACGCTTCTTCAAATTCTGCTGTATATGAATTATCTTCATCGCCATCCCCGTCATTATCGCTATCCATAGGTGGTGGTGAGGTAGCCTAGTGGTGATAGAGTTCGCTCATCGCCCTGAAGGCCCGGGTTTGATTCCGCAAATGAGGCAATTTGTGAAGCCCATTTCTGGTGTCCCCCTGCCGTGATATTACAGGAATATTGCTAAAAACGGCGTTCAACCATACCAACTAACGATATACTTAACTGAAGCGATTTGCGACCAACGACGACCACGCCAAAACACAGCCAACTAAAACTGATACCAGTCACGTAGGGCGAGAAGTCCGTGGTACAGCGAAAATACCAAATAATAGCAATTATGGAAACAAAATAAGCTGCTGTTATTTGATGCTGACAGTGATATTAACTTATCTTGGTGATATAATATCCTGTTAAAACCAAAAACGAATGAACTGTAACGCTATTTATTTCAGATAGCATAGCACATTTAAAAGTGTTTAAACCTAGTGTTTTTAAGCTTTTTAACCCAATATCTACAGCAATTGTATCCGTTACCTTTAAAATATTTAATGCTCTTAATAAGTTATCTTCCATGTTATGTCTATGTTTTTTATATGTATTTGTATTCGTTTTATTTATTATGTATTATATTTTGTGTAACATTTGTGACACTCTGATGTAAAAAGATTTCTCTCACGGGCAATAAAACATTAATTACCTTACCTTATCTGACCCAATCTAACAAAACAGGTGAGAGCGACTGACAACACGCCCTACCTCGCCGACAGTCTAATGCGGTCTTGTTTGTACGCGGACAATCTTTCTCTTATATACTCTTAAAAAAGAAAATAACGCTAAACGGATATTTTGGGCCATAAAAGCAAAACTAGCGGACCAAAAGGTGCAAAATGAAGAGGTTTAATGTGTTGTAGTGTCATTGACAAATAGAAATGCAAACCATAAGTCGGGAAACACGTTCGATTCGGAAAAACGGACCCAGTGCATTAACATGAGGGCCATGGAGCTGCACGTACTTCACGTGCAGCAGCACTATGAACGGTATTAACCTGCAGGGTTTCGGTTGGGATCAGTTTCAGCAGCATGGGTCAACACGTGATTGGCCAAGGTCGGGACGACCAGGAGTAACCACCCCTGCCCAAGATCGCTACATCCGACTGCGCCTCCTACGTGAGAGGACGACCACAGCCACCTCATGATCAACCGCATCCCAAATACCCGGACTGCGCAGAATCACCGACCAGACCGTACGAAACCGTTTAAGGGCAGCAGGTCTAAGAGCAAGACGTCCTGTTCGACGCGTCATATTAAGTCGACAACATCGTCAACAACGACTGTATTGGTGTTGTCAACACAGGGTATGGCATCAACTGCGATGGAGAGATGCGTGGTTCAGCGACTAATCAAGATTTGTCATCCGGGGATGGAAGAGCACGGGTCGACAGACGCCGAGGAGAACGTTACGCCGGAAACTGCGTACAGGAAGTGGACAGGTTTGGTGGGGGTAGCGTTATGATGTGGGTGGCTATCTTTCATCATGGCAGGACAGGTTTGGTCCATATCCAGGGCAATCTTACGGCTCAACGATACATCATCGAAATTTTCCTACCACACGTCCTCCCAATTGCAGCCAACGGCAACGATGTATTCCAGCAGGACAACGCTCGACCGCATACAGCAGGGAGGCATTATACATATAACGTTGATGATCTCCGCAGGCCCTCCAGATCAACGGATTTGAACCCGATAGTGCAGCTGTGGGATGAATTGGATAGACGGCTACGCCGACGTCAACCACAACCCCAGGCGTTGCAGCAGTTGACTTTTGCGTTGCAGGCCGAGTGGGCTACCATTCCCCAGGATGTGATTCGCATACTCGGCTCTTGCATGGGAAGGAGATGTCAGGCCGCTATCGATTCCAACGGGGGACATGCGCGTTTTTGATGGTAGCTGGCCTTCACCTGGGACTTTTCCTATGTACAGATATGACTAGTGTTCTCTCCACAACATTTTGGCTCAATAGTTTGTACGGTTCGTATAAATGTATTTTCCTAACTCATACAAATCTAGCTTTGCGTTTCTTTTTTTGAAGAGTATATATCCCTTCCTTGAAAAAAGTCAAATGACGCATGATCAATAGCAAGGCAGGTGTTCACATTACTATTTTTCCTTGTATACTTCAGCTTCTTTCTGTGTCACACATACAGTGAGAAACCAACTGAAGAAATAATGAGTTCTCATGAGTATAACAATGAAAAAGGTTGCTTTTGGGACCCTTAGGGTTTCCTTAAAACGGAACATGACATTTCATGATGTGAGTAGCATTGGTGTAATTTGTAATAACGAAAGCAAGACGACACAAATAAACACTGTAGGACAGGTGTATTGGGTGTGAGTGAGTGAGTGAGTGAGTTGGGTTTTACGCCGCTTTTAACAGTATTCCAGGTATATCACGGCGTGTCAGCTTAATGTGGGAGGAAAGCCCGAAGTGATGCAGGTCTCAGACGTTTACCACTTCGGTGAAACCCACGAGCACGGGTATGGTGCTGACAAACCTAGAAACATAATCGGGGCGAACCGGGATTCGAACCCACAATCATAGGTTTCTGGCGTGCCTAAGGGACGCAACTCTGCACAGCGAATCGCGGCGCCTTAGACGACTGGGCCACCCGTGCCCCCTGTATTGGGTGTGAGGTGTAATGGGGTTTAACGTCACATTCAAGATTATTTCACTCATATAGCGACGACGTGCATGAACGTGTATGTGTGTCTAGTTTTCTAGTCCGGACTTATGTTAGTTTTACAGTTTAACATGGATACCCAACTCAGACACATTATACTAACTCTGAGCCGACACGTCTTTATTTAGCGTCAGGCAGGGTATCAACAAGTACCACGATTTAATGTCTTTTTGTATGACGCAGCAAAGGGATCGAACACCGACAGACGCTCTATTAGTTACAGTTTAACCTGGATACCCAACTTAGACACATAATACTAATTCCGCGCCGACACGTCTTTATTTAGCGCCAGGCAGGGTATCAACAAGTACCACGATTTAATGTCTTTTTGTATGACGCAGCCAAGGGATCGAACACCGACAGACGCTCTATTAGTTACAGTTTAACCTGGATACCCAACTTAGACACATTGTACTAACTCCGAGCCGACACGTCTTTATTTAGCGCCAGGCAGGGTATCAACAAGTACCACGATTTAATGTCTTTTTGTATGACGCAGCCAAGGGATCGAACACCGACAGACGCTCTATTAGTTACAGTTTAACCTGGATACCCAACTCAGACACATTATACTAATTCCGAGCCGACACGTCTTTATTTAACGCCAGGCAGGGTATCAACAAGATAGACGCTCTATTAGTTATACCACAGAGGCGGTTACCTGTTGGACAGGTGAGGTGAAATGGGGTTTAACGTCGCGTCCAGGATTATTGCACTTATATAGCGACGTGCATTCACGTGTGTGTGTGTGTGCGTGTGCGTGTGCGTGTGCGTGTGTTTGTACTAGACCGGACTCGCCGATTTATAGTGCTAGCTCACTGAGATACCATGCCGCAGTTTAACATGAATACTCAACTCAGACACAGTATACTGACTCCGAGCCGACCAGTTCTTGTTTTAGCCCCTTAATGCCGAGCGCCAGACAGGGTAACAACAAGTACCATCTTTTAACGTCTTTTGGTATGACGCGGCCGGGGATCGAACTCCGGACCTTCCGCTCTCCGGGCGGACGCTCTACCACTAGACCACGGAGGCGGAGCCCTGTTGGACAGAGTTATTTTCATTTTTGTAAGTAGAGTTTCCATTCAATGTACATTGAAAACATGCTTGTACTGAACCTGTGTTTCGTGATCAATACATACTGTATTTATGTTCAATCATTATGTTTTTTTAAATTTACAGCAATGGTAAAATACCCAGGAAATTATAAAAGATTCCAGATACATAATTTTCTAACAATATTATGTCCCAATGATTGTGAATACTTAGTGACAAGAGAAAAAGAAATATCGTACGAAAGTATCATATTATAAATAAAGTCCGAAAGCAGCTTTTTTAGTTTATATTTATCAATCATGGCATTACAGAGCCACGAGGTCCAACGTAAAGCAAACAGTGTTTATCATGAAAATGTGGTAACCTGACATTAAAATGTTCCGCATGTGTCAAGGAGCGAATAAACCGATAAACTGTGAGTAAGTGTACGAACATATGACGCATCATAAATATGTTGGTTGAACATCCGGAGTATAAATGGCTGCTAATATCAAGAGCCCGGAAATATCGAGTGCAAGACCGTGAGATCTACTTGGCAAATAAATAGCCGCTTGCATGTCAACATAGACAGCATAGAATATCCGAAGGTTCAACTAAAATATGACTCCTGAAATGAAGGTTTATTGAGTGGGAAAGAGAAGTAAAACTTATTATACAAAACAATTTTTTTTCATAAATTTATAGTTTCACAAGTTTACAGGACGTTGTAAAATACTGAAATGATGACAGTATAACGATGTGAGCCACCAATGTTTTCTGGCTATGACATATTTCGGTGAGAATAGGAACAACTGGCTACCCAAGTAGACACACTTCAGCACACAGTATCAGGTATAGCCACATATGGCACTCTGGTTCACAAAAAGATTTAATAGGATTCAGCATGCTAAACTCCCATTATTATTCAGAGGGACCGATTCCATTTCCTATTCTGAGTGAGTGCGTGAGTATGGTTTCTCGCAGCTATATTCCAGCAATAGCAGGGCGGGGGACACTAGAAATGGTCTTCACACGTAGTACTCATGTGGAGAATTTCATTTGGCCCCTGATATACTGGATATGGGAGGTCATATTGTGACAGAAATATTGAATACGAATTAAACGAGCTCCCGTGTGATACCAGTTTTATGAAACAGTGAATAGTTGTGGTATTTGACGAGCGAAATGAATGAATTCCTGTATGAATAGGAAAACACCTACACGATTTTCAACGTAATCCAATTGTGTTTAAAAGAACAATACATCAAACACGTCAAACGTTGACACATATTAATTTGAAACCATACAACGGTCCACCTTTAGAATTCAGGCGTCCGTTCAGCAAAGTTATCGTAGCCCTAAGATTATCGTAACTCACATGCTTTAACAGAAACTTACGACTGTCGTTGTGCTACAGTACGATCGCCTTGTGGAACGGGAACATGAACCACAATGTTTTCAATCACGTCACAATACTCAATGACGTGATTTGTGGAATTTTGTTGCAAGATCCACCGGCGAAACAATGCCATGTGATGTCAGCCTAGCAACGGGGTTGCTGCGGCCATTGAGTGTGCATAAGCTCCTCTCAGTGATCTATCATCTCACGCAATGTCGTTGAATAAGCCAAGAGATGTTGAGCTGTATCTCACTAGGTATATGTTGTCTCTCACTAGGTATATGCTGAGTGGGATGGAGGAAGAATGCAGTGTATAGCATCAATTGTATACTCAACATAGCTTAAAGAACAATAACAACCCATACAGTGGGTCACCACATTTGGTACAACAGTTCATAGGTGTCAGTAACGCTGTGTTGTTTACATGGTCAACACTATTAAACAACCCCCGAAACGAATGCATGCTGGTATCAGGTCGTATGTACAAGGAACATGTAATCTCCACAGATCAGAAATTTTCATCATTTTCTTTATATTTCCGATTCAGTCATGATGCACTGACTAACGTCTCTCCAAAGTCTCCGCTGGTCGTCCATGTACTTCTTTACATAGAAGATGTGTCTCTCCTCCACAACATTCAGCAGGGCCGGTGAGATGTCCCCTTGTCTCACGTCCTCAAACAGCACAAGAACGACACTTCCTGCGGGTAGTATAGAGGAAGAATATACAACACGATTAACAGTAAAGCTACACCATTGATCTTCCAGAAATGATCTGCTTAGAATTAGGAGCGTTTTCCAACTGGAATCTATTCCGTTGATGATGTCGTCAGCTATTTGTCCTCCTGGGATGCTGTCTCTGTCCTTCAGGAAGAGTTTGACTCCATGTCTGTCTTCCAGGTGCTCTCTCATAGTGTGACAGATGTACTGATAATCGCAGTCACTGTAGCCGATGTAGGCATCGTTAGGAAAGTCAGTACGCTTTGGCGGTTTGGCAACATTTACCAACCCAAACAACCGGTAAATGATGTTTAGGAGTAATGTCTTTCTCTGGTTTATCAAATAGATTAGAATCATGAATAATATAATCAGTGCAAAGGCAGAAACAGATAGTGACAGCCAAATCGGTCCGGAACATTTTCTCCATATTTCATCATAATGATCATAAATATAGGATGGGCGTGTAATATGGCCACTATCAGATACACAGGTATAAGCATCTCTGTTTTCAACTTTCACATTTGTGTGGAACAGCCACAATACAAAGCCTAAATTCTCACATCCGCAGGCCAGAAGGTTGTTGTCAAGGTTCAACGTGAAGTTATTTGTTGCTGCTAGGGAATCAAACAGGGTCCTCTCTAACTCTGATAACACAGGCAGTGAGTTGTATCTGAGGTCAAGACGTTGCAGAGATGGAGTTGTTGTGATGTCAAAGGGAATACTTTCAAAACGGTTAAAGGATAAATCAATAGCAGTCAGTTGATTTCCAGAAAATATCTTAGGATCCATGACTGCTAAATCATTGCGACTAAGAATAATATTTTCTAATTTACGTAATGGCAAAAACAACCGACGTCCCTGACGAAGAAGAAAGTATTTGCTAAAACCCATTTGAAACATCGTGAGAGTTCTTAGGCCTGGAAAAGATTTCAAGAAACCAGGATTCATGTTGGTAAAGTAGTTTCCAGAGATGTCTAAATCAGTGAGGTTCTCCAAACCATATATATTATATTGGAAGGCATACCATCCGTTAAATGCAAGGTTCACACTTTGGAGCGATACAGCATTTTTAATTTCAATGTTGCCGTTTATGTAGCCCATGGCACTCAGCGTGCCATGGCTATAAAAGTACTTTAGTTTGGGGGGAAAAGTGAACTTGAATGTTGGTACTGACAATAAGGAGTTGTGTTGAGGCATTGATGAGAAGAACTCGTTTCTTCTCAAGTGATTTGTAATATTCACAAACACTAATTGAGGCGCAAAGACAAGTTGGAATAAAATATGCCAGTCTCCCAGAAAATCATTATCAGACAGGTCAATATGTACAATGCAGTTTGAGAAACGTGAATTGGGTTTTAGGATAGAAGAATCAATCCATGCTATTTTGTTTTTTTTCATGGACATCTGCTCAACGCATACACCTTGTAAATTATCCAGCACTTCTTTTGTAAGAGTTCTTAGTTCAATACTACCATACTGAAAGTTAAGGAAGTTGTACATTTCATCAAGTAAAATACTTGTCAGGTTTATCCCATTTAAACCATACATAGATGTAACAGCCTCTACTGGGCTAACGTATTTACCATGAGAAAGATTCAAATCCTTCAGGCTTTTCAAATAAACAAAAGACATTTTATCTAAAGCTGCTAATGGGCAACTACTAAGATCAAGGTCTTCAATTGGGATGAGTTTAAAAGATCGCAACGTTTGGTTCAACACTCTCGAAATCTTGCAACCATTAAACCCCAAAAGAAGCCTTTTGAGACTGGTCATGTTGGCAAATCCAGATCCAAAGGTAGAGGTTTCATAAGTGTCAATTTTCAATTCAACAACACTCCTGAGTTTACCGAAAGCAGTTTCTGGATAGCTACCCTCCGACTTTCGATCATTGTTGTGCAGATGGAGCTTCTGAAGTTTCTGTAGAGGAAGGAAGACATCATCTGGGTACGTAGTGGAATCGAGCATCAAATTGTTGTTCTGCAAGAATAGCTCCTCTAAGCTGTTAATGCTTTCAAATGTCCCATTTTGTAGCTTTGATAACTTATTGTTGGAGACGTCCAGGTATTTCAGCGCATTCAAGGAACTATTGGGTTGAATGTGCAACACGGCAATGTGATTGGTACTCAAATTGAGCGATGTTGTATTTTGGGGTAGATCATTTGGTACATTGGATAGGTTGTTGTTGGAACAGTTAACAAATATCCCTCCATACTTCACGTCATGATGGAAGGTACACGCCCAAATAACTCCTCCAGAGAGACAGACAAAAAATAATAGTATGTTGTTTGTCATCTCTAGGTTGTCTGAAATGGAACAAATACTATTTTAAGTAGCATATATGAGTTGTCGGGTTTCACAACCATCACAATTAAGACGAACTAATAGTATTTCATTTAATTTCTAATTCAAATTTGGTCGAGCTTTCAAGATTTAAATTGTCCAGATTTAATCATACTTTTTTTTCTTGTATAACTTTTGAAACGCCTCCTACTTTGTCCAACGTTTAATCCAACGTTCTTTCCTTATTTGCGCTTGTTTCATGTTCAATACCGCACTCAGCAAAGGTAATAACGGGGTCTGTAAATACTCCAATCGGGGCCAGACATAACGGTGATTGATATTATGATCAACGTATCACACCGTCGGAGTACGGTGACATACAATCAGACAAGTCACCAAGCCATCGAGCCTCACCACCCGACCCATTAATCGCTTGACACAACAAGTATAGTTACTGAGGATCTTTTTAAACCCGGAATCCTCACAGGTTCTTGTATATCTGTTGTGTCAAGACAAGCATTTTTAAGCACTTCAGTATCACTGTTTACACCATTTCACGCCATTATGAACATGAATCAAAACTGGAATTTTTTTAACTGGAATTACATTTTATTGGGAGGAAGGTATCTTTGGTTCTTTTCTAAATAGGACAGAGAAAGCATTTCATTGCCCAAAATGTGATACTACTCATACACTCCGGCCTAATCTATCCTACAGTTAGGACGATATGCGTTGGTGAGACCTCCTTGATTTTGAAAGAGAGATAACATCCTGTTGTTAAGTATCATTGAACCCACTTCATGTCGTTCATCCTTAACTTTAAATTTAAAATTTAAAGAAAATACATCATGTTCACCTGACCTGGTGATGTTTAGTCTAGGTCCTCATGTTCTATTCGACCCGTGAAGATTCCGGGGTAGAATAGGTCTTCAGCAACCCATGCTTGCTGCAAAAGGTGACTATGCTTGTCGTAAAAAGGTGAGTAACGGGATCGAGTGGTCAGGGTCGCTGACTTGGTTGATGCATGTCATCGATCCCAATTGCGTGGATGGATGCTCATAATATTAATCACTGGATTGTCTGGTCCAGACTCGATTATTTACAGACCGCCGTCATATAGCTGGAATATTGATGAGAGTGGCGTTAAACAACAAACCAAACCAAAACCAAATCATGTTCTATTCGGCAGTTGTAGTAATTACACCGTCATCACAACAAATGTACAAAGTCTTTGCATTGAGATATTACACTGACTGCAGTTTCCCAATATATTAGCATTAAGTCATATACCATTATGACACTCACTCACTGACTCACTCACTCACTTAAATACATTACGATACTTACATATTAACATGGATCTTCGTTCAACACAACTACTTCTCAGTGCGCCGGCTATGGTCTTTTCCGCTGTTGTGGTGCAAGTGAGCTCTGATTGTAGTGACGCCCCAAGTGAGATCCGGGTTTCAAGGACTTTTTATCATTGTGACAACGTGAACGGAAATAATGACCCTGCCAAAACAGAGGAGTAAATCTATGCAACACGTATGCTTATGCACGAAATATGTACGACATTATATGTAATATGAGACAGCCGTTATGATACATATTTGTTTTATATATACAGTGTTTGGGGTAACGGTTGAGGTGTGGTTGTGTGTGCAGCTAACCCTTACCCCAATCCAAGTAATATACTGCTAGAGGGGACAAAAGGAATTTACATTTATAACAGCATCACTTTCATAATAGCATCACTGATGTATTCTCCATATCCCTGAAACGGTACTCACTGTCTTACATAGAGGTGTTTACGACATGGTTTAGGAGGTCGTAGCGCTAAGAGGCTTTCGTGAAACGGCACCCTGGACCTGACATACAAGCTCTCATACTTAAGGGCCGGTCATGTACTAGATGTGTCAGTCTCTAGGGGAGGATAATAAATTATGCACTTATTTGGCGAGGGTCTTGATAAAATGGATATTTTCTAATAAAAAATGTAGTTTTTTCATTTTTTTCTTTTCAGGGAGGTTGATAAAAAATATACAAAGGCCATGGGAAGAGTCTTAAAAATATGATAACCATTAGGTTGGTACAGAATTACATATCGTTGGTGAAGGATTAATAGTCACAACTGTTCTCTGTCCATCATGTTGTTACAATATTATCCTTCAGAGTCTGTTGTTTTTAGTTAACGTCATCATGTTAATCCCTCGCACTTATTACTTTATTACATACATGAAAGTGCGATCCATTTACCATCAAATGGTTTTGCTTTGTTGTGTGAGTGGTGGGTGCTAGAGTGAGTGAGTGAGTTGGGTTTTTACGCCGCTTTAAGAGTATTCAAGTTATATCACGGCGTGTCAGCTTAATGTGGGTGGAAAGCCCGAAGTGATGCAGGTCTCGGAGGTTTACCACTTCGGTGAAACCTACGAGCACGGGTATGGTACTGACAAACCTAGAAACATAATCGGGGCGAACCGGGATTCGAACCCACAATCATAGGTTTCTGGCCTGCCCAAGGGACGCAACTCTGCACAGTGAATCGCGGCGCCTTAGACGACTGGGCCACCCGTGCCCCCGTCAACTGTCGTAAATAGCACCACAGGTTTAATGGGCAGATCCGAAATGGTCGTTTCACCTTGAGTCAAGTCTTGGTGCTTGCGTTTTTTATTACTATGGTAATGTTAGTTTCTATAAATTTCTATATAATCAGTAGACGCTTCTTCAAATTCTGCTGTATATGAATTATCTTCATCGCCATCCCCGTCATTATCGCTATCCATAGGTGGTGGTGAGGTAGCCTAGTGGGGATAGAGTTCGCTCATCGCCCTGAAGGCCCGGGTTTGATTCCGCAAATGAGGCAATTTGTGAAGCTCATTTCTGGTGTCCCCCTGCCGTGATATTACAGGAATATTGCTTAAAACGGCGTTCAACCATACCAACTAACGATATACTTAACTGAAGCGATTTGCGACCAACCACGACCACGCCAAAACACAGCCAACTATAACTGATACCAGTCACGTGGGGCGAGAAGTCCGTGGTACAGCGAAAATACCAAATAATAGCAATTATGGAAACAAAATAAGCTGCTGTTATTTGATGCTGACAGTGATATTTGCTTATCTTGGTGATATAATATCCTGTTAAAACCAAAAACGAATGAACTGTAACGCTATTTATTTCAGTTAGCATAGCACATCTAAAAGTGTTTAAACCTAGTGTTTTTAAGCTTTTTAACCCAATATCTACAGCAATTGTTTCTGTTACCTTTAAAACATTTAATGCTCTTAATAAGTTATCTTCCATGTTATGTCTATGTTTTTTATATGTATTTGTATTCGTTTTATTTATTATGTATTATATTTTGTGTAACATTTGTGACACTCTGATGTAAAAAGATTTCTCTCACGGGCAATAAAACATTAATTACCTTATCTTATCTGACCCAATCTAACAAAACAGGTGAGAGCGACTAACAACACGCCCTACCTCGCCGACAGTCTAATGCGGTCTTGTTTGTACGCGGACAATCTTTCTCTTATATACTCTTAAAAAAGAAAATAACGCTAAACGGATATTTTTGGCCATAAAAGCAAAACTAGCGGACCAAAAGGTGCAAAATGAAGAGGTTTAATGTGTTGTAGTGTCAGTGACAAATAGAAATGCAAACCATAAGTCGGGAAACACGTTCGATTCGGAAAAACGGACCCAGTGCATTAACATGATGGCCATGGAGCTGCACGTATTTCACGTGCAGCAGCACTATGAACGGTATTAACCTGCAGGGTTTCGGTTGGGATCAGTTTCAGCAGCATGGGTCAACACGTGATTGGCCAAGGTCGGGACGACCAGGAGTAACCACCCCTGCCCAAGATCGCTACATCCGACTGCGCCACCTACGCGAGAGGACGACCACAGCCACCTAAACCGCATCCCAAATACCCGGACTGCGCAGAATCACCGACCAGACCGTACGAAACCGTTTAAGGGCAGCAGGTCTAAGAGCAAGACGTCCTGTTCGACGCGTCATATTAAGTCGACAACATCGTCAACAACGACTGTATTAGTGTTGTCAACACAGGGTATGGCATCAACTGCGATGGAGAGATGCGTGGTTCAGCGACTAATCAAGATTTGTCATCCGGGGATGGAAGAGCACGGGTCGACAGACGCCGAGGAGAACGTTACGCCGGAAACTGCGTACAGGAAGTGGACAGGTTTGGTGGGGGTAGCGTTATGATGTGGGTGGCTATCTTTCATCATGGCAGGACAGGTTTGGTCCATATCCAGGGCAATCTTACGGCTCAACGATACATCATCGAAATTTTCCTACCACACGTCCTCCCAATTGCAGCCAACGGCAACGATGTATTCCAGCAGGACAACGCTCGACCGCATACAGCAGGGAGGCATTATACATATAACGTTGATGATCTCCGCAGGCCCTCCAGATCAACGGATTTGAACCCGATAGTGCAGCTGTGGGATGAATTGGATAGACGGCTACGCCGACGTCAACCACAACCCCAGGCGTTGCAGCAGTTGACTTTTGCGTTGCAGGCCGAGTGGGCTACCATTCCCCAGGATGTGATTCGCATACTCGGCTCTTGCATGGGAAGGAGATGTCAGGCCGCTATCGATTCCAACGGGGGACATGCGCGTTTTTGATGGTAGCTGGCCTTCACCTGGGACTTTTCCCATGTACAGATATGACTAGTGTTCTCTCCACAACATTTTGGCTCAATACTTTGTACGGTTCGTATAAATGTATTTTCCTACCTCATACAAATCTAGCTTTGCGTTTCTTTTTTTGAAGAGTATATATCCCTTCCTTGAAAAAAGTCAAATGACGCATGATCAATAGCAAGGCAGGTGTTCACATTACTTTTTTACTTCAGCTTCTTTCTGTGTCACACATACAGTGAGAAACCAACTGAAGAAATAATGAGTTCTCATGAGTATAACAATGAAAAAGGTTGCTTTTGGGACCCTTAGGGTTTCCTGAAAACGGAACATGACATTTCATGATGTGAGTAGCATTGGTGTAATTTGTAATAACGAAAGCAAGACGACACAAATAAACACTGTAGGACAGGTGTATTGGGTGTGAGTGAGTGAGAGAGTGAGTTGGGTTTTACGCCGCTTTTACAGTATTCCAGTTATATCGCGGCGTGTCAGCTTAATGTGGGAGGAAAGCCCGAAGTGATGCAGGTCTCAGACGTTTACTACTTCGGTGAAACCCACGAGCACGGGTATGGTGCTGACAAACCTAGAAACATAATCGGGGCGAACCCACAATCATAGGTTTCTGGCGTGCCTAAGGGACGCAACTCTGCACAGCGAATCGCGGCGCCTTAGACGACTGGGCCATCCGTGCCCCCTGTATTGGGTGTGAGGTGTAATTGGGTTTAACATCACATTCAAGATTATTTCACTCATATAGCGACGACGTGCATGAACGTGTATGTGTGTCTAGTTTTCTAGTCCGGACTTATGTTAGTTTTACAGTTTAACATGGATACCCAACTCAGACACATTATACTAACTCTGAGCCGACACGTCTTTATTTAGCGTCAGGCAGGGTATCAACAAGTACCACGATTTAATGTCTTTTTGTATGACGCAGCAAAGGGATCGAACACCGACAGACGCTCTATTAGTTACAGTTTAACCTGGATACCCAACTTAGACACATTGTACTAATTCCGAGCCGACACGTCTTTATTTAGCGCCAGGCAGGGTATCAACAATTACCACGATTTAATGTCTTTTTGTATGACGCAGCCAAGGGATCGAACACCGACAGACGCTCTATTAGTTACAGTTTAACATGGATACCCAACTTAGACACATTATACTAACTCCGAGCCGACACGTCTTTATTTAGCGCCAGGCAGGGTATCAACAAGTACCACGATTTAATGTCTTTTTGTATGACGCAGCCAAGGGATCGAACACCGACAGACGCTCTATTAGTTACAGTTTAACCTGGATACCCAACTCAGACACATTATACTAATTCCGAGCCGACACGTCTTTATTTAACGCCAGGCAGGGTATCAGCAAGATAGACGCTCTATTAGTTATACCACAGAGGCGGTTACCTGTTGGACAGGTGAGGTGAAATGGGGTTTAACGTCGCGTCCAGGATTATTGCACTTATATAGCGACGTGCATTCACGTGCATTCACGTGTGTGTGTGTGTGTGTGTGTGTGTGTGTGTGTGTGTGTGTGTGTGTGTGTGTGCGTGCGCTTGTACTAGACCTGACTGATGCCGATTTATAGTGCTAGACAGGGTAACAACAAGTACCATCTTTTAACGTCTTTTGGTATGACGCGGCCGGGGATCGAACTCCGGACCTTCCGCTCTCCGTGCGGACGCTCTACCACTAGACCACGGAGGCGGTCCCCTGTTGGACAGAGTTATTTTCATTTTTGTAAGTAGAGTTTCCATTCAATGTACATTGAAAACATGCTTGTACTGAACCTGTGTTTCTTGATAAATACATACTGTATTTATGTTCAATCATTATGTTTTTTTAAATTTACAGCAATGGTAAAATACCCAGGAAATTATAAAAGAGTTCCAGATACATAATTTTCTAACAATATTATGTCCCAATGATTGTGAATACTTAATGAGAAGAGAAAAAGAAATATCGTACGAAAGTATCATATAAATAAAGTCCGAAAGCAGCTTTTTTAGTTTATATTTATCAATCATGGCATTACAGAGCCACGAGGTCCAACGTAAAGCAAACAGTGTTTATCATGAAAATGTGGTAACCTGACATTAAAATGTTCCGCATGTGTCAAGGAGCGAATAAACCGATAAACTGTGAGTAAGTGTACGAACATATGACGCATCATAAATATGTTGGTTGAACATCCGGAGTATAAATGGCTGCTAATATCAAGAGCCCGGAAATATCGAGTGCAAGACCGTGAGATCTACTTGGCAAATAAATAGCCGCTTGCATGTCAACATAGACAGCATAGAATATCCGAAGGTTCAACTAAAATATGACTCCTGAAATGAAGGTTTATTGAGTGGGAAAGAGAAGTAAAACTTATTATACAAAACAATTTCTTTTCATAAATTTATAGTTTCACAAGTTTACAGGACGTTGTAAAATACTGAAATGATGACAGTATAACGATGTGAGCCACCAATGTTTTCTGGCTATGACATATTTCGGTGAGAATAGGAACAACTGGCTACCCAAGTAGACACACTTCAGCACACAGTATCAGGTATAGCCACATATGGCACTCTGGTTCAGAAAAATGATTTAATAGGATTCAGCATGCTAAACTCCCATTATTATTCAGAGGGACCGATTCCATTTCCTATTCTGAGTGAGTGCGTGAGTATGGTTTCTCGCAGCTATATTCCAGCAATAGCAGGGCGGGGGACACTAGAAATGGTCTTCACACGTAGTACCCATGTGGAGAATTTCATTTGGCCTCTGATATACTGGATATGGGAGGTCATATTGTGACAAAAATATTGAATACGAATTAAACGAGTATACTCAACATAGCTTAAAGAGCAATAACAACCCATACAGTGGGTCACCACATTTGGTACATCAGTTCATAGGTGTCAGTAATGTTGTGTTGTTTACATGGTCAACACTATTAAACAACCCCCGAAACGAATGCATGCTAATATCGGGTCGTATGTACAAGGAACATGTAATCTCCACAGATCAGAAATTTTCATCATTTTCTTTATATTTCCGATTCAGTCATGATGCACTGACTAACGTCTCTCCAAAGTCTCCGCTGGTCGTCCATGTACTTCTTTACATAGAAGATGTGTCTCTCCTCCACAACATTCAGCAGGGCCGGTGAGATGTCCCCTTGTCTCACGTCCTCAAACAGCACAAGAACGACACTTCCTGCGGGTAGTATAGAGGAAGAATACACAACACGATTAACAGTAAAGCTACACCATTGATCTTCCAGAAATGATCTGCTTAGAATTAGGAGCGTTTTCCAACTGGAATCTATTCCGTTGATGATGTCGTCAGCTATTTGTCCTCCAGGGATGGTGTCTCTGTCCTTCAGGAAGAGTTTGACTCCATGTCTGTCTTCCAGGTGCTCTCTCATAGTGTGACAGATGTACTGATAATCGCAGTCACTGTAGCCGATGTAGGCATCGTTAGGAAAGTCAGTACGCTTTGGCGGTTTGGCAACATTTACCAACCCAAACAACCGGTAAATGATGTTTAGAAGTAATGTCTTTCTCTGGTTTATCAAATAGATTAGAATCATGAATAATATAATCAGTGCAAAGGCAGAAACAGATAGTGACAGCCAAGTTGGTCCGGAACATTTTCTCCATATTTCATCATAATGATCATAAATATAAGATGGGCGTGTAATATGGCCACTATCAGATACACAGGTATAAGAATCTCTGTTTTCAACTTTCACATCTGTGTGGAACAGCCACAACACAAAGCCTAAATTCTTACATCCGCAGGACAGAAGGTTGTTGTCAAGGTTCAACGTGAAGTTATTTGTTGCTGCTAGGGAATCAAACAGGGTCCTCTCTAACTCTGATAACACAGGCAGTGAGTTGTAACTGAGGTCAAGACATTGCAGAGATGGAGTTGTTGTGATGTCAAAAGGAATACTTTCAAAACGGTTAAAGGATAAATCAATAGCAGTCAGTTGATTTCCAGAAAATATCTTAGGATCCATGACTGCTAAATCATTGCGACCAAGAATAATATTTTCTAATTTACGTAATGGCAAAAACATCTGACGTCCCTGCCGAAGAAGAAAGTATTTGCTAAAGCCAATCTGAGACATCGTGAGAGTTCTTAGGCCTGTGAAAGATTTAAAGAAACCAGGATTCATGTTGGTAAAGTAGTTTCCAGAGATGTCTAAATCAGTGAGGTTCTCCAAACCATATATATTATATTGGAAGGCATACCATCCGTTAAATGCAAGGTTCACACTTTGGAGCGATACAGCATTTTTAATTTCAATGTTACCGTTTATGTAGCCCATGTCACTCAGCGTGCCATGGCTATAAAAGTACTTTAGTCTGGGGGGCAAAGTGAACCGGAATGTTGGTACTGACAATAAGGAGTTGTGTTGAGGCATTGATGGGAAGTACTCGTTTCTTCTCAAGTGATTTGTAATATTCACAAACACTAATTGAGGCGCAAAGACAAATTGGAATAAAATATGCCTGTCTCCCAGAAAATCATTATCAGACAGGTCAATATGTACAATGCAGTTTGAGAAACGTGAATTGGGTTTTAGGATAGAAGAATCAATCCATGCTATTTTGTTTTTTTTCATGGACATCCGCTCAACGCATACACCTTGTAAATTATCCAGCACTTCTTTTGTAAGAGTTCTTAGTTCAATACTACCATACTGAAAGTTAAGGAAGTTGTAAATTTCATCAAATAAAATACTTGTCAGGTTTAACCCATTTAAACCATACATAGATGTAACAGCCTCTACTGGGCTCACGAATTTACCATGAGAAAGATTCAAATCCTTCAGGCTTTTCAAATAAACAAAAGACATTTTATCTAAAGCTGCTAATGGGCAACTACTAAGATCAAGGTCTTCAATTGGGATGTGTTTAAAAGATCGCAACGTTTGGTTCAACACTCTCGAAATCTTGCAACCATTAAACCCCAAAAGAAGCCTTTTGAGACTGGTCATGTTGGCAAATCCAGATCCAAAGGTGGAGGTTTCATATGTGTCAATTTTTAATTCAACAACACTCCTGAGTTTACCGAAAGCAGTTTCTGGATAGCTACCCTCCGACTTTCGATCATTGTTGTGCAGATGGAGCTTCTGAAGTTTCTGTAGAGGAAGGAAGACATCATCTGGGTACGTAGTGGAATCGAGCATCAGATTGTTGTTCTGCAAGAATAGCTCCTCTAAGCTGTTAATGCTTTCAAATGTCCCATTTTGTAGCTTTGATAACTTATTGTTGGAGACGTCCAGGTATTTCAGTGCATTCAAGGAACTATTGGGTTGAATGTGCAACACGGCAATGTGATTGGTACTCAAATTGAGCGATGTTGTATTTTGGGGTAGATCATTTGGTACATTGGATAGGTTGTTGTTGGAACAGTTTACAAATATCCCTCCATACTTCACGTCATGATGGAAGGTACACGCCCAAATAACTCCTCCAGAGAGACAGACAAAAAATAATAGTATGTTGTTTGTCATCTCTAGGTTGTCTGAAATGGAACAAACACTATTTTAAGTAGCATATAAGAATTGTCGGGTTTCACAATCATCACAATTAAGACGAACAAATAGTATTTAATTTAATTTCTAATTCAAATTTGGTCGAGCTTTCAAGATTTAGATTGTCCAGATTTAATTATACTTTTTTCTATCTTGTATCACTTTTGAAACGCCTCCTACTTTGCCCAACGTTTAATCCAACGTTCTTTCCTTATTTGCGCTTGTTTCATGTTCAATACCGCACTCAGCAAAGGTAATAACGGGGTCTGTAAATACTCCAATCGGGACCAGACATAACGGTGATTGATATTATGATCAACGTATCACACCGTCGGAGTACGGTGACATACAATCAGCTAAGTCACCAAGCCATCGAGCCTCACCACCCGACCCATTAATCGCTTGACACAACAAGTATAGTTACTGAGGTTATATCCCATTAGTTAGACGTTCCATTAGTTAGATGTCCCAATTGTTAGACATTTTTATTTAGGCAAAGAGGGAGTATACCTACAGGTGTAATGGATCAGTCCTTATTAGATTAAAGTACTGAGTAGGGATAGGGGACTCACAGTTTAGGGAGTATATATGTTACAATTTCGTTTAATTAACCTAAATTACCTTACTCTCAGCACAGGTTCAATAGGCATGAGATTAACTATGTAAACTATGGAGTAGCTTAATTGTCTTACTGTATGATCAGTTGGAGGAGTTGAGTTTAGATTATCTACTTATCAAACAAATAAATATGATCTTGAGGTACGTGTCATTATCAGTATCGATATGGCTGGTTTAAGGAGAGGAGTACATCACCTCTCAGGGGTGGAAGTAAGCAGTTGATATTAGATGGATATATTTACAACAGAAACCGCGAGAGGCAAACCTGCACACATTGGAGATGTGTCGTCAAGACGTGCAATGAGAAATGTACGACTGTCGGCGATAAATAAACTGTAACAGTTATTAAATGTAAAGTGTACATTACCAAAAACTGTCACAAAGTGTTGTTACAAACTGTATAAAATTTATCAAATGTAAAGTGTCATTAAATGTTAAGTATAATATTAAAGTATCTATTTAAAGCTACTTTGCTTTGTTTGTCAGATCTTATCTGGACTATTCCATTTTAAAGTCTGAGGTAACAAGCATAAGGATTAGTGTGCACTCAACCGTTTAAAGTGTTGTTATAAGCTGTCTCACTATTGGGACGTCTACCTAATGGGAGGACACCGTTACTGAGGATCTTTTTAAACCCGGAATCCTCACAGGGTTCTTGTATATCTGTTGTGTCAAGACAAGCATTTTTAAGCACTTCAGTATCACTGTTTACACCATTTCACGCCGTTATGAACATGAATCAAAATTTACTTTGAATTAATTACATTTTATTGGGCGGAAGGTATCTTTGGTTCTTTTCTAAATAGGACAGAGAAAAATGTAATGCTACTCATACACTACGGCCTAATCTATCCTACAGTTAGGACGATATGAGTGAGACCTCCTTGATTTTGAAAGAGAGATTACATTCTGTTGTTAAGTATCATTAAACCCACTTTATGTCGTTCATCCTTAAATTTAAATTTAAAAATTAAAAAAAAATACATCATGTTCACCTGACCTGGTAATGTTTAGTCTTGGTCCTCATGTTCTGTGTTCTATTCGGCAGTTGCAGTAATTACACCGTCATCACAACAAATGTACAAAGTCTTTGCATTGAGATATTACACTGACTGCAGTTTCCCAATATTTTAGCATTAAGTCATATACCATTATTACACTCACTCACTGACTCACTCACTTAAATACATTACGATACTTACATATTAACATGGATCTTCGTTCAACACAACTACTTCTCAGTGCGCCGGCTATTGTCTTTTCCGCTGTTGTGGTGCAAGTGAGCTCTGATTGTATTGACGCCCCAAGTGAGATCCGGGTTTCAAGGATTTATTATCATTGTGACAACGTGAAACCTGGTTAAGGAAGGAAATAATGACCGTGTCACACACGAAGGAGTAAATCTATGCAACATGTATGCTTATGCACGAAGTATGTACGACATTATATGTAATATGAGTGAGTGAGTGAGTGAGTTGGGTTTAACGCTGCTTTTAACAGTATTCCAGTTATATCGCGGCGTGTCAGCTTAATGTGGGAGGAAAGCCCGAAGTGATGCAGGTCTCAGACGTTTACCACTTCGGTGAAACCCACGAGCACGGGTATGGTGCTGACAAACCTAGAAACATAATCGGGGCGAACCGGGATTCGAACCCACAATCATAGGTTTCTGGCGTGCTCAAGGGACGCAACTCTGCACAGTGAATCGCGGCGCCTTAGACGACTGGGCCACCCGTGCCCCCCTTGTGACAGAGAAAGGATTATGAAATTTCGAAAGGCGGTTTCGTGTTTAAGTACTGCCTTCATAACACACGTCCTCAGATAACTACGTGTTCAGTCGCGTTCACCACTATAATGCATACATGCATTGATGAAAAGGAGGAGCATGACTCATCTTAGTGGGGTTATATTACCGATGTTTGCATTTGCGCATTTGTAATCTCTGCACAACTCGAAATGTCGTACATGTGTGTTCTAGTGACAGAATGGCAATATATCGCCTTTCTGTAACGGAGAATACGATGAGAGCGCGGTAGTTAAAGGGTCACTATGTTCAAGCGCTCTGAGTGGACTGAATTTTGGTTTGTTTGTTTTGAGTGTTGATGTCAGTTGGAAAACTGACTCTTTTCGTGTTGAGAGGTGCGCACCCAGGTGTCACAAACAAGTTTATAGCAAAGCCACTACTAGTGATGTTTCTTTTCTCGCGCTGCCCGGTCGAGCAGAAAGGACGCAGTGGCAAAGCAATGATGAACATTGATGAACAATAACAAAATAAACTTTGTCTGGGAAAGAAGTACAACATGAAGGCATGTTACATTCTGTTAACAACGTTTTGATAAGACATTATATACTGAACCGCAAAAGAAACGTCACCCCAAGTACCATTGCATGAAAAGTTGTCATTTAAATATCTGCGTAATTTTTGTCAAAGTTTCTGAAATTTAACATTACCTTGTCCGGAAATATAAAATTTGATGATAAAAAACCACAAAGCAGATGACAATAAAACCGATCGCCAAAACGCATCACGGCAACAGCCATGGTAACCCGATGCACGTGAGTTCCTTGCAAATTGAAATGCACATGCTTTCCCTCATTTCTTGCCCTATAAAAATCCACCCAGATCGGATAACATTTATTCGTTATTGAATTGCTACCACATGACAAGATTGACAAGAAATCAGCTACACCAAGCCCTTGGACGACTGCAAGTTGGACAAACCGCCCGGCAAGTAGCCAATGCATTTCACGTCCACGTAAGGACCATATACAGGCTCTAGCAACGGTACCAGACCACCAACACTACACTACAGATGGCCGACCACGTAGTGGAAGACCAAGGGTCACCACCCGACGTCAGGTTGGTCAGATTTTGCAACAGCATCTTCAAGATCGCTTTGTTACTGCTGCGGAAACTGCTCAACAGACCATTGGGACACATCAACGACACAATAGTGCGGACATCGTGCGTTGACGATTGACAAGCAGACACATCCACTGTCACCGGCTTCACCGAGGACCCATTCTGACACCACGTCATCGCCGGGACCAGCAGTGGAGGAGAGTCCTCTTCTCAGACGAGAGCCGTTACTGTATCTCAACAGCAGATGGCAGAGTCTGGCGACGCCGTGGGGAACGTTATTCAGATGCTTGTGTTGTTGAGAGAGACTCGTGGGGTGGTCCGAGCATCATGGTGTGGGGTGGAATTGGTCTTGCACAGAGGGTCGGCCCTGTGGTCTTCCAGATCATCGCTCCAGGGAGAGGCAATGGTGTCACAGCAGCTCGGTACATTGTTCAAGTCTTGAGACCACACGCCATACCTCATTTGGCACGTCGCCGCAACCACGAGTTTCAGCATGATCACACCCGTGTCCACACTGGGAGAGCAACAAGAGACTCCCTCCAGCAGAATGGTATCAGAACCATACAGTAGCCTGCCCTCAGTCCCGATTTAAATCCCATTGAGCACCTGTGGGACGAGATTCAAAGACGGCTGAATGACGTCCGACCAAGGCCGACAACTGCAGCTGAACTGTGTCAGGCGTTCCTCTGAGTGTGGGCTCAAGTGCCTATGGCCTTCATTAACCGCCTCAACCATTACATGTATCGACGTTGCACGGCAGTCATCAATGCCCATAGCGGACACTAGAGATACTTACTCTATTTTACTGTTATTTTATCAGAGACTAGTGTTGTGTTTCACTTTAAGAACATTTGTCACTTTAATTTCAACCTTGATGATCAGTTTAGCCACGTTTCATCGTTTTAATATGTCTCAAAGTATGTTTACAGTGTTTGGACAAATAAGGTTTCTCATATATCTATCCATGGTGACGTTTCTTTTGCGGTTCAGTATATATACGAATAATGACTTGGTGTTGTCTTTCTCACATAGCCGAAATTCACAAAGATCATCAAAGGATTTTTGAACTCGAATGATATCGATGTTACAGCAAAAAAATGAAAACAGAATGTAAATGTCGTAAGTACAACTGATAAATGTTATATTCACCTGATGAAATCACTTGTTTATATACTCTTCAAAAAAAGAAACTTGACATAGATGTAAAACCACTTTTTGCCAAATATCTAAAATAATTATATTAAATGAGAACCAAATATGTCAAACAGAAAGATGATGTGTCTATAATTCGCGAAAACACATGCAAAGCACATAAACGTAGCGTGCAGCACAGGATCCTGCATTTAGGCATGCAGCCCCCCCCCCCCCCCCCCCCCCCCCCCCCTGCTGAATGGGTATAAAAATCCACATCAACGGCTGTTCATACAGTCCTTCTAACGGCAGATGAGGCGGTGACAGAATGCCAAGACTGAATGCAGCTCAACGGAACAACGCCATTGGGAGATTACAAACTGGAGCAACTCAGCAAGAAGTGGCCAGGCACTTTGGCGTATCCAGACAGACAATCTCCGCACTGTGGACCCGATACAACAACACCAACAGAGTTGACGTCAGACCAAGGTCAGGAAGACCAAGGGTGACAACCCAAGCACAAGATCGATACATCCGGCTGCCACACCTCCGAGACCGCACTACCACAGCCACGTCTACAACCACACAGATCCCTGGGGTACGCAGAATATCAGATCAAACGGTACGCAACAGACTGAAGGAGGCTTGACTTTTTGCACGAAGACCTGTTCGACGTCATGTATTGACCCCACGTCATCAGGCGGACCGTCTGCTTTGGTGCCAACAGAGGGTAAGATGGGCACGTGCAAGGTGGAGAAATGTACTGTTTACAGACGAGTCCCGTTTCCCACTCACACGTGCTGATGGGCGCGCACGTGTCTACAGACGTCGGGGTGAACGTTACGCCCCCAACTGTGTGCAGCAGGTTGTCCCATTTGGCGGCGGGAGTGTCATGGTATGGGCCGGAATTCATCACTGTGGTAGGACGCCTCTCGTGCATGTGGCAGGTGCATTGACAGGTGTGCGTTACAGAGACTTGATCCTACAGCCTTACGTTCTTCCTCACGTCAACGTTCATGGCGGACAGTTCCAGCAGGACAACGCTCGACCGCATATTGCACGTGTTTGTCAGGACTTCTAACAGCACAACAACATCCAGACATTACCTTGGCCAGCCCGGTCACCAGATTTGTCCCCGATTGAGCATCTGTGGGACAAATTGGATTGACGCTTTCGCAGAAGGAATCCACCGCCCCAAACACTTCCGGCGCTTTTTGATGCACTTCAGCTTGAATGGCAGCACATCCAACAGCGTGTTATTGACAACTTGATTGTATCTATCGGTCGTCGGTGTCAAGCGGTGATTGATGCACGTGGTGGGCACAACCGATACTGACAATTTCTGTACCCCTGTGATATTAACTATATCGTGTACGTATGTCTGTCTAGGTGACACGATTAATGTTTTGAACATTGTGTACATTGATCTTCAAACAGTGTTTCAATTATGGTTTCTGTGTCCTATTTTGAAACAATCGCATTATATTACATTTTGAAAGTCAGTGTCAAGTTTCTTTTTTTGAAGAGTATATATATAAAGGCCATTACGTTCGATGAATGTATTCCCATTATTTGACGTGAGAGGTAACGAACGAGATCGGGTGGTAGGCTTGCTGACTTGTATCCCCGTGAAGATCCGGGTTAGAGCAACCACCCTCTTGTCTCCGCTTTCACCATAGCTGACTGGTGACAAACTAGAACAATAGTCGAGGGCACAGTGAGGTGTCGCCAACTCGAGTAACACTGTATGTTTATAATGGTGAGGTGAGATGAAATTGGGTTTAACGTCGCGACCAAGATTATTGCACTTATTTTGCGACGTGCATGCACGTGTGTGTGTGTGTGTGTGTGTGTGTGTGTGTGGCTGCTTGTACTGTCTGGACTGATGCCGAATTATAGTGCTAGCTCACTGAGATACCATGCCGCAGTTTAACATGAATACCCCACTCAGACACAAGATACTGACTCCGGGCCGACCACTCCTTGTTTTAGCCCCTTTATGCTGAGCGCTAGAAAGGGTAACAACAAGTACTATCTTTTAACGTCTTTTGGTATGACGCGGCCGGGGATCGAACCCCGGACCTTCCGCTCTCCTGGCGGACGCTCTACCACTAGACCACGGAGGCGAGAGTGAGATAACAATGAACAATCAAACAACACATTTTCGGTTGTTCACAACGTTTGGTCACAGCTTTATAGAGGCATGCGCACGTCATGTATAGACACGCAGTACACGAACAGTTGTATCCTTCCACTCCATCTAGGTGTACACACTACAGGCCAGATTTTCACAGTAAATCACGCACATCGAAACAAACCGAGTTGCGCACGCAT